CCGTGTACCTGTAACCCTAACCCCCTCAGATGCTGTTTTTGCTAGGAACCATCCTCAATCCTCCAAAGTTTTGCACATGTTCAACTGAAGGATACCCACTGCCTCAATTCTTTAAAATCCTCAAACAGGCCTGCCTCTCAAAATGCATTCATCCTCGGTCCTACAAAAAATCTCCCTTTCTTTGAACACCATTCATCCTCAATCCTCCAAAATCAACCCTAACCCCCTAGGCTGTTTTTGCTAGGAACCATCCTCAATCTTCCAAAAATTGTGCACAATTAAGTGTTCAGTTGAAGGATACCCACTGCCTCAATCCTTCAAAATCCTCTGACAGTATTGCCACTCAAAATGCATTCATCCTCAATCCTCCAAAATCCTCCTCCTCTTCTTAAAAACACCATTCATCCTCAATCCTTCAAAATCAACCCTAACCCCCTAGGCTGTTTTTGCTAGGAACCATCCTCAATCCTCCAAAAATGTTGCACAATTAAGTGTTCAGTTGAAGGATACCCACTGCCTCAATCCTTCAAAATCCTCCGACAGTATTGCCACTCAAAATGCATTCATCCTCAATCCTCCAAAATCCTCCTCTTCTTCAAACACCATTCAAAATCACCCGGTACAGAATGTGCATTCGTCCTCAATCCTCCACAATCTTCTAAAATTGTATGCTGCATTCAGCCTCAATCCTCCAAAATCCTACAAAACTGCCCAGAGGACTTTGGAGCGGGATTGAGGAAGGTTAGGATTAGAAATGGTACACAACATGTACGTGGCTCAGAAAAAAAGTTGCTTGTTTAAATCAACATTTTGCACCGGTTATTTCATCTGGCACACCATGGGCAATGTGCATTTCACATCAGGTTAATGTACGGGTACAAGGCGTGTACCGGTACGTCAGGTAAAATAGTCACACAAATTGTGATAGAACCAGCTTGTAACTTTCCGAGCCGCATACACTTTTCACGTATCCCGTACCCGCACTATTTCTAATAGTCCTCACTCCCTAGTTTGAAAAGCCCTTAAGTCCAAACAGACAAACACAGAGCTTCATGGTCACTACAATATCAATTACCAGTACTTGAAACCCAAGCAATACTCTGAAATGTCTAATTACCCACACAAATACTACAGTACACATGTATAGTTGTTCTTTGGTATGTTGATCCAACCACACTAGGTATCTGTCACATTCGGTAGTCCTACACTCAACCAAAATAGAAAGTCCCCCCTTAATACTTTTTTGCCTAACTCAAAAACTACTGGGCACATCTTGCTCAAATTACGACTGATCAGTACAGAAATTCCTTAGCAATCCAGCCATAGGCCTACTCTTTGTTTGGCCGAAAACAGTGATAATGCGTACAAAATGATGCAATTTATGACAAGTGGTAACGAAAAAAAATTGCACTTTTGTACACTTGCAAGGTGAGTGTGAAACGCAACATGCACGTATACAAAAGTGCAACTGTTTTCGGTATCATTTGTCATAAATTGCATTAATTCGTACACATTATTACTGTTTTGGGCCATATACATGATATAAAGAGTATGGCTGGATTGCTAATGAATTTCTGTACTGATTTGTCGTTGTTTGAGCGAGAGGTGCTCAGTAATTTTCGAGTTAGACAAAAAAGTATTGGAAGTGGGGACTTTCTTTTTTGGTTGAGCGTAGAACATGTAATTTTGTTGAATACATTCAGGCTTAATAAAAATAGCTTTTAATCCATTAGGCCTGTACTGACCAAAACCGCCCAGCACTCTATGGCAATGGGAAAGATTTCCATATACGAAGTTCACTCAACACCCTGTGTACAAACCCTATGACTGAGATTGGTCTAAAAAATTCTTAGTGTTTTCTAAGAAAATGCTTGTATTTTCTCACTGCTCAAATTGACTTTGATGACATGAAATTGCTATCTGGGGGCTTGTTAGTCAATACAGAGGAAAATTAGTGAATTTCGTATATGGAAATCTTTCCCATTCTCTTTATATTTGGCAGACAGTGAAAAGGAATCAACTTTTTGTGTGCCCTTCAGATGTCTTCACCAATTTGACCAATACTTGTCCCTAACAAGATCTGAATCCCTGCCTGCCATCACTCTAATACTATTAAAAAGACTGATTTTATTACCGGCAATAAAAAGGGCCCAAGGGCAAACTGATTGAAATGTAAACATATGCTCTGCACCTGAACTGACACGGGTTTCTCAGCGTGAGGCCAGAGATGGCACTGATCAAATGATAATACTAGTGTGTATTGTGTTCATTGTAGTTTCATCTGCTATTTATTTTCTCTGAGGGGACTGTGGCACTTTTGGATGAAACAGTCAGAGATGAAGTATTTATAGCTGCATCTTCACCCTAAAGGAAGGGGACACATTCTTGTCAATTTTTTACTTTTTTATTCTTTTTTGGGCAATATTTGGGGGGGGGGGCAATATTATAATTGCTGCACATTTTTTGATTACGACCCTTTATGACTTTCTGATTTTGGAAAGAATTTTGCAACCTGACGCCACTTTTTTCTTCATCACTGTAGGCTATTATCAATAAAGGTTAGGTCAGTCATTGCAAAAAATGTTGAACAGACATGAATCTGGGACTGAGGAACATTTCCAAATTTTTTTAGGAAGTAGTTAAAGAATATTTTCTTGATTCTCCACGGACTTTGTACACAAACCACTGAAGTGGCATCTGGATACATTGTACGTTCTTTCCCCGATTTTGAAGCTCTGGCAGGAGCGTCTATGTCACTTTGTGGTTGGTCGGTATGTCTGTCTGTCTGTCTGTCTGTCCCCGGAAAATTGACCAAAAATGAGCCCCTTAAGTTTCCATTCATAAATTTACCTCAGACAGTTATACATGTAGCTATTCCTATTGGTCGAGAGCCCGTCACATGGCCGGTCTTAAACGGATGATAAAGACATGGCTAGCTGGTCTTAAACACTTTTCCAGTGTCACAATAAAATGTGGAGTCTTAAAAATCCAGTGCCTCTTACCGTTTCATTGGTTGAACGTTCACAATCCTCACTTTGGCATGCGCAACACTACCAGCGAGTCAGAATTTTGTAGAAATTCAAAACGCAACGCGCGCGTCAATCTCCATAGAAGGGTTGTTTACATCTTACTCGCCAGCTAAACACTCCATTATTTTGCTAGAGGGATGTTTAAAAAAGCATGAAGTGAACTTGTTGAACAAAATCGGGATTTTTGAATGAATTATTTGATATTTTTTTAAGGAAAAGGTATTTATGAATGGGAATAAATATGTGCTCGGTCGGTATTTAGCGCTCTGTTTAAGACCGCTTAGAGTCTGGGTGCTGATACCGTAATTACCCTCGCCTCCAGCTAGAGGGATGTTTCAAAAAGCAGAGGGGAACAAATGTGAGCCTCCGGCTCGGGTAATTATCAGCAACCAGACTCTAAGTGGTCTTAAACAGAGTGATAAAAACCTCCGGAGCACACATTTATTCCCTTAATAAAATATAACTTCCAAAGTTTAATTTAAAAAAAAAAACCTAAAATACTTTACAAAAATTGTTTGTATCAATTCGGAAAGATGTGAAAGATATGAAAATTGTGTATGGAGGCAAAATAGTAGGGCCTACAATAATGTTATAGTCACATGGTCTATTGAGCGCGCTATATTATAGCACGCTATATTTTATGGGAAACCCCCCGGGCTTATTTTGGTCAACTTAATGGGACAGACTACATGTAGTTAGCACAGCGTGATTTTCACATGAGACGGCGGCCCGGGCTTGTACGCACACTCTCCGGTCAACGTTAACAACATGGTTAACGTCCGTTGCACAGTGAAATCATTTTATGCCGGCGTAGATGATACCCCAAACCCCAAAGGTTATTTCTTGGCACTGGTATGGAAAGGAGCCCGGCATCACATTTTTGGGCCTCGCATTTTTAAGCTGTGGCAGGGATCATTTTGATTGAATTCATGTAAGATGGCCAGAGCTTATTGTGCACTCGCACTTGTTTTTAAGCCCTTGCATCCGACTTTCTGATTGTTTTTGTTAGACCCCTTGCATTGAACGTCACATTTGTTCCCCTTAAGTAGACAGTGTTGTACATGTGTGTCCATTGTCACTAAATTGAAAAAAATTGTCTCAGAAACTATATTGTTTTCAGCCCGTGTTGAAACCAATTTTGTACAATTCAGACCAAAGTACTGTTCTCACACTGACTAGAGTACCGAAGTGTGACGTCAGCGGTCATTGTTCTGGTTCACTCTGGTTCGCGCGCTGATGTCTTCACACATTTAAGCTGTGCACGCGCGTGGAACGGAATACGCGGCGCACTTCGGTACCCCATAATCATAATCATGATAATGTGATATTCAAACGAAAGATGGCATGAAACGTTAAGTTGAACCATGGAGGAAGGAAACATATATTAATGGTTGAACAATTCAAATGGTGCAGTTACGTCAAAAGTACATGTACAAGTACAGCATCAATTCCAGCTACCGTACATGTGTTGACCATGTTTACATATATTTGGAACAATCTCAAAAATATCATGGCATGTACATGTCAAGCTTATCTGTCATGTCTGTAATTATAATACGGTACTAGGCATTCGTCAACTTTGGGACCCCTCATTATGTAATAAGTTCGCTCATTTATTTACTTTTAGTTTTAACAGTACAAATATCATTGCAGTGATTTCACAATGATTTTTGTTAAATAGCTGCAGTGTTTTTTCATTCTTGGATCCTGCTTGAAGTCACTTTCGTCACTGACCTTAACGAATAACGACGACCTCTGCGGTAGGTAAAAACAAAACTTGCCGCCACTTTGACTTTGTGTAGTTTTAAAGGGTCGATGATTACATGATAAGAAGACTATGTTACATTTACAATTTAACTTTAACAAGCCAAACTAGGCCTAATTAAATTAAAACAAGTTTAATTAAAATGTGTTCTTTTCAAACCACTTAACTACTCATTAAACCTCATGTTGCCAACATATGTTTCTCACCTGCATCTATCCCCCGTATATACTGGCCATGCTGCCCCTGTTTACTGTGGAGATTGAACCCGTAGCCGCTCGATCCCCTGACCATCCGACATAGCCGCGGCTTGCCGGGGGGCTCCGGCTGGCTCTTCGACGAAGATCGTCCCCTCTTCCCACTTTTCGAACTCATTGCTGTGTCTGTTTAGCCTCTGTTTTCGCCGTAAAAACGACCGTGTCACCCCCTAGAACTCGCCTGGGTGAAGAGATGGACTACTTGTTAGCCCGGTGACACACTTCTTGCGTGGGCCGTGGGGCGTTAACAGTGAATTTTCGGACGTTTTTTTCCTTCAGAATTACTCACTTCGCGAATTCGGTAGAGTCAGTGACCCGTGTCGATAGGCGTATTGAAAATACACGCAAAAAAGATGTCGGCGCAGCAGCTCGGCGCAGAGGGCGGCTCGACTGGAGTTTACATCACGTGACCAACCTTGGGGGCCAAATTGACGGTTTCTATTCCCCCTTTTTTTGGCCGGGAAATCAGGAAAGTTTCAACCAATGACAGCCGTATCCTGACGCCACTTTTTGTTCATCATGTATCATCTCAATGATGGTCAGTCACTGCAAAAATGTTGGACGGAGAAACAATTTCAATTTCGTTAGAAAAGACCTTAAAAATAGTCTTGACTCTCCATAGACTTTGTGCACAACCACTGAAGTGGCGTCTGCTGGGTACTACATTCTTTTCGCCGGCTTTATATTAGTTGAGTAAACTAAATATGAATGTAAAAAAACCTGGTAAAAAAATAATAACTTTACCTACCTTCTCCATTTGTTTTTAAATAATAGGCGCATGTATGTCATCAGTGTCACTTACTTTCAAGTTTGTGTTTTACAATTGCATGGTTCAACAGAAATATAATTGAGACGGAACTATTATTATAAGGTCATTTTAAAATAATAATAATCACCTGTTTATTACACTGACAATTTTTTTTCCTAAGGGTAGTCATTCAAATGATATCAACAATTAATTTAAACATATTACAATCGTTTGGAGAAAAGTAAAAAATTAAAGTTCAAGTAGGTGAAAGAGATTTTGCACGGTTAACGGCCACGTTCTAGGAAAATCGTCACGCGCATGATCGATATGCGATCACCCTCAAAAGAAATTTGTATACTTTTTCCCAATAATCTTGTCACAAGATTCTTGGGGAAAAAAAGTGTAGAATATTTCTTTTTGACAATTCTATATTTTGACATTTCTCCTTCTGAAAAAGATTGAAATAAAAAAAAATTAAACTTCGACAAAATGAGATCCATAAAATTGAATTAATTAAAACTTTTTTTTAACTCACCCGAAAATATTGAAAAAGTGCGCCATAAATGTTGGCCCACGATCAATTGAACAAGTTTAACTTTAATAACTCCCCAGAAATATATTGATCACGAGGAAAATGATGAAGCTACGACGAAAATTAACTAAATATACAAACACAAAGTCTCTTGCGTTTTTGCACCCGCCCGGCACCACGGCCAAAATTGAACTTGGCAGAGAAATTAAGGACAATATTGGGGGTAGCAAAAACCACTGGGTGTGGTGTGTGTACCCCGTTACATGCCGCTATGCTGTGGAGGTGCAGTAAATTATGAGGTCATTCAACTGTCAATATCTGAGACATAGACGGGTACCCCTAAACACATATTCATTAGTTTATGATAGGTGTCGCCTGGGATTCTGACTGTTCAACCTTGTACGTGATTGGAACGCACCATGTACAATGCAGTAGCCCAGCAACGAAATTATCCCTGCGAAGGAGATCGACAGATTGCGCAATATATGCAAGATGGCGGCCTCCATGGATGAAGCGGAGGATGATTTGTCGATGATGGACACGGCAATCGTTGTTTATACAGAAAACGCCCAGAAAATGAGGTATATTATAAAGAGTTTTGACTCCTCAATTTCGGAGTAACTATTCGACACTTTCCTGGGATACGATTTTACCGAAAAATATGTGATGAGAATTGTGATGAGAATTGTTGTGCTTGTCACTTTGTCAGGATTGTTTTGCATTGTGATTGTCATTGATTAGCCCCATAATGTGGCCAGTTTACTGGACTGCCTCCGTAAACATAGGCCACACGTCCACATGTACAAAAATCGTGTCGACTTTGCCAAATTTTGATTTTCACATTAAGGCTTAGTTTGTAGGGTTTTTTTGCTTTAGAAGCATACTCACCCTATAGGCTAATCAGAAAGTGCTGCCTTTTTCAGATGTATATTTTACGTGAAATTTCCAGATTCATTTTGACACGTTTGCGTATCAAAATTTCAACATGAAATTTCACAAAAATTAGACATCTGAAAAAGGCAGCACTTTCTGACTAGCCTATAAAGTGGGTGAGTATGCTTCTAAAGCAAAAAAATCCTACAAACTAAGCCTAAATGTGAAAATCAAAATTTGGCAAAGTTGACACGATTTTTGTACATGTGGACGTGTGGCCTATGTTTACGGAGGCAGTCCAGTAAATAGGCCACATTTATGGGGCTAGTCTTTGATCTGCTGGATCTTATCAAAAAATATTAGTATACTATTACTAGTTACTTGGTTAACATTAGGGCCATCGTTAGGACAGCCGCAATGCAATTTTCAACTGCTATCGTTACTGTATTAGTCCGCCCCTATTACAAAATCACCATTGCGAATCTATATCACATAAATAACATGTTATAACTACCCGTCCAATCAGAACGCTGCAGTAGCTCAATTGGTTACACGTTTGATTTAAAAAATGTATATAATTTTCTTTACTTTCAGTGTTTATAATCAAATCATTCTTTTTATTTAGGGCCTAAGCAGATTTCAATTTCTTCTTTATAATCCGTGGCTCTGGAGGATTTTTTAAAAACGGAAAGAAAAGTCCGAGAACCATTTGGTTAAATGATTGTCTGGTTCCAACAGCCAAAGATCCTGACGTTGAATACTATTAGGTCAGGGAACCAGAGGGTTCCGTAACAATAGCACAGTTGGAAAATGCGTTACGGCTGCCGTAACGATAGCCACTGCGTATTAACAGGCTTTTTCTGGAAGAGGATCGGTACTGGGATTCTTGTCGACGACTGCAGAAACTCGAAGGAAACGTGATCGCTATTCCTGTGGAGACAAGCATCTCATTGGCCATCAACAGAGGTCAGTTCATACTCACACGACTAACTTTAGTTAAATCGATTCAAAATATTTTTGGTCTGGGAAATTGTGTCTGTATGAAGAAGCGTCAAGTCTAAACTCAGATTTGAAAAAAAATTATCTCTAACATTGCTTCAAGAATTTTGCGGTGGTGTAAATCTGTATTGACAACTGGGAGGGGGAGGGGGAGGAGGGAGGTGACACATAAAAGATCTTGAAGTTCCCAGAAGCGGAAGCTAAGTTGGACACCGTTTGATGCTAGGTGGCGCTCTTCATAGCAGCGAGGTTACTTGGATGTTCTCTTGTCTTTATACACAGTTTTGTTAACTACCACAATTTTTGAGGCTCATTACAAAAGAGTTCATCAATGTGCATCTTAGTTCTTGTCTCTTCCTTCTTTTTCTCTGTCTACATGGTCTAGTCTCCACAAATGAGGATGCTAAGATGTTGCAATACGGAGGAAAGATCTTGAAGTCAGGGCACTATCGTGATCTCCCATGCCATCTTGTGTCAGTTTCCCTCCCCCTGTCAAAGAAACAGCTTGCAGTCTCCCCACATCAGAGACTGGTCGATGTGTTGAGGGGGAGATTTGAAGAGTTGGACATTCCGTTTCCAGGGGAGTTGCGGGAGGAGATTCCAGCTGTGTGGGAGAAGCACGAGGATCTTGTTCTGCTCCCTCAGGTTTGAAAGCCAGGCTATTCAAAATAAAACAAAAATTGTTTCTCTTCCATCTATAAAAAAGAAAAATCAACATGGCTTTCAGATTTTTCCTTTCTTTTGCTCCCAACTTAAGACCCAGATTGCAAGTATAAGACTAGTCTGAAAAATTTGGGACTCTCGATACTGTGTATGAGAGTCCCAAATCTTAAGATGCATCACAAGAAAATAGACTGGATTATGAAACATCCAGTCCAACACCCTTTAGTACTACATCAATCAATTGTGAAAGAAAAACATCTTCTCCACAGCTAGGCTTGTCACTTACTTGCACAGTCGTCTTACAGAAAAGAGGCTTGCCCAAGGACACAACATATGACTAGCAGCAGGATTCGAAACCCTGACTCTCTGATCATGGGTCATGAACCCTGACCACTGAGCCACAATCCCTTTCCACAACTGGCTTGTCAATTACTTGCACAGTGGTCTTACAGTAAAGTGGTTTGCCCAAGGACACAATATGGCCAGCAATAGGATTCGAACCCCTGACCCTCTGAATCATGAGTCACCAACCCCAACCACTATGTAGGCTTGTCAATTACTTGCACAGATGTCTTACAGTAAAGTGGTTTGCCCAAGGACACAATATGGCCAGCAATAGGATTCGAACCCCTGACCCTCTGAATCATGAGTCACCAACCCCAACCACTATGTAGGCTTGTCAATTACTTGCACAGATGTCTTACAGTAAAGTGGCTTGCCCAAGGACACAATATATGGCCAGCAATAGGATTCGAACCCCTGACCCTCTGAATCATGAGTCACCAACCCTAACCACTATGTAGGCTTGTCAATTACTTGCACAGATGTCTTACAGTTAAGTGGTTTGCCCAAGGACACAATATGGCCAGCAATAGGATTCGAACCCCTGACCCTCTGAATCATGAGTCACCAACCCCAACCAATATGTAGGCTTGTCAATTACATACACAGTTGTCTTACAGTAAAGTGGTTTGCCCAAGGACACAATATATATGGCCAGCAATAGGATTCGAACCCCTGACCCTCTGAATCATGAGTCACCAACCCTAACCACTATGTAGGCTTGTCAATTAATTGCATAGATGTCTTACAATAAAGTGGCTTGCCCAAGGACACAATATATGGCCAGCAATAGGATTCGAACCCCTGACCCTCTGATCATGAGTCACCAACCCCATGTTAGTCACACTCCTCTTCCACAACTAGCCTTGTCACTTACTTGCATAGATATCTTACATTGAAGTGGCTTGCCCAAGGACACAAAATATGGCCAGCTAGACGTATGATTGATGTGACAACAACTCTGATCTCAGTGAAAAATTCAATAGTTTAATTTGTTTAAATAAATTGTGCAACATCCACAGCTGAGTTTCCGATCCAGTGTTTGGCAGCGCTGCCTCAACCTCTGGCCTTTAGTAGCCAGGGCTCTCGGAGGTCAAAGGCTCGCAAGGAAAGGTCGCATCAAGCAGGACGAGTTCAGAAGTCCGAGGGTGGAGCTGTTGCTTGGCAACGATGGGTGGGTGGAGCATAGAGACAATGGGATCAGGTGCGAGACCCACAATGCTTTGCAGTTTTCTTGTGTTTGAAATATTATGGGAGGTTTTCCAAATCTGGGTCTTGTCACAGCTTTGGCCTTAAGAGATTTTTGAGCTCCTGGCTCGAAAGTCAAGTTTATATTCTATCATTATTAAATATAACAATATGGGTCATAATTTAGAAAGTATTTGTATTCGATTTGGACATCAAAGTGTTATTATTATTATTATTAATCATTTCTGGTAATGAAACCAAGGATTCCTCAAAAGCACCCTAGGCACTGTAGCTCGCAACCCTGAAGAAACCTGTGGGCAGGAGACAATGAGAAGAAGTTACAGTTTTAGAGGTGGAAGGAAAAGCCCAGAAGAATATTCTGGGGAAAACCCAGGGAATCAGGCAGGGACTGAAAACCCAATCCACATATTGGCCCAGGCGGGATTCGAACCCGGGTCACAGCGGTGGAAGGCGAAGAAAGTACCACTACGCCAACCTGACTCCCCTGTTCTGAATGATTCTGGAGCAAGCAATGAAGGGAAACTGGAAACAAAGCCAAGATTTCGAGAATGACCAAGGAATGACTCCAGTTTTAGGCCAAAAAAAAAATACTCTGGTCTCTGGTCAGTGCGCGTGTCGATTTTAACAATGCGCGTCAACCTTTTTTTTCCCTTCAAATTAACACGGAAGCTACAACAGCGCCCTCTATTGCCGCACCTCAAATTTTTGTACCAAGGAGCACCAAGGAATGGGGAAATTGCACCAAGGCAAATGATAAAGGGCACCAAGGCAAATTATGGAGAACACCAATGTATAATGAGGGCACAAAAAAGCAAAATAGTAACCCCCTTGTCTGTACAATTCAAGCTTGAAAAAAAACAAAAAAAACAAAAAAAAAAACGCGTCGCCGCATCAATTCCGGAACTTTGGTCTGACTAGAGACTGAATATTTTTTTTGGGGGGGGGGGGGGGGCCTTATTGGCCATTTTTATACAAAGTGAGGGCACTTTAAAATGTTTCATTCACTGTTAAGCCGTGTCTGAACCCATTGCATGGCTACGGCCGGAAATAACATGCGTGCCTTTGGAAGCCACTTTATAGTGAATGCAGCCACTTCCCATAGACTCGTGTGGTTATGACCAGCTGTAGCCAAATGATTTGGACATGGCTTATGACTGAATGAACTATAACGCACAGCTGAGGCCAAGTTCGCGCAAGGACTATAGTTGACCAATGGTTAACTAACGTTTGCCCGAACTCTGTCTAGTCGACGGTGGTTGACCACGCTAGTCGACTATTTGGAACCAGCCTACTGGGGTTGGTTGCTTCGCTGGTAACCAATAGCCGCGCGCATTTATAACGCTAGCAGAGAGTGAGGATCCAGAAGTTTTGCGATGACATTTTGACCAGCGTTTGACTAGAGGCGTTCGCACGTTGTTATGAGTGCGCAGGCGTAAGGTACGTCACAAATCAACCACCAGTCGACTAATGGTCCTTGCCTGAACTTGGCCTGACTTGTTGGACTTCTCCGAAACAGAAAAATGACCAGCCATTTTTGTGATATCTTGTACATATACATAGATACACCTACGATGTCACACATTGCATGTTTTCTGTCGGAAACATCACCGAGAAAATGAGAGTGGCACATTTTGACTGCAGGGGTGAAACAGTCGTTGACCTATATGCCGGTAGGTCAAAGTTCAGTGCCTAAAATTATCTCCTGAATAAATGTATGATGAAAAGAAGTTATCATCTGTCAATTGGCCTATCGCGGTAGAATCGCATTAGAATTGTATCAACGCAGCTTGTGAAATATTGTCCAATTACATGATATACAAATGGACGTGGAACGCGCAACATCTGAGACAAACAAAACTTAGCGTACAAAAATGTCTTAGGGGCATGGCTTAACTCGCAAACGGCGATAGGTCAATTATGAAATAAGTTAATTGCATATTCTGAAAAATATCAAGAGATCAGAAACAGTTTCAGAGGAATCTGAGAAAGAAAAATTTGGAAGGAAGAAACATTCTGAAGACACTTTGGAGGGGATGAATATTCTAACAACGTATTTAGAGGAAGAAATATTGAAAAGGCTATAGTATTGGAAAAATATCATAAAGACTATATTTCTCTTACCTGTTAGTATTGCAAAAGAAGTAACACATGTCGAATATAAGATAAGTACAGCTTACTTTCCCAATTACAGAGAACATGAAAAAAATAATCCATCAATATTGTCACAATTTCCTAAATAGGAATAGGGTATTTCACACTGCCATACTTGGTCTACGCCAAGGCTGCTGTCGTCCATGCCTGTGAGTGGAACCCAGACGCCGTCATGGCGCTGAAGAAGAATCTAGTTCTCAACGGTGTACAGGATAGATGCATCGTTCATCAGGGAGACAACAAAAAGGTGATCATTGATATGGGTTGAATTTTTGTGTTTTACTTTAAATTTAGATATGTAGTAAGGTCACTGGTAAAAGGAATAAACAGTGACAAAGGAAAATATTTTGTCAGGGGTTGTTGAATACATGAAGCTTGTGACTTGAGACTGATTCATATGTAATTGACTTGTGGTGAACTGTGAGGACTTGCTGTGGACTCTGAGGACCTGTGATGGACTGTGAGGACCGCGAGTACTTGTGGTAGACTGTGAGGACTTATGATGGCCTCGGAGGACTTTTGCTGGCCTGTAAGGACCTGTGATGGACTCTGAGGACTTGTGATGACCTGTGAGGACTTGTGATGGCCTGTGAGGACTTGTGAGGACTTGTAATGGACTGTGAGGACTTGTGACAGCCTGTGAGGACTTGTAATGGCCTCTAAGGGTTTGTGATAGACTGTTATGACTTGTGCTGGCCTTTGGGGATTTGTGGACTGTGAGGACTTGTGATGGACTGTGAGGACTTGTGATGGCCTATGAGGCCTTGTGATGGCCTGAGAGGACTTGTGATGACCTGCGAGTACTTGTGATGGCCTGTGAGGACTTGTAATGGACTGTGAGGACTTGTAATGGCCTCTAAGGGTTTGCGGTAGACTGTTGTGACTTGTGCTGGCCTTTGAGGATTTGTGATGGACTGTGAGGACTTGTGATGGACTGTGAGGACTTGTGATGGACTGTGAGGCCTTGTGATGGCCTATGAGGACTTGTGATGGCCTGAGAGGACTTGTGATGACCTGTGAGGACTTGTAATGGACTGGGAGGACTTGTAATGGCCTCTAAGGGTTTGCGATAGACTTATGACTTTTGCTGGCCTTTGAGGATTTGTGGACTGTGAGGACTTGTGATGGCCAGTGAGGACTTGTGATGGACTGTGAGGATTCTGCCGGACTCCGAGGACGTGTGTTGGCATGTGATGACTTGTAATGACCTGTGAGGGCTTGTGTTAGCCTTGGAGGTCTTATGAGGACTTTACCACATCTTTTTAAAATTCCTAAACCAAGGCCAAAGGCCACTTAGGTGGCAGCTATTATTAAAAAGAAACATGCCGTTCAAAAGACAGGAGGGTATTATTGACAATTTATATGAACACAAGATAGGAGACGGAGAAAAACAGAATTGTGGCACTCATCTTTTCATTTGTATTTTTGCTCCCTGTCCAGGTCTGCCCAAGGGGCGTAGCAGACCGTGTCAACCTTGGCCTGATCCCCGCCTCGGAAGAAGGGTGGCCCGTCGCCTGCGCTGCCCTCAAACCGCAAAGCGGAGGGGTGCTCCATATCCATGGCAACGTAACGTCACGCACAACGATGCGCACCAAGGAAACCATGCCTCGCCGAACCCAATCACATGAATTGGTTGCACAAGAGTGTGGGAAGTCGTCCTCTGGTGAAAGAACAGCAAGTGATGTTTCACTATCACCCGCTGGATTAAGAACGGCAAATCCGAGTCACCCAACTGGAGATTCAAAGAATGATCTCAAACCACATGAGGGCGCTGTTGATGAAGGAACGCAGCAGGAAGCTGAACAATCTTTTGGAAGCACAACCAGCGTCGACACGGATCTCCAGCCCAAAGACTACTGGAGGAGTTGGGCCCAGTCGACCGCTCGTAAAATTCAAGAGCTTCTGGCCGAGATTCAGGGTGGCCGATGGACTACTGAAGTTACGCATGTCGAGCACGTGAAGTCCTACGCTCCGCACGTGGACCATATAGTTGCCGATATCAGATGCCTGCCATTGGAACCTAACCCTGCTGCTGTCTGAACTGCGCGTGTTTTTCTGAGAGTGGAACAGCACACTTCAGAGCCCAGGCATGTGAGATTTTTGTCATGGGAAAGTTTTGCAATAGTTCGCAATGAGCGTGTTCGATTACTTCCCTCGCGCTTATTCCTACTTCGTCTTGGGTATAGATGCACACGCGCAATCTGTAGCAATACACGATCGATCCCGGGTTACTCGCGGTCGAGCTATAGCAACCAGACCGGGTCAAGAGGTCATGTGACGATTAAATCTCCTTTGCAAATGGATTTGAGCTCTTGAAAGTGAGCCATGGTGGCGATTGTTACGTGCTTTTCCAAAGTGAACAAAAAATGGTGGGTATGCTTAAAATTATCTTAACTTTCCTCCCGTCGTCTAGCAGTAGTGTGAAGTGAAGCTGAGACACTTTTGAATCCCCCGCCATGTTTTCGCATTATATTGTGGGAAACTTACCCAAGTAAACGGCTCAGCGGGTCGGTTACTTGGGCCAGGCTCAGGTAAGCGCGAGAAGTCACGTGAGAGGTAAATCGAACGCAGTCGGGCTTGCACGAGTAAGGCGGGGGAAGTAATCGAACGTGGGGAAGAACCGACAAGACTGATCCAGTGAGCCATTCCCCAGATGGATCAACCAGAGTTTTACTGTATTTGGAAATAATACAATGTTAGAAAGCAGTTAAAGGGAAAATACAACATTTGCAAACATCAAAAAATAAAACTACCAAATCATTTTGAAATACCTTGCTGGACTGTTAGTGAATGACAGTGTAAAGCATCCTGTAAAATCATGGCACCTGGTATACTGTCATTTTCAAGAAAAGTGGTATTTTTGTATCAATTTCCAACGCTGGTCGGCCAACCAGCGTTGGAAAAAACACTGGCTATGAATGGGTACAAGCCAGCTAGACTGGTTCCCTGACCTTACAATTCCCCAATGTATGTAAACTGCTCTGTTTCTTCTTATATGGAGTCAGGGAACCAGACTACAGGAAAATGATTGTTTTTCTTGGTTTTTATAGCATTTTCGAACCCAAAACCTAAAAAAAAGTCAGTGTAACTATATTTGCTATGTATATCCAACCCCCCAATTCCATCCATTTTTGAAAATTACAGCAAAAGCAAATGATGTATATTCCCTTTAACTAAAATTAATCAACAAAAAAGGACATCAATTTCAAGAATGTTCGACATTTATTGATTGTAAAATTGGAATTGCTTCAATCAATAATTTACACACTCTGTTAAGGATCGGTTTAATAACATCCTCACGTTTAAATAGTTCTTTTAATTTAGTATTTGGTGATTGCAGCTTACTTTGCAACTTAAAAAAGATGACAAGAAAATCGCCAAGTGCGATAAGACTTCAACAAAATCATCGATTCTTTAAAAAAAGAAGAAGAATAACTGGCATCGTGATGTATGTACACAGTACCTGTTAGATATGTTTTCCATTTACTTGGGCCAAGTTTCACAGAAAAGCTCGAGCAGAAAACGGTCACACAGCAAGTAAATTTGCTTTAAAAAAAAAGATAAAGAATGGAGCATTGTGCCTGATGTATGTACTGGCCTATGCTACGTCAAATTCTACTTTGAATGCGACGGTTGTCTGGGGGTTTCCCAAACTTTGGCTTTTATCTTTTCGGCTTGGTCTGATTTTTAGGTCCCTGATTTCGAGATTCAAGCTAAATACGAGTCGATGTTTTGCTTCAGGGCATCGAACTGTTGAGTCTTTGGAGTAGCCGCTTGCATTCAAGAGTCTACGATATTCGCGCAGATTCAGCGACTAATTAAGCAAAACAAGACTGCGTCTTGACCATGAGATTCTGACCATTCAGAGGGCGCCTTCTATCGGGTCTTCTATTGTTGTTTACAAAAACATAGCCAAATTGACCAATCAAAAACTTAGTCCACATTTCTGATCGAAGCGACGTCACAGTTTCTAAAGTCGACTCCGATTTGCTGGCACGCGGGGTCTCATATAATTCGCATGCTAGGATATATCGAACGTTCATTTCTGTGGCTCTGCGCACGTGGATGTCTGATCCTCGGACAATCAAAGTGTATGATATTAAGCCAGAGATGAGGGTCTTTCATTTGGTTCGAAAAATTAAAGGCGAAACATACAATTCCAAGCTTAGAGACGGCAATGTACGGAGGCGAAGCCAAGGATCCTGCCCCATTTTTGGTCGTTTACTTTAAGCCAAGGCGGCTACCTGACCTAAGATTTGTCAAAATAGTCAGAATCTTTTGGTCTGGGAACCAGACTACCATTTGCGCTAAGCCGAAAATAAATGTTACTGTAAACCGGCGATTTTATGTGGTTCAAGCACTCTATGAAACTTGGGCCAAATACTAAGCTCCCTTCACATCTAATTGGTTATCCTCATCAGTGCTTATATACAAATAGGTGCTGTGTTAAAGTGGCAGGGTGGGTGGGTGGGCTGGAGAAAATGAAAATGAATAAAACTGCTGTAACTGCTTACTGACTGGATTGATCTGTGAAACGTACAAATCAAGAAACTTAGAGGGCCCAACTCTTTGGTCCTCCTTGCAGGACCTTTCTGCCTTTGAGACCGAAACGTTTCGGCCCTCTCAGTTTCCTGAATTAAAAGAAAACGAATACTCACTGTAGTCACAACGGGAAAGATTCATATGTCCATGCTTTTTGACACCCTAAACAAATGATTTTTCAAATCAAAATTGCTGGTTTTGGGGGAGTTGGGGTTTTTTGGGGGGAAAGTTTTGAGCTGTACAGTACAGTGAGACATCACCCTCAATTACAATTTGTCCAACAAAGGCCAAGTTCGCGCAAGGACTATAGTCGACCAACGGTTGACTAACGATTGCCCAAACTCTGTCTAGTCAACGGTGGTTGACTACGCTAGTCGACTATTTGGAACCAGCCTACTGGGGTTGGTTGCTTCGCTGGTAACCAATAGCTGCGCGCATTCCTAACGCAAGCAGAGAGCCAGGATCCGGAAGTTTTGCGATGACATTTTGACCAGCGTTTGACTAGAGACGTTCGCACGTTGCTATCAGTGCGCAGGCGTAAGGTACGGCACAAATCAACCACTAGTCGACTAATGGTCCTTGCCCGAACTTGGCCAAAAAGTAACATGTTAAATACATTTTCAAATGAACCACAAAGGGACACGGTGAATTATAACAATTTTTGAAAAGTTGAACACAGAAATTGACTGCAGCGGGGATAGACCCGGCTGGAGGTCGCAGGTTCAAGCCCCGTTCCTGTCAATTTTTGGATCAACCTTTCAAAAAATGTTAAATAGATGTCCAGTAAGAAAGATCCCGCTTCTAAATTCATGTTACTTTTTACACATGGAATGAAATGAAAATTGTTGGAAGACGAAATAGAGTGGAAATGTTCGTTTGGTACTTCGCAAGCAGGGAGAGTCAACTGAGTGGAATTTTCAGCGCAGCATGGACATATGAACTTTAACCCTTACCCTACTAGACCCTCCAACGCATGCCAATATGTGCCTCAAGAAAATCTCCTATTTTTTTGCATGGCCCTCCAATATCTGTCATGTCATTTCAAGGGTAACTGGACAGGCACTTCAATACATGCCACAGAGAACAATGAGAGTCCTCTGATAACAATCAAGTGCCCCCAGCTGGTCAGTATCAGGCACCCTCCAGGGCCTCCAACTCCTGCCAATTGGAGCCTTCACTGCTACATCAAAGTATCCTCCAATTAACTGCAGCTGGAGGGCATTGGCATAACCAACTGACATGCAGTAAACTACCCTCAGAGAGTAAGGGTTAAGAGTGAAAAACAAAATGGCAGTCAGATCTAATTAATAAATTATCAACTCGTTTATCAATTCTACACACTCAAGAAATTATGTGATAGGCAGGCTTTCAAGCAGACCCAGGTGAAAAAGTAGGAATACAGTAGGATTATCATTTTCCCCCCCCCCAAAAAAGGACAAAAGTAGGGCTTTGGAGGACAAAATCAGGATAAAAGTAGGACTTTTTTCAGGCTTTCGGGAGTAGTTTTTGTTGATCTTCACCGATGTCCACAGCATCATAAGCCTCATGTGGCATGCTCTGTACTCACAACACTTGTGCTCCATCCTCAACTAAGCTCTTGGAAGTACAGTTGCAGTACTCCTGCGCCCAAGCCCTTCATTGTGTGATTCACATATGACAGTGTGTAACACTGTTATGAAAAAAAATATTCAATGAGATTTCGTTTTTCAGAGTTGTGGGACAAAAAAGAAGGAATTTCAAGGAAAAAGTAGGAAAAGTTAGGAAAACTTGAAAGCCTGAATAGTGGATATATTTGTTGATATGTTTACATGTCGAAGTTTGGGACTACAATAAACCAAATTATGAAATTGCGAAAATCAAATAGACCCGAAGAAAGAGTGTTCTCTGTTACTTGGAAGTAACACTGAATGGCAATAGGCTTACTTGTGCATATCCATGCAACACAATGCCCTCCAGCTCCGCCTTAACGCACAAGATCTAAAGTGAAAGTGGTATAAAGACACTGCAAATAAAAATGGAGCAACCCAGACTAGCTTGGCAAAAGAAATTCGCAGGAAAACTCGCTGAATCTGACAAAACCCCACAGTAAAAAAAAAATAACGGCACTTCCAAAACAACATGTGGGATTCAAGCCATGTATGAAAGCTGGGACCACGCAGTCCTGGATCCTACAAAATACAAGAAAAATAGAATGTGTTTGATTTTGTTAGATTCAGAGTTGGTTAGGTTTACAATGGCTCCATGCACCAACGAACTGGCTAATTAGAATTGCGGTGTCGAGATGGGCTCAAATTCAATCAAGAACTGTAGATGTCCATAGTTTCAATATTATTTTGATCGAACCCACTCATGTGGATAACAGTTTATACACTAGATTATGATGTGTCCTTGGGCAAGCTACATTACCCCAACTTGCCTCTTTCCGCAGCTCCGCCCAGGAGTATAAATGAGTTACCAGTACAGAGCAAGTAAAAAAAAAAAAAACAACGAAACTCAAATGTCGGGACCATTGTTTTAGTGAAGTTCTGCATGTAGCACTTTCAAAATCTAGGATATGAAAGCCCAATTCATAAACTTTGTTGTAGTACAAGAATCATTCAAATCACTCATGTACTTTTCAAGTTACGGAATTTTAAACACAACCACCGTTTTAAGGTTCTGTCCACGGATCACAAAAAAGTTCAGTGTTCTTTGCGCAAAACGAAAACAAATCACAAAGGGATGTGTGTGAATTGTTTTCGTTTTGCTGAAAGAACGCACGCCTTTTTTTGTGATCCGTGGACAGAACTTTAAAACGGTGGTTGTGTTTAAAATTCCATAACTTGAAAAGTACATGTGTGATTTGAGTGATTCTTGTACTAAAAGAAAGCTTATGAATTGGGCTTTCATATCGTCGATTTTCAAAGTGCTACATGAAGAACTTCACTAAAATAGTCCCGACATTTGGGTTTCGTTGGTTTTTTTTTTACTCACCCAGTATTAGCTGGGGAGTGATGAATTGGCATCCCATCCGGGGGGAATAGAAATATTCTTAGTCGTTTCATATGCCAAGGAAACTGAAGATAAACACCCATCCTGATAAGCTACATGTATACTCGCTTCGAAAAGACCTTTTTTAAACCACTGCCAGTTTTTCAATAAACCAATCTGGACTCGTTAGCATTTCTATCACAAAGGCCAGGCCCCCTTCAATGGCGACAGTATTGTGCTAGCTATTGTTCCGATAATCTGTCACGGGGCAGTTGCTTCGTACAAAAGCGTGCACAATCGCTTCTCCATTGAGGGTACCCCTGTGAGTGTACAGTAATAGCCCGGATTCGTCTATAGCCACGAATACCTCACTAACCTATCGCGGTAGAATCTCGTCAACGCAGCTTGTCAAATATTGTCCAAATTATACAAATGGACGCGGAACGCGCAAAATCTGAGACAAACAAAACTAAACGTACAAAATTCCATAGGGTTGTCTAGGCAGATGGCGATAGGTCAATTGTGTGACGGAGTTTAACATGTACATGTAGGACCCAAGGAGTTTTATAATGACCACAGTTTGGCTACAGTTATAGGCACGTGTGTTACGAATCGGCCACCAGCCGCGGCTGGCAGTCGACCAACGCTCCTCGTTCAAACTTGACATTTCCACAATTGATTCTGTCTTAAATTTACACATACAATTTGTTTAATTGATAAAAATCCTCACCTTCGTTACATTTTAATCAAAGTTACATTGTATTATCAAGGGATAGATCTACTAGATAACGAGAGACTTTTGAGCCGTTGGTAGCAGCAAACATACCGGTCCTTTTTCCATTGCTTGCATCATATTGAGCATGCACGCTTTAGCTTAAACATGACAAAAACAATAGAAAACGACCGGTGTTTATGCTGCCACCAACGTCTCAAAAGTCTCCCATTGGCGATATATTTTCAACTATAGTCCAGCTCATGAAATATACACATATAAGAAGCAAATTTAGAGCTTTTTTTTTTAGTACTTTCGAAGGAGAAATGGATTACAGTTTGAGACGCAGAGCCAGTAACATACACAATGAAAACTTAATAATAAGAGAAAAATAACGCTTGCTGAAATTGAAATTTTGAAGACCGACCTGAATATTTTTACGTTTCAAAAAGCAAACCAAATGGCCTTAATTTCTCTGTCCAAAAAAAAGAAAATCCCGAAATATTTGGAGATGATCTGGTAGGCGTTATAAGGACGACAAAAAGTTTGAAATTCATGATCAACAAACGTTATTTTTCTTTACACACGCACAATTTTTACGAGAACTCTGATAATCGGATAATTATTGCATGGTACAAAGATATGGCACCCTATGATCAGGATAGTAGAAAAACCAACAAAACACAGGAGAGGAGGTCGGGAACAAGACCGGGCGTTAAATTCATTTTAATAGTTGCTATAGGCACAGATTTTTTTTGCATGAACAAAATTCTTTAGCGAGCACTTGTGAAAGGGAACCTGACCCAATCAAATATGTGATCTGATTGGAAAAAAATGAGTCTTTCTCCCGTTTTTAGTCTGGCGTCTGACGCGCACACAGAGACTTTGTGCACATTCAGAAAGAAATATAGCTGTGCATGCTTCCTGCTATAAGAACGCTAACCAGTACGCGCACGCCATGTGCCCCCTGCACAAGGCTCCAAGAAGTCATAAAAAGCACCCTCTCTTGTTGAAAGTTTCTTTTGATTTCTCTTCAGGATTTTTCAAGTGTCTGTAACTCCAAAAACATCTCAAGTGACTTTCAACTCATTTTCTTTAAGTTGGGGCACATGTATACATACAAAAGATGTTGACACTATCCCTGCCCCCCCCCCCTCCCGACCTTTTTGTGGAACTTTTGTTCCTATGTGCCATTAAAGAAAAAGAAATTGAAAGTGGTTAACTAATAGCAAGTTCAGGCAAGGACCACTGGTCGACTTGTAGATAATTTGTGACGTACCGAAGCGTACACCTACGCACTTATAGAGTACCGAAGTGAATACATGATGGGCACAATTATGTGTGTAAAAGACATTGGCACAATTGCAGAATACCCCGCCACTCGATCTATCCACCTCGTAGCCGGCTACGAGGTCACAGTTGGTTGACCTCAATAAACATTCTCAGCGCTACTTGTATGTACTATGCGTCATGCTCCATTGCACTCCCACTTCGTGACCGCGTAGCCACCAACAGGGTAGTTGGTTTGGACTTAGAATTTTTTTCATTAACTCCCATTCCTTTTGTGTTGCTTCGTTCTCAAGCATATTCAAGGGGACTCCCACTCCGTATCCGCGTAGCCGCCAACAGGGTGGTTGGTTTGGACTTAGAATTTTTTTCAGCAACTCCCATTCCTTTTGTGTTGCTTCGTTCTCAAATAATGGACCCCCACTCAGTATCCGCGTAGCTGGCAATGGACTTGAATTGTTTCTTTTCCAGTTATTCCAACCTCGTAGCCAGAGAATTTAGGGGTGTATTTCCGAGTGGCGGGGTATTCTGCAATTACTCCAAGACATTAGCGCGTGATTCAGCCTGTGAACCAACACGCGCACGTACTCCATCAGTTTGCACCACACTTCCCGTGTTAAAATGACGTCACACTTCGGTACTCTATAGCAATGTGTGAATGCTAGTCACAAAACGTCTTAAGCCCGGCTCCCCGCTGTGCGTTATGATGCGCGCAGCTATTGGTTACCTGTGATGGAACCATTCCCCAGACTCCGGTTCTAAATAGTCGCCTAGAGTAGTCCAACTGTCCTGCGTTCAGGTGAAGGTATTCGAACTATGGCTACCCACTGTCCTTGCCCAAACTTGCTCTAACATTATCTATTTACATAGCGCCCTCTATTGACCAGAATCAGAGACATTTTCTTATACAGCAACACCTACAATGCAGATGCCAATTTATTTTTAGCAACAACGGTTGACTATGTACGAAAAATTTATCGTGTTTTTTTTAGTGTTTTTTTTTAAAATCCTGTAAGAAGAACAGACATAAGCATAAGTCATAATGCGAGGCTACGCAATTCGCTTGTACCCCCGCCCTGCAAACAGGGCGCTGGGAAGGGCTGATGTCTCTTCACAGAATCTTGTGAAGGAAGTACGGATTGCATTATGGGTAACTTATCATGACCTTCGCATGCAGCTAGCTCACGCCACGTATGTTAAACACAGTTGTGTACTGCATGCTACATCACAGGTCACGCAAAATCTATCCAATGAGAGCTCGAAGAGATCAGCCCTTCCCAGCGTCCTGTTTGCAGGGCGAGACGTACGAGCGAAGGCTACGCAACACTCAATGCTTCGGTTATTTTGCCAATGCTCAGTGTTTTTCCGGGGTCTACCCGATGTTCCCCAATACCTGTGTTCCCCAATACCGATGTTCCCCGAAATCCTTAGGATGAGGAACATTGGTATTGGGGAACATCGGTATTGGGGAACATCGGTACTGGGGAACATCGGTATTGGGGAACATCGGTATTGGGGAACATCGGTATTGGGGAACATAGGTATGCACCCGTTTTTCCAAAACACTTCAAAAAATATTTTCACACAATGGTGATGCTGGATCGAAAGATGTTCAGCTGAACAAAAAGTGACTTGTGCTGGGTACCAGTCAAGCGCTGTTGCCATAGTAACATAGTACAATGCATCACATCTACACGGCAACTTTTTAACTACGATTTACATAACATTCGATTCGGAATTTTATGATACATGATTCAGAAATTGCACATAGATTCCTGATGATTTTGTTCACTGGTTCCCGTTACGCTCCCCCCCCCCCCCCCCCCCCCAATTAAAATATCAAAGTCAGATTTGAAGACGGAGGGACTGGGAACCAGTCTAATGATTTTGTAACTATTCCTAACAGATCAACAGAGGGCGCTGTTTGTAATTTACAAGGAGAAATCTCATTGGTTAACTGGTGTACAACTACTGAGGACCATTTTTATGGAACTGCTGTAAAATAAAGCAGAGAATGTCGCTTAGAAAAATGAACTTGTCAAGCAAAAAGCAAAAAGCAAAAAACGATGAAATTCCACCTGTTTTGCACTAAAAAGCAAAACAATTTTGCACCAATCAGCTCCGTGTAATGAGGCGTTAATTTCATAGAATGCTTTATAGACATGGTAATTTTTGTTATTCACATTTTGTTTTCGACCCCAAAAATGGTTTCTAAGAATATTATCAACGGGTAAATCAGTCTGCACAGTCACAGAAGAGTGATATTTTGGTTTAGGTCAAATAGAAACAACACCCTCGTACTGTGTCTGACATAAAAAAAAAAAAAAAAGCAAACCGAATTGTGCAACACTCAATTTAACATCAGCTATTATCGCACCTCCCTCCCCTTTATTAGTATTGCCCCTCCCACCCCCACATTTAATTCTTTTCCACCACGTAGCTGGTGTTAACCACCTCGGCCGCCTTTAGGCTGGTCTTTTCCGTGGCCTCCGGGGCCGGCATGGGTATGGCCGTCTTATACGGAGGCACGTCGTGGATGTTGCTGCGTGCTGCCGAGGCGTCGGCGCCGGGCTGTACCGTGATGGTCACTTCCACGTCCCTCACCGCGGGGTCACCGATCTCGTTGTCCTGCATGCCTCGCAGGATCTCTTCAAACTCCTCCTCCGTGTACTCCTCTTCCTTGGGGGCGCACTTGCCGCAGCATCCGCAGCAGCAGAGACAGCAGCAGAAGCAGAAGCAGTAGCAGGTCACGAAGAAGCAGACGCCACAGCAAACCTGTTATCAAACCAAAAACAAACAAAAAATACTGCAAGTTAGGCCCCCAAAAAAAAATATTCGGTCTCTGGTCAGACCAAAGTTCCGGAATTGACGCGGCCACGCGGCTTTTTTTTTTTTTTTTTTTTTTCCTTTTTTCTTCAAGCTTGGATTGTACAGACAAGGTGGGTACTATTTTGCTTTTTTGGTGTCCTCCTGTATATTGGTGTCCTCCATAATTTGCCTTGGGGCTTTCGATCATTTGCCTTGGTGCAATTTCCCATTCCTTGGTGCTCTTTGGTAAAAAATACTGAGGAGGTGCGGAAATAGAGGGCGCTGTTGGAGCTACCGCGGAACATTTTGGAAAAATAAAAGATCGACGCGCATGATTAAAATCGACGCGCGCGCTGACCAGAGACCGACTTATTTTTTTTTTTGCCTTAAAACTTGCGCGATACCCCTGGTATCCTGGCAGTTTGTTTAAATCATCCACAGGGGCTCGGTAGGCACAATATCTCTGAGGACCAGTGAGCTGGCCTAGTGTATTTATAATAATAATAATTTGGGAGGCTAATCATCCTTACTCGCAGCTGGGATGCTGAATTGCGAAGGACGCGGCTACAACGTGGTCGGGCCGCTGGCACGTAAAGGTGCCTTTGGCTGCCGGCCACATCGACCCATATATGACCACGGAGCACAGCCTGAGGTCGAACGTGTTTGATTTTTTCCCGGAGGGAGGAAAACCGGAGGGCCCGGAGAAAAACCCTCGTGGCACAAGAGAGAACCAACGCACAACTCTACTCACATGCGATCCACGGCCAGGATTCGAACTGTGGTCACCTTGGTGAGAGGCGAGCGCTTTACGCACAAGCCACCCATGCCACCCGATTTATAAAGACTTTAACATTCATGGCCTGTCACTTGCACCGTTTGCCTGAGTCTAATCACTGTACTGTTACAAGTTTGGTTACAAAAATGGAACATGCACACACTGACACACAGAAGGAATACACAATTGTAATATCTCCCTGGCTCAGTAGCGCCTGCAGTTCATTGTATTACATTGTTTTTATTCACTAAAAAGTCAATAAAACCAGTCAGGCCTATACGCTGGGGGAGTGGGGGGGGGGGGAGGGGTGTTCGAACCAACCACCCCCGCTCTGTGACGAGTTCTGCTCAGAAATTAAAAAACAAAACTAAAAATATCCCCGCCAACAAATTTAACCTTGGATGATCCCCATGGTATTCTGTTCACAGTGTTCGCCCTGATAAACTTTTGATCACAAATTTAGGGGAAAGTGGCCAGGAAATGCCTCAGATTGCACTACCATTTAGAATTCAAAATTTGAATCTGTAAGGGCTTCCCACTCCGCGCTCGCTGAGATCTGAATGATTTAAAGAAGAAATCTGAGCTAATATTCCTCATGGAAGCTCTAAAAATCATACGCAAACATGGCCTTCAACAAAAGCGTGGCACTTGACATGCAATAAATCCGCGCATTAAAATAACGATTAAAATAAGGTCGCGAGTGGGTTTCGTCTTCTCCATGAGATCCCTCACAATTAAAAAAAAAAAAAAAAAAAACGTTATTCAGATATTTTGTCGATGACCGAATATTCCAATATTCAGTATATTCAGAGCAGCCCTACGTTGCATGGCAGAGAAAGTCAAAGTTGGAAGGTTTACTGAAATCCAAAACATTCACTTTGAAATTTGTTAAAACTTTTGGCAGCATGAATACTTACTCCCTGCGACTCCAAAAACCATTTGTGTTCGTTTTCGCTGACGCGTCTTTGTGATGTTCACCGTTACCCTAACGAATTTCTCTTCGCACCAAAATTCGCACCGAAATTTGTATGAAGCATGACCCGGCCATAACCCTGATACTTACCCTGAAGCACCTGCTGTTGACTAGGAAGTACAGATCCACGTTGTCCTCGCCGATCTGTTCGGCGATGTACAGACCGACCGAGCCGTAGTCATCATATATCTGTCTCTTCTTAGCGTCGGTCAGGACTCTGTGAGCTTTATTGATCTCTTTGAACTGTAATTCAAAGACAAAAAGAGTCACATCAGATACAAAAGTATTTCTAGACAGCTTTGGTTTTTGTTGTTGTTAACTTGTTTGGTTTTTGGAATGGTTTTGGAATAAAAAAGGAACCCATAATTAAAATGCAACAATAATGACAGACGTTTGTGACCCTTCAGCGACAAAACCAGTCACTTGGACCATTTCTGAAAACTGGGATTTTGGGCATTTTGGATTTTGAAATTGAAGGTTAACTTAAAACTCTTACAAAATACCCGCGTAATAAGCGTAAGCTTTTCCTGCGTCTCAAATCAGTTGTAGATTCTTTTTGGCCAGATTCGCTCGCAGAATATTTTCTTTATCTTGGTTGCTTTCAATGTATTTTCACTTTTTCAGCGTCTTTAGTTCTCCAATGTCAAATTATTCTCCATTTTTTGTGCATATACCCTGCGTGTGTGTGTGCGACCGTATCGCGCACTACGCTCTGTTGACTGGTTGACAACTGTGAATTTCCATGCTTTTGACTGAGCGGGAACCAGTGAAATGTGTTGAAATGCCCGGATGACTAAGCAATATCAAAAATAATACTGTAGTCATCTGGGTACTTTATTCTGATGTACTTGGAAGTCCGATATAACTAATAATAGGTTTCACCCTTAAACTTCATGTACAAAACAAGATAAATACTGTATTGGTCAGTGCTCTCTGCAAGTTTGTGATCTGATACACCGTGCCCTCTGGAGACGTGTGTACAATAGGGAACAAAAGATTGTATACATCTCCACAGGACAATTTCTATAGATGAATACGACTCCACAAGGTTTTCATGAAATAGATATATGGATTTTACTCAAAAACTAGGAATTTCCAAGGTGGGTTGATCCAGGTCGCAAATGGAAGAGTTTTAGAAAAGGGATATTAAGTGCGAATTTCAGCCAAGGAAATTAATTCTGGTTAAAATAAGAGCATTTTGAAACTTCACTTTCAAACTCGACTTTACTACACAAGAACAAAAAATGTCTCCACAAGGATACAAAATTCAGTATGAGTGAGGAAAAAAACAAAATCGTCCTCACGTGCACATACCAAAGAAGTCAACGACTGAGAAAAACCATGTATTGGGGTCAGGTTGTCAATTACTATATAAATCGATGGAATTATTTATCAAAGCTAACAAAAACCATGGAATAGACACTTCTCTTTTCTGTGTTATTAATTCTCACCTTTTCCTCAGCGGTTGGGTCATCCCGGTTCTTATCCGGGTGGTATTTTAAGGCCAACTGCAACAGAACAAGAAAAAAAACCTCTTTTAGCTATCAAATTCCGTTGTGTCCAATTCCAAGTTCAATTTCTGCCAATACATGTACTCCATTTTTAACCCTGTATGCGGAATTTTCTCATTATCAAAGGCTTAGGAGGTTTTAGAAATCTGGGCGTCACTCACAGCTGTGGCTTTGGGAGATTTTAGGCACCTGACATTGGGATTTCCAATTATTTCTTGAGTTTGTTCAGTGGAGGGCTGACCATTGCCTAAATCCTTCAAAATGCTCCAGCAATCACTGCTAATGGCATGAATGGGTCGAGCTAGTGCCGATAACATTCAGAAGCAGTGCGGATGATATCGAGCATAATACAGGGCTCAATTATGCATGACTGAACATAAACCATGCTGGGTATAAAGCCTACAAACTCGACACAATGCATCCTCTAAAATCAATTGACAGCTCTTTGCCATTCAGCCTCAATCCTCCAAAATCCTCCAAAACGGCCTGGAGGATTGAGGAGAATTGAGGAGGTTTAGGGTTAAAGGCTTCTCAAGATTTTGAAACCAAAGCTAGGGCCATAGCCAGAGATGATGTTGACATTTTGCGGGAAAACAAAACAAAAACTTTGGTCTCCACAAAAGTGACTTTGAAGTTATAAGACCAACATTTGTCACATTATGAAGCATCAAACACAAAACTGAAGCTTTTGTGACTGGACTTGACTGACTCCACTCAAATTCAAAATTGCCCGGTGAATTTACCTACGATCTTGGAGGAGTTGGGTTGAATTATCAAAGGAAGGCTATCAAAAACTATCAATAATTAACCCTCCTATACATTCCATGCCAAGTTGGCCTTTCAGTCAAAATCAAACAAGTGACTGTTTTCAACAGTTAAGAGCTCCCAGCCTACATGTACATAAAGCAGGATTGACTGGCTGTGACTGTTTATGTAACTTGATACAGCTATCCTTTGACTGGGGGTGATTGATAAGCCAGCTGTGCCTACCAGTTTCCTTCTTTTGTCTGCTGACTGAATTTGACTAGTCAGACTGCTCGAAATATGATCTGACTGTTGGCGACTAGCCTGTGTACAAGGCACGGCGGGGGAAGAGGAGTGATTGTTTGAATGTCTGTGACTGTTCAGATAGCAGGAGGGTTCATACCAAAACCAACGAACAAGCAATACACGGACCTTTCTGTAGGCTTTCTTGAGTGCGTCGTTATCTGCTCCTTTTTCGACACCAAGGATTGCATATAACGACTCTCCCGAGGCACTGGAAGAGAAAGACACCACCAAAGAAAAGGTAATCAGAACTCACAAATCACTCAGAGTCAACAAACCTTCTTCTCCAAAATAAAAATATACGCCTAATTAATTCAGTAGAAATTCATATCCATGAAAAACACCATATTGGCCAACTAAAAAAACAACAACCTATGTTTCTCATCATGTTTTTTTTTTGGAGGGGAAAAGGAAGGACGTGGCTTTTTTCCCCTCTCACAAGATGACAGGTTTTCGTAGACGGCAGATACCAGTGGATTAGCTTCCATTTTCTGGACTCCTTTTGCTGTTACTTTGTGTTCAAAGAAGCCGTCACCAGATTTTGAACTTGCAAACACGGCCAAAGGTTTGCTTAGTTTGATGAGCGCGTGAAAACACATAATTATATTGCAAATATTTTTTTTAATGGAGAGGCAGGCAGGAGAGAGGAAGCAGGTTCGATGAGAACTGGATGATTTTTTTTTTAATTGGTCTAAAAAATAAAGGAGCAAACTTATAGTGCATCATTTATACTGACAGATCGTCATTATTGTCATTTTTGCAATGAATGACCTTCACTGAGATGATGTATGAAAGTGGCGTCAGGTTGCTACATTCTTTCCCATCATACACAACTAAATAAATCATGATGATGTCTGAGTCATCACACATTCATTAAACAATTCAACACTCACAATGGTGAGCGATATTCACCCACCATTCCCTCCCCCTGGGCCCTGCCTGCCCAACAACCCACGAGGATTAATCTACATAACATATTTAATTAGTAGATCAATCAGTCAGTTGTGCATGTGTTACGTAACCTTCTTTTTAACTCCAGAGTCCACAAATTTATGAATATTCATTACCGATTATGTTAATCCCGTGATAGCTTTTCTAGACAATTCATCATCACCACGAATCAATACAAACATGACAAATCCAATTTCAATTCAAGCATTAAGAACTCAATAAATCTTCCAATCATTTCAAAAGCATTCAAGTATTTCGGGACGTCAAACTGCTGTTACTGTCTAAACCATCAATCATACACTGTTTACTAATTGTAAAGGTCATACAAAAAATGTTCTATTTCTCGTGGTCATAGATCGAGATCGGAAAGTCCGAGAGATTGGATAGGCCTACCTCATTGACCGTTCTCTTCCGCCGGCGCCGTGCGCGTGGCCATCACCGGTCGTCTCCGCCGGCCCCCCTGTCATCTTTTTCCTCTCTCCTTTCGATAAGTGAAAACACGAGCAGCTAGAATCCAACTAACCATTCAGCAAGTCATAAAATGTTGTCTAAATGCGCACATATCTGATTAAACTTTGTCATTTCGAAACGGGTTTTCTTCCACTCGCATCAATCGCATACATACCTTTGACCATTTACATTACAGTCTGGTACCCTGTTCGTTTGTATCGTTTTATGTTGCGTCAATTATAGGGTAGCAGTCTATAAAATCTCCCAATGCGCACAGTGGGTGCCTTTTTCAACCTCGTATCTTTATCGCGATCCCATAAATGGCGCAATGCACAAACCGATAGCACACTGGTAATGCACTTTGAGCACTGGGAAAGACAACACTCTTAATGACCTTGGAAACCCCCAAAATTGCAATACTTAGAATATGGGTGAAAAATAGAAACGGGAATTTTATACAAACTTTTTTTGGGCGCAGCTGACAGTGAAGCACAGTTATCATAGAATTGGAATATATTGTACTTAAAAAAATGGGCCACTGCAAGAACGAATTCTTCCTCGTTTAGCCTGAACTCAGTTCAGTCAAAGAACAAAACGTTTCCCCTTCCTTAACGGGGGCGTTTCCGAGCGCGCAGACCCTGTTTCAGTTGTGCGGGTACGGTGCAAGAGTGGTGCAAGCCAGTGCAAGTAGTGACGTCGTTTTGTGGCCGACTTGCCCTGAGGTCCACACAAGGTTTCCCCCTCTCTCAAAAAGCAGTTTTAGAGACATTTTAGGGGAAGGGTATTATTGGTCGCAAAATGAAGAGTAAAAAATATAACACTCAAAGAAATCATCATTGAAATTCCGGTTGAAAAGAGATTTCACAGCACAAGTAAAATATTTTTCTTCTGTATTTTTTTTTTATAGGGGACCGTTCTTCTTAACTACACAGCCAAAGGAATGTCCACAAACATAAACATATGTGGAGGGGACTTGCCAATTTTCATTTCTTTAATGAAGCACCAGCCGAGTAAAAAAAAACCACTTTCTTGTCCCCACCCCACTTCCTTTTTTTGCCGCCCCCCAACTTTTTATTCATACATTTTGTAATATATTTGCAAATTTTGTCAATTATTATCTTGAGATTGCATAGTGGAAAAATACTAAGACAAGTTAAGTTTGCGGTAGCACCCATGTGAATAAATCTCTTTTGTGAGTATGTGTGGTTCTGAAAAGAATCGGATTATTATCTTCTTTTCCAAGTAGCTATGTAGAAAGGGTAATGGCTCCTTCGGACACAATTTTGTGTCAGGAAAAGAGTCCCTGGCAAAAATTTTCCTTTTTTTTCTTCTTCAAAAGCCGGACGATTCCCTTCTCGGTTTCATTAATGTGAACGAAAACAAAATGGTGGAAAATAAAACAAATCGGCCACTGTTCCTCTCAGGACAGTTATGTGGGGAAAAGGCAGCTTTCTTAGTTTTCATTGAACAGACAAATCAAGAAAACCAAGTCACTTTTCATCCATTCAAGTCAAGGGGCGAACTAATGTCAAATGAATTTCATATCAAAGTAAAAGTTCTATTCAAGGTAGACTACATAATGTCTATTATGCTTAATTTTGTATCCAGATGAGCCGCCTGGTTTAACTTTTTTTCAGGTAATGCAAATTGTTTTTAATGGTTTCCGCGGAGCCTAGCCGAGAGCTTTCCCAGCCCCCCCCCCCTCCTTCGCCGAAAATCGGATACTATATATATAAAAAAGAAGTTTCATTAATTAGTTTCTTCATGAAAGCCACCGACAAAAACAATCATGCAAATTTTAATGTATACTTACCAAGCCGTCCTTCCCCAAGCGCCCTCTACGACTTCATTGAAAAAAAAATGGTGGTATCCAAAATTTGAAAAGAAAAAAACATCCGGAAAATATCGGGACAAATTATTTTTGTTACACCATATCTGCCCTAGAAAATATTTGGTAAACAGATCTTGAAATAGTTTAAAGAGTCCATTGGGAAGAATTTTAGTGAGGAACACATTTTGTGCAACTTTCTACTCCTCTTAAATGTATGAAAACTAATGGATATCCCTTTGGGGGTTAATTTGTATTGAAAAGTGCGCATCTTTAAGTTAAAATTTGGGAAGACACTTCTATATTTAGGGCTTTTCTGTTCAAACTGTGCGAGCCCAACAATTTGCTCATTGAAAATATTTGTGAGAAATGCTTGTCCATTGTCTTACTGCCACGTACTAACACAAATGAATCACCCCCAAAAAAGAAAATTTACGACAGCAAAATATCCAAAATTCTTGCACTTTTTGGTGCTGAAACATGAAGGTTTCTGCCTGAAATGTCATCACACTTTGCTTCTGAATATAGAAATTCGCATGAGCATAAAAACCAAAAAAAGGCACCAAAATACCTTTGTAAATGACAAAACGAAAACTGAAAATAGAGTCAAATGTGACACAAAGGTACATTTGCAAGGATGGCATTAAAAACATCTTACATTATGGGCCCTTAAATAATCAAAATTTAAAGCCTTTACGCACTTACACCAACGTTGTTTCTTTAAAGTGCGAGTGCACAACAAGCTCTGGCCATATGTTGCGTGAAAGTCTTGCATGAAATTTATCGACCAAAACGATCCCTGCCAGAGCCTAAAAATGTGACGCCGACAAATGCGACGCCAATGGCACATATGGAACACCATACTTTTGATTAATTTTCCGTTGACAGACAGACAGACCAACCACCAAGTGACATGTAAAAGCTCCTGCCAAAGCTGAAATATGCCCATGGGCGTCGCCTGGATATTCTTTCCGGGGGGGGGGGGAAGCAAATTTTTCCCCAAACTCCTTTAAGTTCTTCATTATATTCTCAATTTATCATTTTTTTCCGAGCGTGAGCAGGGGAGCATTTGCCCTCCCCCCCTCCATCAAATTAACAGCAAGATGGCTTCGCACCTCTTTTCCCTTTGTTTTTCTCTTCCTCTTTGTTTTCCCGTTTTCCGGGGGGGGGGGGCAAGTGCCCCCTTGCACCCCCCTCCCCCCCCCCCCCCCCGGCGACGCCCATGAATATGCCAGCAGTGCGACCTCATTAGTAAATACTACGAGAACTAACAAAAGGTTTGGTCAGTCGTTTGAAGAGTTTATAGAAATATTCTGAGCGTAAAAATTGATTTCGTTTCAGTATTCATGTATAGCTGAGGAAATGCACAAACAACATAAATGAGGAGAAAAGGAGATCATTTTTAGCAACAAAAGAAAATATTTGAATCACACAATTATTAATATTTCAGTACTTTCGTTGAAAATCTCCACTACTTTCTACTACTTGTATACCAGATGCAAATTTACTAAACAATGCGAGTGGAACACTAATTCTTAAATACACCAAAATTGATATAAAATTTCTTGCATTTTTCTTCACACGATAAAATACAATATACTGCATGTACAAAGCTTAGATTAAGTTTTAATTAATACAAAATAATACTGACAATTATTTCAGCCGGTTGTACTGAAGACTTTTAAGATACAGAAACACAATTCTTTTAAAGTTACAAATATGAACATTTTAAGATAGCATTGAATTGTATAATAACACTCTTCAAAACAAACTCAAAGTTTCGCGTAAAATACTTTATTGCAAAATCATTTAAGGTGTTAATTTGATCTTTTTAATGTATGCAGAATGCAGCCTCGAAGCTATATAAGTGTAAATAATAAGCAGTTTTAAAGTAAGCATATTTGGAATTTAACCAAAAACTTACAGTTGCTGCCAACGTTTTAAAAGTGTTTTAAGCGTAGATGGTATTTTTGTGTTCAATTTGAAATTTCTTAGCATAATGTCACAAGAAAAGCTTTAGTAATTCTATTTCAACAATGTAATTGCTTAATCAGCAATTTCTGAATATATATCTTCTACTAAGTATAAACAAAAGAAGAAAGTTAACTTAAAAGTTTTTTTTTTTTTAGCTTTTTATGTAACAGTTTACAAGTGTTAAATCATTCACGAGAAAGTAACAAATGCATAAAAATGACAAAATAATCCATGGTTGATATTTCAATAAAGAAAGAGGAACATTACACATCTGCAAAACTTTTAAATTTTTTTTGATGGAAGTGCCAAACTCTCAAGTTGTCAAGCACGCAAATGGACAAATTGTTATTTTTTTTCAAAGACACAATACAATTATTGTAATTCTTAACTTACTTGAAAAACAACTGATTTTGTTTTGAAAATTTCATCTTATTCTAACCATATCGTCTGCTTCAGTTTATACATGTTCTTTGGTGCAGTTGTACAAAAAAAATTGAACTGGAGTTGAATCGAGGAATCATTTAGCAATCATTTTCGTCGAGTGGCAACACGGCGGGGGATGCTTCGTACACGGGGTTGTCGAGGGAACTAATCTTGCCCTCCTTCTTTCCTCTCTTTTTTGACGGCTAAAAGAGAAGGAAAAAAAATGGCGACGGCAACAATTTAAAATGGGAAGAAAAAATCAGGAGAAAATGTTGCCAACCAGACGCCACTTTTTTCTTCATATTATCATCTCAATGAAGGTCAGTCATTGCAAAAATGACGATAAGGCCCCCCCAAAAATAAGTCGGTCTCTGGTCAGCGCGTGCGTCGATTTTAATCATGCGCGTCGATCTTTTTTTTTCCAAAATGTTCCGTGGTAGCTCCAACAGCGCCCTCTATTTCCGCACCTCCTCAATTTTTTTTTTCACCAAAGAGCACCAAGGAATGGAAATTGCACCAAGGCAAATGATCGAAAGCACCAAGGCAAATTATGGAGGACACCAATGTACATGAGGACACCAAAAAAGCAAAATAGTACCCCACCTTGTCTGTACAATCCAAGCTTGAAGAAGAAAAAAAAAAAAAAAAAAAAAAAAAGCCGCGTGGCCGCGTCAATTCCAGAACTTTGGTCTGACCAGAGACCGAATATTATTTTTTTTTGGCCTAAGACATGAATCTGGTACTGAGAAACATTTTCCAATTTTGTTAGGAAAATTTTCTTGAATCTCCATAGACTTTGCACACAATCGCGGAAGTGGTGTCAGGTTGCAACATTTTTTTTCCAAAACTTATCCATAAAATGACTAACAAAATAATGGCGAGGGCATCATTTTAAAAGGGACAACTGATCAAAATGAGAAAGCAATGCTATCGAGGCAACATTTTTCAAAGGGTAAACAATTTACCAATTGATCAACATGAGAAAAAATGGTGAGGGCAAACATTTTTGAGAAGAAAAAAACACTTGAACAATTTATCAATTTAACAAATTGGTGAGAACAAAATGTTTGAAAGGGAACACAATAGAACAATTGAACAAAATGACCCAAAAAATATGGCGAGGGCAACATCCTTAAAAGGGAAAAAAAGACCAATTTATCAAAATGAGAAAACCAAATGGTGGAAACAAGATGTTTGAAAGGGAAAAAATTTAACAATTGATCAAAATGAACCCCCCCCCCAAAAAAAAAAATGGCGAGGGCAAAACTGTTCAGAAGGCAAAAAACAATAAGACCAATTTATCAAAATATGAAGACAAAAGGGCCAAAATGTTGAAAAGGGGAAAATTGAACAATTGACCTAAATGACAAAAAAAATATGGCAAGTGCAAAATTGTTAAGAAGGCGACAAAAATAGTCAATTGATCAATATAAAAAAAAGTAAAAACAAAATTTTGAAGGGGAAAAAAAAAATGATCAATCGACCACAATGACAAAAATAATGGCGAGGGCAACATGGTTAAGAAAAAAAAAGAAAAAGAAGAGGGAAAAAAAAGACAAAAACAAAAAACGGCAACGAAACAACAAAGAAAAAACCATCCTCCAAAACTCACTTTAGGAACTTACCCCCTCCCCAGAAAACATGCCCGGATCATAACCGCTGGCCGAAAACTGGAAAAGAAAATGACAAACAAAAAAAGACGAAGAGAAAGGTTAAACTGTGGATAGAATCTGAACATTTCAAACTGACTTTTTGTTTCAATTGTGATTTTACAACGGTAAAGGAGATATAAATGTGCCAAACTTACGTCTGTGAGAGCTGTTTCGCCAAAGCTGTCCGCCCCGTATGCTGGGTTCTCTAATCCTGTCTCAGTGTTCAGTCCGCCAAAACGTCTGCGGAGAAAATGAGGAAACAAAAAATGAAAATTGATACTTTATTGTCTGTTGTTGAAGCACGAGTTCACAACGATGATGTTGCATTCGCCTTGTTATTTCTTAAATTTCACCCCGAATTGTTTTTCAATCGCTATTTTCTTAGAAATTAAAAAAAGTTGTTCGCTTTTGAATGAGACATCATCTGAAAAAACCAACAGACCCATTAACAGGTATCGAATTATTTCTTTACAAAATTTAAAATATATGCGTCCAGACAATAATCTGGCTCTCGCCCAAGAACACAATGTAATTGGGTACCGTTCTATTCGGTTTCGCGACTCATATTATTAGAGGGTCAGAGGTTCAAATCCAGCTGCTGGTCATATGAGATGCGATCAAGCTAAATGAGTCGTTTGTTGACCCCGGTCAAAATTTGGTTTATTACAGATTTTAAAAGAGCACAATCTCAGCATTACTGCTGTGAAAACCGCATGCTGATACCATCTTTAGTTAAAAAATTATGGTAAGTCGGAACACCAAGAAATGTGATGAAGTGATATGATGAAGTGGCCCTATTTTGACCTGTATCTCCACATGAAAATTCCCGACAAACGACTCATGTAGCTTGATCGCATCACATATGTTGTGTCCTTGGGCAAGCCACTTCACCCCTACTTGCCTCTCTCCACCCAGGAGTATAAGTGGGTACCGGCATGAACTGGGGAGTGAGGAGTAACCTGCGATGGACTGGCATCCCATCCAGGGGGAATTGAATATTTTCAGTTTTTTCATGCCAAGGAAACCGGAGATAAACACAAGTCAAAGTGGTGAGCCATATTGGCTTGTGACAGATTTTAAATATTTTCAACAAGCCATTTGCGAGTGACCTATACCGTTTGGGATTTAAATTTGAAAAACATCTGGTACACTGACTTTCTCGCAATGCTTGGCACATTTTAACTTGGAATTCTCCGGACCAAAGACACTGTTGCTAATCACATGATTCAGGGCAAGCTCTTGCATAGTTACGTAAGAGACGCTCAGCACCAATACATCGTTCACAGTGGGTGAGAATGGCACAAAGACACCAGACCATGCCAGAGCTGGGGGCTGCTGGCATAAGGCTTGCCCCGAATCACGTGATATAGTAACAGTCTCTTTGGTCGGGAGAATGCAAACTCAAAACGTGCAAAGCATTGGATTAAGTCAGCGTTCCAGATTGTATTCAAATTGAAATCGTAAATGGCCTATTAATCGGAGAATAATTTACTTGGTCTGCTGGAATCGTTTGTTGTACAGATAGCCGATGATAACCAGGAGGACGATGACAAGGACGCCACCGACAACGCTGATGGCAATGATTGCAGCATCTACCAAGAAAAAAAGACAGAACATCACGAAATGTGGAGAATAAAAACCACACCAAAAGTTGGAAATCGAAGATTGGAATCTAAAACTGACTGAGGGGGTTAGGGATAGGGTTGTGGGAAGTTGGGGGGGGGGGGAGGGACAAGGCGAAGATGCCTTCATGCTTTTGGGGTCAGAACGGCAATGGGCCCCAATGTAGGATCCCAGGAAATAAATTAAACTGGCTGTCCAATATTCGGCCACTTTGTCAGACATGCAACTGGGAATTCAGAAAAAAAAACCCGTGAAATTCCAAAACCACACAAGACTCTGTACAGTGTTTTTTAATTTGTAATGGCATTCATGAGAAGTAAAAAACGAGGAAATCAGCGGTTCCGAGGAAAAATGCATGCCTGCTTTGTCCTTTCATTGGTTGATTTGTTTTTTGGGGGCTGAATATAAGAGAGGGCCGGCCTTCAGTCCTCTTACTGACTGACTGACTGCCTTGCTGATTAACTCACTGTCACCCGTCCAGCCCATTGGGTGGGAGTCAGGTTGGCGTAGCGGTACTTTCCTCGCCTTCCACCGCTGTGACCCGGGTTCGAATCCCGCCTGGGCAAACACGCGGATTGGGTTTTCAGTCCCTGCCTGATTCCCGTGGGTTTTCCCCAGAATATTCTTCTGGGCTTTTCCTCCCGCCTCTGAAACTGTAACTTCTTCTCTCCGCAGGTTTCTTCAGGCTTGCGAGCTACAGTGCCTAGGACGCTTTGGAGGAATCCTTGGTTTCATTACCAGAAATGATTAATACTACTACTAATAATAATAATAAAAAGATACATGAAGAGACTTCCAATGAGCCGCCATTCTGAGTAAATTGACTAGAATTGTGTGTGCCCTCGGACCAGCTGTTAACTAGTCTTGCCATTTGTCTTGGTTACTTACTTGATACCTCGCCCTGCGGAACGGCAGTATTCTCGGGGCCTTCCGTCGTAGTGATGTTGGCTGTATGGGAATGAAAATTGGCAAAAAAAATCATCAAAATGGTTACAGACAAATCCGGCCGCAGCCTTTTTCTGAGGTGGCGCCAGGCTTGCACGAGTCGCGCTCAGGTAGTACGCGCGAACTCCGGGCTCCTTTGACCAATAGGAATACCAAAATGGGCGTGCGCCTCGTCTTTAAGAATGCGTGCAGCATGCGCGTGAGCGTGACACCACCGCAGTAAAAGCTTCTAATTCTGGTTGCCGGATTCCACTACAGGTGCAATCCCTGGTTGAATGGTAAACATCCCCCAAAAAGCTTTTCTGTTAGAAAGTCTAATCAGCTATAAATCCTTCACATGCTACATGTCTTTGTGCTTCCCAATGTTTGGAACGTTTTGTACACAAAAATTGGGAGCCAAGGGCCATGTTCGGTATAGTGGTGTTCGGTAAAGCGACGTTCCACTGTAATAATATTGGATTGCTTTTTTGGGGGGATACACATATATAATGCACTGGCTATGACAATATATTCTCGTATCCACCTCAAAGCCATGCAATATTATGTAACTATTTGCATGCTTAGGTCTGCTTACGGCAGCCCATTTCGTCCTCCCCGTCTGTGCACTGATCCCGACCGTCGCACTCGTCCGTTGCAGGAATGCACAGGTCGTCCGCTGTGCACTTGAACTGCTGGTCGGTGCAGGTTACCGGCGGAGTGCCGGTGACCGGGGCCGTTATCAGATTGTCGTTGGAGGGCGAGCAGCCGAGGGTAAAACTAACATCGTCGACGGCAATGTTGCCGTTAAGGCTGTTGCCATCGGGATTGTTGGCTATGCTGGCTTGGAAGCTGATCTGCAGATTTTAATTTTTTTTTTAGAAAAAGCAAAAAAAAAGAAGATTGTTTTAGTCACATTTGTGGCTATTGTTGCGATATGTAAATTAGGGACTACTTTGTTTGCGTAAGCCTACTAGGCAATCTGGTGTCCTCTTTTTACTTCTTCCATTGCTGCGTGGTGAATGGCACAGGAAAGGAACAAACGTCTCCATTTGTCCCTTATATCTATTGGTCATCACACTTCATGGTGGCAGCGGTGGGATCACTTTACTAACATTTTTTTTTAGTGAAAGATCGCCGCGTTTCATAAATATACGGGCGATAAGCGAGTTCCGTATTCCAACTGCGCATGCGCACATCAAGGTTTGCTGATTTGTCTCTCGGGATTAAAATATAAAAATGCGTGCCAAAGGATAGCGGGGTACCAGCAAAATTGAAGAGACCATTCTCTTCTGAACTTTGCAAGGAGACTGGCTCCCGATCCATACATTACCAAATACGGATTGTGAGGTGGGAACCAGCCTACCTCGCGAGAACGGAATTATTGTCCGGCAGCCAATACTTCAAAATTGTTAAGTATTAACTAAACCATGGATTGATGTCTCATTTAAAAATGAGCAACTGTTGTATTGCTAGAAAAATAGCAATTAAGGCCAAAACAAAAAAGTCTCCGCGGTTTCTGGTATGCGCGCGCGTGGCCGTAGCCATGCGCGTCGGCAAAATGAAAAAGTTTTGTTTTCAATGAAAGATGATGTCTCAAAACCGCCAAACTCACTGGTTTGACTGGAATCCTGCTGCTGCACAATTTTAACGTGTTTTTAGATTGGGCTATGGTCGAGAATAAGCTTTATGTGGCCTCTCTGGACTCCCATATATTTGCACTAAGTTTAGTCGGGCACCATTTGCAGTCATCAGCCGACATTTGAAGCAAAAAAGTCAGGTAAAAAAAAAAAAAAAAGCCGCGTCGCCGCACCACTTTTTGGGCAAGGCTCCATACCAGAAACCGGAGACTTTTTTTTTTTGGCCTAAGGAAAGGAATCTCTTTTTTGGGATGAAAAAAAAAAAAAACCAGCAAGGCGAACGCAACTTCAAGAGCTTCGGTCAAGACAAAGTGTAAGTGAAGAGGTCTGGTACCTGGAAGACTCTGGTGCCTCCATTCACAACTTTTTCCGCTCGCAGCCACTTGTTCTCCTGGCTGCCCGAAGCAGACCACACGACGGCCGCTTGGAAGTTGCTGTCCTTGTATTCACGTTTCAATACCTTGAGGTCTTGAACGTCGTTGCCGAACATGTAGTAGAAGAACCGGATCTAGAACGTAAAAAAAAAATATATTTTTTTTCTATTATGTCTTTTTTTTCTTTGAACATGACAAGGCAAGCTTAGTGCTGGTCCCTGAGTGCACAGGATTCCCGATTCGGAGCGGCTTTGCAACGGAAGTCCTTTCGCAGACTGTGAAAGGGGACGAATGTTCACAGGAACGGAGTGCCCATCTCTCTTTCGAAGCGATTGGGCCAGACTAGTCCATGAAATGCTGCTGAGGGGGATCGCCACACCTCCTCCACACAGCGAGTCTGTTACCTTCCCAGCATTGAATAATGCCAGTACCCATTTAAAAACCTGGGTTGAGAGGAGTAATTGAGGTAAAGCGCCCTACTCAAGGGCACAACACGCATGGCATCAAACCCACAATCTCACGATCATGAATCCTGTGCTCTACCACCAGACCACACGTGGCACCATTGCAAAATGTGGCCTACCCGCACAATGGGATGGATTTAGACCGCTCATTGGAGCTAGGCGGTAATCCTATATGATAGCACCGCCCAGCTCTCTTCGCTAGCTCAGGCCAAGGGCGGATCCAGAACACAATTTTGGAGGGGGGGGCCACAACAATTTTTGGACCCCCCAAAAAGTGGGTCAAAAATTTACGGCGTGGGGTTCGGGGCCCGCTTAAGGGCCCCGAAATTTGTTTGGATTCTAGATGCTCTGTGGTGCGATCTGAGGCAATTTCTGACCACTTTAGCCAAATTTTTTGAGGAAAAGATGGTGGTGTACTCATTGCCTGCCTTTATTGCGATGTTACATAAAAAAAAAAAAATTGGTCTCGTTTTGGAGGGGGGGGGGGCCATGGCCCCCTTTGGCCCCCCCCCCCCTGGATCCGCCCTTGGCTCAGGCATGCAAACTTGCCAAATGCCACAGTTTACAAGGCTTGTTGGGTGGCAAGCCGGAAGTGGTGGGACAGCTCGGCCGTTGAAAAGCCAGGCCACGCCTGGGCAAAGCCCTTTTTTTGGCGTCGGCCTTCTCTCCACGCAGACCATGCAACTGTCAAGTTTGGTTGAGATTGATGACTGAACTTGACAGTGAAACGGAACACAAACGCACCCTGACACACGGACACACAGAAAGAATACGCGATCGCAGGCTTGAAAGCCTGGGGGATAAAACACGTACGCAACACAGATACTGAAATTTGTATTCTTGTGGAGACATTTCTTTGTTCTCGTGTTGTAAAGTTTTCGAGTTTGAAAGTGAAGTTTCAAAATGCTCTTGTTTTAACCAGAATTAATTTCCTTGGCTAAAATTTGGACTTATAATATCCCTTTTCTAAAACTCTTCCATTTGGACGGATCAACCCACCTTGGAAATTCCTAGTTTTTGAGTAAAATCCATATTTATCTATTCCGTGATAACCTTGTGGAGACGTATTCATCTATTGAAATTTGCCCTGTGGAGACGAATACAATCTTTTGTTCCCTATTGTGTGCATGTCTCCAGAGGGCACGGTGTATCAGTTCACACGGACAGACATGTACAGCATAAGATCTTTTAATAAAGGATAAATCTCGTTCCCCATCTCATGATTCAGCGACTGTCGTCTTACCGTGCAAGTCTTATCAGCTGGTATGACGTATTTGCCGCTGACTAGGTTTGCCGTCTTGCCGTAGTTGCCAGAGGCTGAGGCGGCGTACATGTAGGAACCTGAAATACAATCAAATATGAAAACAAACAAAATGAAACATAAATTATTATTGGGTGTGGTCCGTAACTGGGCTAGGTTTGGGGTGACAAAATGCAAGCTGGACTTTGCCGGGTGCAGTGGTGTGATCCCCAGTTGGGCCAATGTTACTATATGGGAGTTAGTTGCCCTGATTAGGCTCGGTATAGATTCAGTTTTGGCTAGGCTTTCTCTGTGCACGTCCTTAATACCTGACTCAGGTGGTTTGGTCCCCAGTTAGGCTGGTGTTACTAGATGGGACCTTGCCTTATTGAGCTCGATATAGACTTAAGTAGGCTAGGCTTGCTAAGCACCTTTACCTGGTCCAGTGGTGTGATCCCCAGTTGGGCCAGTGTTACTAGATGGGACCTTGCCTCATGGGCTCGATATAGACTTGCGTAGGCTAGGCCTGCTAAGTACCTTTACCTAGTCCAGTGGTGTGATGCCCAGTTGGGCCAGTGTTACTAGATGGGACCTTGCCTCATGGGCTCGATATAGACTTGCGTAGGCTAGGCCTGCTAAGTACCTTTACCTGGTCCAGTGGTGTGATGCCCAGTTGGGCTAGTGTTACTAGATGGGACCTTGCCTCATGGGCTCGATATAGACTTGCGTAGGCTAGGCCTGCTAAGTACCTTTACCTAGTCCAGTGGTGTGATCCCCAGTTGAGCCAGTGTAACCAGATGGGATCTTGCCCTAGTTGGGTATAGATTCAGCGTAAGCTAGGATTGCTACATGCCCTTACCCGACCCAGTGGTGTGATCCCCAGTTGGGCCAGCGTTACTAGATGGGATCTTGCCCTAGTTGGGTATAGATTCAGTGTTAGCTAGGATTGCTACATGCCCTTACCCGACCCAGTGGTGTGATCCCCAGTTGGGCCAGCGTTACTAGATGGGATCTTGCCCTAGTTGGGTATAGATTCAGCGTAAGCTAGGATTGCTACATGCCCTTACCCGACCCAGTGGTGTGATCCCCAGTTGGGCCAGCGTTACTAGATGGGATCTTGCCCTAGTTGGGTATAGATTCAGTGTTAGCTAGGATTGCTACATGCCCTTACCCGACCCAGTGGTGTGATCCCCAGTTGGGCCAGTGTTAGTAAATGGGATCTTGCCCTAGTTGGGTATAGATTCAGTGTAAGCTAGGATTGCTACATGCCCTTACCCGACCCAGTGGTGTGATCCCCAGTTGGGCCAGCGTTACTAGATGGGATCTTGCCCTAGTTGGGTATAGATTCAGTGTAAGCTAGGATTGCTACATGCCCTTACCCGACCCAGTGGTGTGATCCCCAGTTGGGCCAGTGTTACTAGATGGGATCTTGCCCTAGTTGGGTATAGATTCAGTGTAAGCTAGGATTGCTACATGCCCTTACCCGACCCAGTGGTGTGATCCCCAGTTGGGCCAGTGTTACTAGATGGGATCTTGCCCTAGTTGGGTATAGATTCAGTGTAAGCTAGGATTGCTACATGCCCTTACCCGACCCAGTGGTGTGATCCCCAGTTGGGCCAGTGTAACTAGATGGGATCTTGCACTAGTTGGGTATAGATTCAGTGTAAGCTAGGACTGCTACATGCCCTTACCCGACCCAGTGGTGTGATCCCCAGTTGGGCCAGTGTTACTAGATGGGATCTTGCCCTAGTTGGGTATAGATTCAGTGTAAGCTAGGACTAGCTACATGCCCTTACCCGACCCAGTGGTGTGATCCCCAGTTGGGCCAGTGTTACTAGATGGGATCTTGCCCTAGTTGGGTGTAGATTCAGTGTTAGCTAGGATTGCTACATGCCCTTACCCGACCCAGTGGTGTGATCCCCAGTTGGGCCAGTGTTACTAGATGGGATCTTGCCCTAGTTGGGTATAGATTCAGTGTAAGCTAGGATTGCTACATGCCCTTACCCGACCCAGTGGTGTGATCCCCAGTTGGGCCAGTGTTACTAGATGGGATCTTGCCCTAGTTGGGTATAGATTCAGTGTAAGCTAGGATTGCTACATGCCCTTACCCGACCCAGTGGTGTGATCCCCAGTTGGGCCAGTGTAACTAGATGGGATCTTGCCCTAGTTGGGTATAGATTCAGTGTAAGCTAGGATTGCTACATGCCCTTACCCGATCCAGTGGTGTGATCCCCAGTTGGGCCAGTGTTACTAGATGGGATCTTGCCCTATAGTTGGGTATAGATTCAGTGTTAGCTAGGATTGCTACACGCCCTTACCCGACCCAGTGGTGTGATCCCCAGTTGGGCCAGTGTAACTAGATGGGATCTTGCCCTAGTTGGGTATAGATTCAGTGTAAGCTAGGATTGCTACATGCCCTTACCCGACCCAGTGGTGTGATCCCCAGTTGGGCCAGTTCTACTGGATGGGATTGCGCCCTTGGTAGACTTCCATTCGAACGTAGTCGCTCCCGTCACTTGAGTCCATTTGCAGGGGCCCTGGTCAAAGTTGCAGCGTAGTCCATTATTATCGTAATCTCCTACAATCATTACAATCAGAAAATAAGAAGGGAGAACAAATTACTGTCAAGTTCCATTGAATGGAATTTCCCACCAAGGTAATAAAAGTTCTGTTAATTATTATTGGGCTGTACGTGGTCCGATGGTTACGGTGTTCGACTCATGTGTTCGAATCCTGACGGGGGAAGTCATGGTCTGACTGGAAACATGGTCCTTGTGCTCGTGAGCAAGGCACTTTACCATAATTGCTTTGTCCTCAGATCAGATGGGACGTAAAGCCGTAGGTCCCAGGTGTTATGTAATGCACGTTAAAGATAACACTTATCGCTATTGAGAAGGGGTTTGCCCCGGTGTTTCTGACAGTGGCTGCAACATGCGCTGCAGCGCCTTTATAAGGGTGCTACATAATGGGACTAACATTTCTCATGAACTTCATTTACCTGTCTTTAATAATTGACATAATTACCAGCGCCTTGAGTGCCTAATTGTTGACAGATACGTGCACTGTACAAGACTCCGGTATTAATCAGACCACAGATCTTGCTTCTTTTTGGACTTACCGCAAGTGAATGCTGCCTCGTCCGTGTTGTCGCAGCAGTCCTTCTGAAAGTCGCAATCACCGGACGGCGAGTAGCAGTGGCCTGACTTGCACTGCTTCAAGTCCGGGCAGGTCTTGGGGACCTCGTAAGCGCAGTTGATAAATCGCAGGTCATCCAGGGCGATTCCTGCAGTGGGAATCGCGTTCTTGTTTTGGACTTCCACCAGGATCTACGTGAAAGAGAGATATGATTACTTCTGGAAAGTTGCTCTTAAGTTTGGAGTCCCCCCCCCCCCCATGAAACTTTTTTTTTTCTTTTGAAATTGCCAGTTTTCTATTGACACAAATGTTATTCACTTTTGAAAGAGAATTCCAGCAAAAAAACTCTTCCCGTGTTTAGCAGAGTTGTAAGTGATATTACATCACAGGTTTTTACACGTGAAATCACTGGTGAAATCACTGGTGAAATCACTGGTGAAATCACTGGTGAAATCACTGGTGAAATCACTGGTGAAATCACTGGTGAAATCACGAGTGAAATCACGAGTGGAATTGCAAGTGAAATTGCAAGTGAAATCACGAGTGAAATCGCGAGTGAAATCGCGAGTGAAATCGCGAGTGAAATCGCGAGTGAAATCGCGAGTGAAATCGCGAGTGAAATCGCGAGTGAAATCGCGAGTGAAATCGCGAGTGAAATCGCGAGTGAAATCACAAGTGAAATCACAAGTGAAATCACAAGTGAAATCACAAGTTACCATCACTTAAACAGGAAATGAACAAACAAAGGAATGTTGTTTTCAGAGTACATTTGAAAAGTTTGTGACTTGAATTGGGACTAGATGATTTGTGATGCATTTGAGATTGACTTGTGATGGACTTGTGATGGACTTGTGATTGATATGTGATGGACTTGTGATGGACTTGTGATAGACTTGTGATGGACTTGTGATGGACTTGTGATGGATCTGTGATGGACTTGTAATGGACTTGTGATTGACATGTGATGGACTTGTGATGGACTTGTGATGGACTTGTGATTGACATGTGATGGACTTGTGATGGACATGTGATGGACTTGTGATGGACTTGTGATGGACTTGTGATGGACATGTGATGGACTTGTGATGGACATGTGATGGACTTGTGATGGACTTGTGACTGACTTGTGATTGACTTGTGATGGACTTGTGATTGACATGTGATGGACTTCTGATAGACTTGTTATTGACTTGTGATTGACATGTGATGGACTTGTGATTGACATGTGATGGACTTGTGATAGACATGTTATGGACATGTGATGGACTTGTGATGGACATGTTATGGACATGTGATGGACATGTTATGGACATGTTATGGACTTGTGATGGGCCTGTGATTGGCCTGTGATGGACATGTGATGGACATGTAATCGGTTTGCGATTGAATTTGATTCCTTCTACCCACCGTGAATGTGTCGGTGCAGCTAGGCACCGTCGCCACAAGGTTATCCCACTTGTTGTAAGGGCCGGCGTTATCTGACATCCGGGCCAACACAAGCGGCTGGCCGGCCACCGAATAGGTAATGGTGATGTCGCCGAACGCGCCGCCGAACAGGTAGTAGTACAGGCTGAAGCTGCAGCTGGTACCCGGCTTGTGGAAGTTATGTGATTCCAGTTGGCCCTTATAAGTGTTCTGGGAATCGGCACCGGTGGTGTACATGTAGACGCCGGGGGCTGTGTGCGAGGCACAACCGAAAATAAGATTGGTAACAACAAGTGAAGAGGAAAGTGGAGAGCCTACTAGAGCACTATAGTCGGACGCTTTTACCATGTTAGAGTTCTTGGGCTAGACACGTTAAACCCCAGTCACACGTTTACGCTTTGGAGCTATACATCCACGGTTTACCAAGAATCAATCGATCATGATGAACCGTCGAGATTCATGGAGAATTTGACTTTTTAAGAATGCATCACAGTTTCAGGACGGATAGCCAGGACTGTCTTACGGTTTCTCTACGAATACACCACGATTTGTCAAGAATATGGACGGACTGGCGAAGAATATCAACGGTTGTCTGCAATATGGCCATGGAAGACCAAGGTTCTCCTACGAATAAAGAGTGGATATTGGATATTGTGCGCGGAAGGAAAATGCAGCGTGGCATTGGAGCGGAGCACGTGTTATGTCCACGTGCGCACTGGGCGGAGCTTACTGGATCGGTCCATTCATCGATGATGTTGCATGTGTGTGTTCTTCGATTTACACCATAAACAAACGCAGAGTCTCCGACTTACCCGTAGCGCTGTTTCCCGTGAAGTCATTGGCGGGACCTTTGAAGTCGTCGGATGTTTTGCCGGAGCGCATGGACAGGTCAAAATCGCCGGTTTGTCGCCACCCGCAAATAGTCTCATCCTCAAAGGTGCACTTGGAGGCTGTAAGAACATTTGGACAATTTGGCCTTTAAACATTGCCTGACGAAAACGGCCCTCTTAAGAAAGTGGCTAGTTTCACACACCATTTTGGACCTCTGTGGAGAGCCCCTGGGGAGCCCTTTAGTGAACAAAACTCCCCTCCCTGCTCCACAGTCCCAGCGAGATAACCACTTGTGGTTAAATGAACTACCACCTGTTGGCCACACTGCTTTCTGGAACTATACTTTCTGGTGATTGTGGTTGATGCTAGCATAGCAGTAAAAGATCCTTCTCGGCCATTTATTCACCGATTTTCACAGTTCAACATATAAAACAAGTCAACATTTTAGATACATCATCATGATAATACTTTTAGATTGAATTTAGCAACAAAATAATATGCTTGAAATCTCTTAGGCAGAGTGACCTTAATTCGCTCCTTTATGGAACCAGTTATAGGATATAGTGCGGTTACGAGTCTTAATCCCCCAGGGCAAACTCTCCAGGACGGGTGTGTCCCAACCCAAGTGGCCTATATGGTTGGTCGGGTTGGTCTTAAGAGGAGTGTTCACCTCATGAGACCCAGGGGCGGCGGAATGCTTTTCAAACTGGGTGGGGGGGGGGGGGGCAACACCAAAAAGGGGCACTTGCTCAGAAAAAGGGGCACCTTCCGTCAGTGTGAAAGTGGAGGAAAAGAACATGCTCCAATTCATTTCGCTATAAACTTATTTGACGAGGAACAAATTATGAACACTTTTCCATCTTGAGAGGGGCACAATTTTAATGTTGCGAGCGGGGCACTTATTGTGCAGTTTTCCATCTCGACAAGTTATCGCGAGAGGAGTACTATTGTTTTTTTTATGGCCAATTTCCATCTCGAGAGGGGCACAATTCTATTATTGCGAGATGGGTATTTGTGCTTTCGAGGGGTAGTTTTCCATTTCTAGAAGGTGTACATCTTGTTTAATGCAAGAGGGGTGCTTGTGTCTTTGAGGCAGTTTTGGGTTACCAGAGAGGAGACAATTTTATTTGTAGCGCGATCACATGCTTGCATACGTGTGTGTTTGAGGGGCAGAATTGTTTTCATCTTGCGAGGCACATTTATAACCGCAAGAGGGGCATTTTTGTTGGCCTGGGAAAATCTGGGGGCCAAGTGTCCCCCCCCCTCCCATTCCGTCGCCCCTGATTGGACCTTTAAAATAAGACAACACCTGTTATTTGTGTCAGCCAATATATGAATCTGCCATACACACAGAGTAAAGTGCTTTTGAGAAGTATTTTTTTAATTTGGCTTGAAGCATGTCAAACTGTTTCTTTGTTTTTCTATTGGAAAACAGTCAGCAGATCTCAAAAGGGTAAAAGGTCCTTATGAAAACTTTTTGCAGTTTGACCCTGCTGGAAACTTACGGCACGTTTTTTCGTCGGAGCCGTCCAAACAGTCAGACTTGAAGTCGCAGACTAGGGCTTGGTCGATACAATTCCCGTTGTCGCACCGGAACTGGCCCGTGCCACAGGCTGGGTGACCTGCACAGAAGAAAGCAAACAAAAACGTTTACAATTTTTTTCAGGTAGCATTTTGTGTAATTTTTCTGTAAATTAAAGAGACACTGCGTCCTAGAACAGCCCAATTGGACTACAAAACGCGCTTTGAACGAAATGCTGTTAATAGGAAGGAACATTTAAAAGTAGGATTTAAACATCCACACAACTTTCCTTTTAAAACTGGGCGTGTTTTGTGTTATTCCTGTGCTATGCCTGCAAGAACAACTTTCGGGGTCCGCTTTTGCAACCCCATAAAATCGAGCTGTTTGCATGCTAGTTGTGATTTCATCCGGGAAGTGTTTGCCTTTTGTGGACGTGTAAGAAACCACATTTTGTGCATTCGTGATTGGTCACCGCTGTTCGCAAGCAAGGTGCTTTATCTTCAAGTAAACTTGAATCCTCGATCCTGATTGGTCGATCCATGGCAACAACAGTGTGATATGAGGCTGTATTGCACGGTCCATATTGCACCCTGCGTATTGCGCTATTCCAAGATGCGAGCGACATTCCAGCTACCTTCGCTAAACCGCTAAAAGGTTCGTGTAAAGCGATGGTCCAACTTTACTGCGCGTCAAGTTTGCTTGAAAATAAATTTGTTTTCACGCTCGCGCTCGTGGAACACGGAAAATGTAGTGCGTCTGTGTCCTACATTCCACTTGGCCTTCGGCCTCGTGGTATGTGGGACACAGACGCACTACATTAGTGTTCCACTCGCGCTCGCGGGATAACTTATAGTATACATACCCCATTACACACAACGTGTATATACAAAAACGACAACAAAAACGTATTCGTACTCTGTCGTGTCCAATGAAAACCAACATTTTTTTCCCCGTCTTTTCTCAGGAATGGTAAGACATTAGGTTGGTTTCCTTTCAACAAGATGTTTGAAATAGGATAAGTAAACAATCCAAAACATGAAATTTTGGGGGCTTTCGGGACCAGTGCCCCTTTTAAAAAAGAAACACGTGAGAAAGGTTGAAAAACAGGTAGCCCGTGGTTAGATGCCATGGTCGATAAGACTCTGAGCGCAAACTCACTTGTTGGTACGACGTGGACGGGCAGGGTCTGATCGGAATCCACTTGGCAGGCCTTAGTGAAGGAAATGTCGTCGATGGCGATATTCTGGCCTGGCGGAATGGTGCTGGACGTGGTAGCCTCAATCACAAGCTTCAAACAGAAATAAAAATACTGCAAGTTAAACTTGCACGATCCCCCTGGCATGCTGGCAGTATTCAGTCACTTAGTAAGCACACTTTTCAGTGTACCTAACCAAATGTGTACTAAAAAGTGTACTTAAAGGGAATATACAACATTTGCAAACATCGAAAAATAAAACTACCAAGTTTATACGAAATACCTTACTAGGATGTTGGTAAATGACAGTCTAAAGCATCTTGTAAAATTATGGCACCTGGTGTGAAGTCATTTTTAAGAAAATGGTATTTTTGTAAACATTTCCAACGGTGGTCGGCCGACCAGCGTTGGAAAAACCTAACTATTTTTCAACTACTGCTCCAAATTTACCATTTTTTCAGTCCAAATTTTGTTTGCTATTGGTTACATGTTCATGACCGGGTGCAGGCCAGCTAGACTGGTTCCCTTGCCTTACAATTTTCCATGATCTAAAAATTGATCCATTTTATCTTTTGTGGAGTCAGGGAACCAGACTATTTGAAAATTTTTGTTTTTCTTGGTTTTTTCCAACCTTTTCGAACACAAAACTTAAAAAATGTCAGTGTAACAATATTTGATCTATTATACTAACCCCTCCAATAGTTCATTTCTGAAAATTACAGCAAAAGCCAATGATGTACATTCCCTTTAATCAACAATGAACTCATTTGACCCCTAGATGACCTTTGACCTCAAATGTCTCATGCTCTGGTGTTTCAGAGGCAAGAGTGGTGTGGGTTGGGCCTAGGTGGACACTTGTGCCCTTAAGCAAGGCACTTAACCATTATTGCTTCGTCCTTCGGATGGGACGTAAGGTCCCAGACCCGGAGACACTTAAGAGAAGGGGTTTGCCTCAGTGTTTCTGGCCTCCCACGTGGGCTATTTAGGAGAAGAACCAACCAAGTGCCCGGGTGGACACTTGTGTCCTCAAGTGTGTGTTGCGTAATGCAATGCACGTAAAAGAACCCAGTGGCACTTATCGCTAAGAGAAGGGGTTTGCCCCGGTGTTTCTGGCCTCCTGTTAAAACTCCCCCGCGGAGCATTTAGGAGAAGAACCAACCAAGAACCAAGAACTATTAGGCTTTAAAGGAACCAACCTGGAACCTGGCCCCGATGGTGATTTTGGCCTCGGCTCGTTGCCAGCCATCGATCTGGCTGCCTTCAAGCTTCAGGATGGATTCTGGGATATTGCTGATGGAGTAGCGAGTGCTGATCTCCAGTTTGTTGACGCCCTTGCCGTACATCTTGTACCAGAATCGCACCTGCAAAAACGGAGAGAGAGAGACAGAAAATGACCAATTATCGTGACTTTTGGTCAAACTCGGTCATGAGTCTCATCAAGCAGGGGCTTTTGTTCGCTGGTACCCCCCGCCCTGCAAACAGGACGCTGGGAAGGGAAGGACTGATGAATTTAAGCTCTGATTGGATAGATTTTGCGTGACCTGTGGCCCCCAAATCATCACGGCCAACTGCCCTGCAAGGTTTCAAACGGCAGTTAAAGGGAAAATACAACATTTGCAAACATCGAAAAATAAAACTACCAAGTTGTTATGAAATACCTTACTAGAATGTTGGTAAATGACAGTCTAAAGCATCCAGTAAAATTAGGGCACCTGGTGTGGAGTCTTTTTCAAGAAAAATGGTACTTTTGTATACATTTCCAACGGTGGTAGGCCGACCACCGTTGGAAAAACCTAACTATTTTTCAACTTCTGATCCAAATTTACCGGGGTTTTTTTTCAGTCCAAATTTTGTTTGCTATTGTTTGCATGTTCATGAACGGGTGCAGGTCAGCTTTCCCGGCAATTTCCCGGCAATTTTGATCCATTTCATCTTTATGGAGTCAGGGAACCGGACTACTTGAACATTGTTGTTTTTCTTGGTTTTTCCAGCATTTTCGAGCACAAAACTTCAAACATGTCAGTGTAACAATATTTGATCTCTTATACTTACCCCCCAAATAGTTCATTTCTGAAAATTACAGCGAAATCAGCCAATAATGTACATTCCCTTTAAGTCCGAGTCACTACTCTTTAATTCCCATGTGGGGAGGGGGACATTTGAAGGACTAACCATGCAGGAACCATCCAGGGGTGGCATTTGGAAGACCTTGCTGTTGAGATCAGCACGCATGCCGTCCGTCGTGTTTTCGAGGTACAAGAAGCTCCCTGGAAAGAGAATAAAGTAAGTAACCCAGAGATTTGTAAATTTTGCTTATTTTTTTCCGAAAGGAATTTTCAAAGTTGACAATGTCCTAGAGAGAACTGATGGGTACAATGGACTGGATAATAATGGACTGGGTGTACACCTGATCTGCTTACTGTAATCTGGGTACCATTAAGTGGGTGCCATAAACTGGGTGCCATGAACTGGGTACAATGGACTGGATACTAATGGACAAGGTGTACACCTGATCTGCTTACTGCAATCTGGGTGCCATAAGGTGGGTGCCATAAAGTGGGTGCCATGAACTGGGTACAACGGACTGGATAAAAATGGACTGGGTTTACACCTGATCTGCTTACCATAATCTGGGTGCCATAAAGTGGGTGCCATGAACTGGGTACAACGGACTGGATAATAATGGACAAGGTGTACACCTGATCTGCTTACTGTAATCTGGGTGCCACAAGGTGGGTGCCATAAAATGGGTGCCATAAACTGGGTGCCATGAACTGGGTACAACGGACTGGATAATAATGGACATTGCAGGGTGTACGCCTGATCTGCTTACCGTCGAGTGTGTTGGTGGTATGATCGTAGAATCCCACTTTGCCTCCTTGGTCCCAGACCCAGTCTATGTCATCCGTGTCGGATTGGTTGTAGTTGCACATGCCGTTCTCAAAGTCACAACGCTCGACGTAGTCATCTGTCGGGCGGAATAAAAATAGTCGGAAAAGTCAGAAATTTAGTCATGCAATGTGTATGTACATGTATACCGCATGTGACTGGTTACCAGCGGATTCTTACTAAAGCACAATTACGCCAGGGGGTGTTAAATATTTACCCTAAAATGACCAGGAGAACACTTGTTAGTGGTTGAACTTGCGCACTCAGATTTGAATCACTTACCGCAGTTATCTTCGTCGAATCTGTTGCCGCAATCGTCCGAGTAATCGCACATCCGGGCCTCGGGGATGCAGATGTTGTTGCCGCAGTGAACCTCGCACGGCCAAGTCTGGTTCAGATCGCAGTTCTCAAAGGTGATGTCGTCGATGGAGACCTGGCTAGAACCGTTGACGGTCGCCAGGATTTGCAACTGCGAGGAAAACGTGGGGGGGGGGGAGGGTGAGGAAACGAGAACGTAAATATTTCTAGACTCATTCAGAGGTGACTGTTTTATGGACTACAGACTCTGTTCGTGGGGGCGTAGCGCATGGGAGGAGAGGGGTGTGGGGGGGGGTGTGGGGGGGGGTGTGAGGGTGGTTGTGACACTTTCATCGCCACATACAATTGCTGAAGGATGTTTGGGGGAATTACACACTCCCCATTAAATGTACATAGCAGCGGGTACCAAATGTACATAGCAGCGGGTACCGCATTAACTATTCATCAGATGGAATAAAAAACCTAACTTGATTTACATCACCCCAAAGCAAAATTCCATTCTATGAATAGTTAATGCGGTACCCACTAGCTGCTATGTACATCTGATTCGAACCGGCCAACCGATCCCGTTAGCTCGGTGGTCGAGTGGTAAGACATCTGCACTAGAAAGCAGGAGGTCGTGGGTTCGAGTCCCACCCGAGTGATTTTTCCCAACTTTCGCTCGGGAGGTAACACACTGAGTATACAGTGAAGGGCAACAACATAACTTGATATATTAATAGTGTTTAATAGTGTTTTTTGTTTGTTTCAAATGTTAATTGCTTAGCCGGTTGTGACATCGTGACTGACCTTAAAGGCGGTCTTGCGTCGGCCGATGGTCAGTGTGGCCTGCTCCCAGGTCTTGACCGTTCCGTCGCTCGTTGGGGACCACAGGTCAGCGTTGTCGTTCGGATCAGCGGCATCCAGTATACGGACAATAAACTTAGTCTGGGTCGGCGCCTTGAGAGGACAAAAATATCAAGCAATGAGATTTGAGGAGGAAAGACGTCGGGCAGAGCATACTGTTTGAAACGTTGAGTCCCTCCGATTCTTTTCAGATCCACACACACTCACAAACGAGATTTATTCACATGGTGCTACCGCAAACTTATCTTGTCTCAGTGAATATTTGTATAATAGAATACTCACATAGTAGACAAACCAGAACTTCATGGTGCAGAGAACGCTGCAGGGTTCCAGAAGGGGACTCTCCACGATGGCCGGTGTGTCGAACAGACCAAAGCTGTACTCGGCCCTCAAGGTGTAGCCTGATCAAGGGTGGGCAAACCAAACAAATTGTATGGATTCATAAGGAAATAAATGTACTACAATGTAAAATAGTGTAATACAATGTAATACAATGTAATACAGTGTAGTACAATGTAATACAGTGTAATACAGTGTAATACAATGTAATACAGTGTAATACAATGAAATAAAATGTAATACAGTGTAATACAGTGTAATACAGTGTAATACAACGTAATACAATGTAATACAATGTAATACAGTGTAATACAATGTAATACAATGTAATACAGTGTAATACAATGTAATACAATGTAATACAATGTAATACAATGTAATACAGTGTAATATAATGTAATACAGTGTAATACAATGTAATACAGTGTATAAGAATGCAAAAAAAAACTAACGCAACCCAATGGCAGGACCAATTTTTGAATGGGCATTATTCATGAGTCGGCCATATTGAATTGAAAGTGAGGTAAAATCTTAATTTTTGGAACTTGTGAAGTGTGAAGAGAAATGAAAGCAAGTTAATTCCTCATTAATTCCAGTCTGCTTCAATGAATACTTTTTAAAATTTGTAATTAAAAATTCCCTTATGTTTAAAGCCTGATTAAGAAAAAAAAGACAGTAAAATAAGGCTGCATTGTGCATGCATAAATAGTCGGGCGCCATCCGATTCAACAGTTAACACTTAATGAAATACGTTCAGGGAACTCGACAAAAATGGCCAACTCATGAATAAGGCCCATGAAGTTTTGCCTGTAGCATTTGAAAGCCCAGTCATTAAGCTTTCTCTTCATTCAAATCACTCATGCACTTTTCAAATTACGGAATTTTGAACACGAACACCGTTTTGAAGTTCTGTCCACGGATCACAAAAAAAATTTAAGTGTTTTTTCAGCAAAACGAAAACATTATCATAGGAATGCATGTGAATTGTTTTTGTTTTGCTGAAAGAACTACCTTGTTTGTGATCCGTGGACAGAACTTTAAAAACGATGGCTGTGTTTAAACTGCCGTAACTTGAAAAGTACATGAATTATTTGAATGATTCTTGTACTAAAAGAAAGCTCAATGATTTGGCTTTCGTATCCTAGATTTTGAAAGTGCTACAGGCAAAATTTCATTAAAAAATTGGTCCTACCATTTGGCAGGCATATTGTTTTTTACTCACCCTGTAAAGTTTGCTATTTTTATGAAAAAAAACAAACAACAGAATAAGGCCAAAAAAAAAAGTCGGTCTCTGGTCAGCACGCGCGTCGATTTTAATCATGCGCGTCAACCTTTTTTTTCTTCAAATTGTCCACGGTAGCTACAGCAGCGCCCTCTTTTGCCGCACCTCCTCAAATTGTTTGTACCAAGGAATGGGGAAATTGCACCAAGGCAAATGATGGAGGGCACCAAGGCAAATTATGGAAGTCACCAATGTATATGAGGACACAACAAAAGCAAAATAGTACCCACCTTGTCTGTACAATCCAAGCTTCAAAAAAAAAGAAAAAAAAAGGCAAAAACAAACAAACAAAAAACGCATCGCTGCATCAATTCCGGAACTTTGGTCTGACCAGAGACCGAATATTTTTTGGGGGGGGGGGGGCCTAATAAATGGACGCCCAACCTGATCCTGTGGTGTGGTCTTGAGTTGGAATCTCCTGTGAGTACGGTTTGTGTCGGTGCCAGGCATACTGTCCAGAACTGACATCCGTGTAGCCGCACATTTTCCGGTCTTCAAAATCGCACGGACCTGCACAAGAAATTGTAAAATAAAAAAGGTAAAGAAAGTTCACTAATGCTGTATTATGTTCAACCAAATCTGCAACAAGTCGACCTAGAAGAGATCACAATACAAGCTGCGATGCCCTCAACTGCCCTCAAAAGAAGGTGTTCCTTCGACGCTGGACTTTTTTTTTTAACGAGCAAATGATCGGTAAGGACGGTGTCGAAATGTGCCAAGGCAGTTTGAGATAATGGCCGAAAAATAAAAACCGAGCTCTCCGCATTTTCAGTCGAGTATTGGATATACCCAAGTAACTGTCCTCAGCCCTAGGGCTCCAGGTGCAATTTAAAGGCAGTTGTTATGTAGACTTGATGAAAAGTCGTTAGATAGTTGTATCTTGTCCATGAACTTCAGCCAGACTCCATCGGCGCCGCTGGTATAAGACTAGTACGAAATCGGCCGGGTTGCGACAAATCTAATGGCTTGGCGATTACGTTCTCGCACTGTTATTCATATGTGACCTGTTCTGTCAAAATCAGAATTTTCTGGGCATAAGGTCAAAAATTAGATTTTTGCATATTGTTAAAATATGTACATTTTCCTTTTAAAAGGTGGTTAAATTTTTGAAACCGGTCATTCCTGGGCAAAGTTATGCTATTTTGAAGTTCATTGTGTTAAAAAGTAGAAAACGGAGAAAATGGCCACAAACGTCACAAAACAGACATTTCTTTACCTGATATAACCTTAACAAATCATCAACATAAATCTACATTTAGAGTTCAAATTAGGGTTTCAAACTTTTATAGTTTATTTTAGACATATTCAAGATTACAAATATGCAAAAATTAAAAAAAAAAAATCACCCCCACATCATTTTTTGGCCCTATCTCAATTTCAACCTCTGCCCAGAAGCGTCTGCTTTTGACAGAGCAGGTCACATTTTATGCAAGCAGCACAATATACATAGGTAGTGCTTTTTTGCGGTGAGATTCAAGGCACTTTAAAACCATTATTGCTTCATCCTTCAGATGGGAAGTAAAACCGTAGGTCCCAGACCCAGTGACACTTATCGCTAATAAAGAGAAGGGGTTAGCCTCGGTGTTTCTCGCCTCCTGTTAAACTCCCACACGGAGTATTTAGGAGAAAAACCAACCGAGTGCCCGGGTAGACAATTGTGCCCTTAAGCAAGACACTTAACCATTATTGCTCCGTCCTTCGGATGCGACGTAAAGCCGGAGGTCCCAGACTAAAAAAAGACAGTTATCGCTAAGAGAAGGGGTTTGCCTCGGTGTTTCTCGCCTCCCGTTAAACTACCACATGGAATATTTAGGAGAACAACCAACCAAGTGTCCGAGTGCCCTTAAGCAAGACACTTGACCATTATTGCTCCGTTCTTCGGATGGGACGTTAAGCCGGAGGTCCCAGCCCCAGTGACACTTATCGCTAAGAGAAGGGGTTTGCCTCGGTGTTTCTCGCCTCCCGTTAAACTACCACATGGAATATTTAGGAGAACAACCAACCAAGTGTCCGAGTGCCCTTAAGCAAGACACTTAACCATTATTGATTCGTCCTTTGGATGGGACGTAAGCCGTAGGTTCCAGCCCCAGTGACACTTATCGCTAATAAAGAGAAGGGGTTTGCCTCGGTGTTTCTGGCCTCCTGTTAAACCCCACTCGGAGTATTTAGGAGAAGAACCCACCAAGAACCAAGATACAAGATGCAAGATGGAAGCACGTACCACAGTTCTTCTCGTCTTCGCCGTTGGGGCAGTCCATGACCCAGTCGCATTTCTGGGTGATGTCGATGCAGACTTGGTCACTGGAGGAGTAGCACTGCCATTTGCCCTCGCCGCAGGGACTGACGGTGGGGGTCCAAGGAACGGAATCGAAATCATCTGTGATCATAGACAGAAAACAAGTTGCCAAATGAGGTGTAATTTCATCACTCTCTGCTTCAAGGGGTATGGCCTTACAGGTAGAGTAGATAATTCGCAGTTATCCAAAAAAAAATAACTCACCAAATTGTTGTTAAAAAGCATACTTGGTTTAAAGATAGTAATGGCACTAATCTCCGTGTGCATAATGTGTGTCTGTTGGCATATATGCCACAATAAATAGCACAGCCTATTGTCCGATAGTGACCAGTCTCATCCGCTTTGAACAGCGCCCCCACCAGTCAGGCGAAGGTTTATTGAAAATGGCCGAAAACAGATCCCGTGTTATGATACTTTGCCATTTGACTAGTAAACACAGACAAATTGTTGTTTTCAGTAACAGTTATACTTTTAGTCCATTAAACGGTTTATGTTTACCGGTTTACAGCATTTTACCGTGCTGGTTTTAACTGATAAGCGGGAAACCGTTAAACTAAAAAATGGTTTCTCTGTCAGAATATTTAGCCATTCATTGCAAAGTCAGAACGGAATATTCATATAATTCACCTGTAGCGCAGTGATTGGTTCCCTATTTACCAGTCTGCCATGCTCGTTTTACCTGGCTTGTTTTGCCGTGCTTGTTTTACTGTGCCACTTTTACTGTGCCGGTTTTACAGTGTTGCTTTTACCGTGCTGGTTTTACCGTGCTGGTATTAGCAAGCTGATTTTTCTGCGCTGATTTTACCATACTGGCTTTGCCGGTTTTACCATGCCAGTTTTACCCACCTGTGTAGCGCTTGCAGTCTGGAGTGAATGACGTGTCGTCCACAGCTATATCCCCTAATGGACCATCTCCGTTTACGCCTTCCAATATCACCTGGACAAAAAAAGTCGGATAAATTTCTAGGAATTAAAAACAAAATGTCCAAAATTCATTGTCGGTCCAACTGCGCAGAGCAACAATCAGCCCAGGGCCCAATTTCTTGCTCAGCTTAGCGAAAAATCCCTGCTTAATTTAGCAGAAAACTCTGTGCTTACGGTACGCATATTTCACGCGAGAAATTTTGGCTTATGCGCGCATGCGAACATCCAGTAACTAAAGATTGTGTGCTTACAGGGTTAGCACAGAATGTTTCTGCTAGCGCGGTCAGCACAGAATGGAGATCGTAAGCGCAGAATTGCGTGGCTCGAAAAGCCACAAAATTGGGCCCAGAACAGTTGCAAGATATGCGCAGCGTATGAGAATGTTAACGGAACAGAAAGCATTGCAGGAAACAATTTGCAGGCACGTTGCTGGGATGAGTTGCAACGTCGTGGCATATCTCATGAAACCCGGTGCGCAGGTCTTATTCCACAGAGCCGCATTTAAGCTGAGCAAATATATTGCACGCTTACCAAATTTACGTTTAAAGCAACTCCATGAAACGTGAAAAAAAACCCAAAAAACAAAAAAATTGGTGGACCCTTGACTTTCACAAACATCACTGGAACGTAATAGTTACCTTTCAGAGTCTGTTTATTCAGAGTTGTACCGAGTCACGATTTTTGTGACTCGAGTCGAGTCGAGTAAATTTAAAGAAGCGATCGGAATCAAGTCAAGTCATTTTAAATAAGTGACTTTGAGTCAAGTCGGGTAGAGTCATTAGGTCAAGAAGGTCGAGCCAAGTCTAGACTTGATTCAAGTCGGGTAGAGTCATTAGGTCAAGAAGGTCGAGTCGAGTCTAGAATGTGCGTTCTGGAACCATGAGGTGGGAGTCTGTGACACGCTGTATGTTTGTACATGACAAGTGGCTGCCGCCCTAAGGGTGGTCACGTGAGCGGAGGGATTTAGCCACAACACTGAATGAAGAGGTCGCGCTGACCTCGCAAGCTACGTCCCGCTTAAAGCCAGAGTCCATCATTTGCATCTATCCAAAAAATAACTGGCGTAATTATTGTTGAAAAACACACTTGGTTGAAAGATAGTAAGGGGACTAAACTCCCTGTGATATTATTCTTTCTGGCAAGCTGTCATTTTGAAGAAATCGACAAAAGAAGGCCTTTCCAACGGTGCTTCTTAAGACGCACCGTTGGAAATCTGCGTTAGTAGTTTGTTATTTTATTCAGCGAAGCGCACGCAAGCGTTGACACGACGCACACGCGCGCGCGGTTGCTATAATTCGTCGGATCAGTGCACGATATCGCGTACCTGCAATGGGCTCAGTGAGAACGTGTCTCGGACGCTGAATTCAGGGCCAATTCAAAACACGATTCAGCAACTTTTGATTTGAAATTGAGATCCTAGAATGCTGTTTTTTCTCGAAATATACAGCTGAAGCTGAGCTGAAACTTCATCAGGTCAGTTGTTCAGCACCCTTCTTTAGATTTTGAGCACTTTTGTTGCTTCAAACGAACAAAATGCAGAAATTACAAATGATGGACTATACCTTTAATAACAGACTCTGAAAAGTAACTATTATTTCTATGTCACTGTGACAGAGTCCAATATCAGTCTTCATGCTGCTATACCTGGAACGGTTTGTCTGAGTCAAACTTGATGTCCACCCGCTCCCAGAAGTCCCCAGAGTGACCGGTGCGGGAGTACAGGGTGGTCTCCACTCCGAACGTCTGTGTCCACGTCTTGATCTTGACGGTTCCCAGGTCTGTGCCGTACATGTAGAACCAGAGACGAAGCTGGGAAATGGGGAGAAAAAAAAAGGGAATTGGTCATGTACGGTTTAATCCTGGTGAGTGGCTTGCCTTTGTAACTTGTGATTGAAGGTTGGGGTTCGAATCCAGCTGCTGGCCATGAGCTAGGTCCTCAGGCAGGCGAGAACACAATCAGTGGCTGATTGTGGCCACTTGCAGAGAGTGATCTATGGTCAGTTGCGGTGCGGTGTCAGCATCTGTTACTTGTGATTGAAGGGTCAGGGGTTCAAATCCAGCTGCTGGACACGAGCTGTGTCTTCAAGCAAGCAAGAACACACCTAGTGGCTGATCGTGGCCACTTGCAGAGGGTGATCTATGGTCAGTTGCGGTGCGGTGTTAGCATTTGTTACTTGTGATTGAAGGGTCAGGGGGTTCGAATCCAGCTGCTGGCCATGAGCTGTGTCCTCAGGCAAGCCAGAACACACCTAGTGGCTGATTGTGGCCACTTGCAGAGGGTGATCTATGGTCAGTTGCGGTGAGGTGTTAGCATTTGTTACTTGTGATTGAAGGGTCAGGGGTTCAAATCCAGCTGCTGGCCATGGGACGGGTCCTCAGGCAAGCCAGAACACACCTAGTGGCTGATCGTGGCCACTTCTAGAGAGTGATCTATGGTCAGTTGCGGTGAGGTGTTAGCATCTGTTACTTGTGATTGAAGGGTCAGGGGTTCAAATCCAGCTGCTGGCCATGGGATGGGTCCTCAGGCAGGCGAGAACACACCTAGCCGCTGATTGTGGCCACTTGCAGAGAGTGATCTATGGTCAGTTGCGGCAAGGTCAGGGGTTCAAATCCAACTGTTGGCCATGAGCTGTGTCCTTTACAGGCAAGCTAGAATACACCCATATATGCATATTATTACTCACTCCCGGGTGAAAGGGTCAGGGGTTCAAATCCAACTCTTGGCCATGAGCTGTGTCCTTAGGCAAGCTAGAATACACCAATTTATCATTACTCACTCCAGTTCGAAAGGGTCAGGAGTTCACATCAGGTGTGAGTGCTTCTAGCAGCTTTCCGAGTTAGGGCCTGTAAACTCGGAAAGAATGCAGTGCTTGTAGCAGTACACTCTTATCTTGTTCATCCCTTTGTCAACAAACTGGCCCCTGTTATCAGATACTGCTGCTAATCCCCTGCACTTGTCAATATCACCTGCGAGACAGCACATGTGGCTTTATTACACTAAGTGTTAGGGATTATAAAGCCGCTGTTTGGACAAAGAATTAAGATAGATTAGAGGGCTGGCCAGTTTACAGTTAGATTGACTGTTTTCTCTCAGAATTTTCTAGTGGAGGTTACTCGCAATGAAATGGAGTTGCCGGCCATGTATTGGCTGTGTCCTCAAGCAAGCCACATTACAGAAGCCCGATAATGTTAATTTGGCGAGAGTGATTTAGTGTGGCCATCAGCCAGCTTATCTCATACCTGGCAGTCGTCCCCAGACTGTATGGCCTGAAGTGGTGGCCACGCCAAGCGTGCTCGGTCTTTGTAATTGGCAGAGCTGGAATCAATGTGGATAAAGCTTCCTAAAAAAAACCCAAAAAGACAGAAAGAAAGAAATATCTAAAAAGTATCTTTATAAACACAATACTATAATACCTAATATAACACAATGAGTATACAGAGTTTATACGTCGGTGAAGAGCAAAACTTACTATTGATTTACATCACCCCCATGCAAATTCCATCTTATCAATACTACACTGTCGCTGCTCTGACCTCATAATGACAAGGACCATTCACAGATTTGATTGGCTGTCGCTGCTCTGACCTCATAATGACAGGGACCATGCTTAGTTCTGATTGGCTGTTGCTACTCTGACCTCGTAATGACATGAATCACTCTCACATTTGATTGGCCGTTACTGCTCTAGACCTCGAATGACAAGGACCATTCTCAAATTTGATTGGCTGCTGCAGCTGTGACCTCATAATGAGAGAAACCATTCTCAGATTTGATTGGTTATTGCTGCTGTGGCCTCATAATGAGAGAAACCATTCTCAGATCTGATTGGCTATTGCTGCTGCGACCTCACACTGAGTGAAGCCGTTCTCTGCTCCGATTGGCTCACCTAGGTAGGTGTTTGTGGAGTGATCTCTGAGTGGGCCGGTTCCCCATGCATCCTCGGTGGATCCTTGGGCCCTGGTCCAGTTGAAGGCACTGTGGTCAACGCGCTTCCAGTCGCAAAAGTTGTCTTCAAAGTCGCACCGGTCATACTTTTGTTCGTCTAGGTGAGAAAGAAAAATAACAAAGCAAACATTTTTATGGGCAATCGGAGTGAAGCCAAAGGTCCATTTTCTCATCCTCTGGGCTCTACTTAAACAGACCACATTACAAATGAGGAAGTCCACACAACAGACAACGTCTCAGCCGGAATGAAGATCTACTGACCACGGTGAAGAAAAGGAAAAAGAGGGGGTACGGACATGCAACGAGAGCAAGCGGATTGTCAAAGACCATTCTCCAAGGAACAGTGCAGGGACAGAGGAGACAGGGCAGACAGAGGGGCATACTATCAACTAGGGAGACCCACTACCACAAAAAATACAAAATACAATGTATGGCTTTTGCCGTTGGGGGGGCCAAGTGCTCACCAAGGGGGGCCCAGCCCCACCAGCCCCCCCCCCCCCCCACCCTGGCAATGCACATACCACAGCGCACAAGTCCAACATCGTGGCCATTGGAACACAGTGCCCCAAACTCTCATTACGAAGAATCAAGGCAAGACGTAAAGTCATGCTTGAGAATATTATACGATCTCATTCTCACCACAGAATTTGACCCATTCCTCGGACATATCACCGCAATCGTCGCTGAAGTCGCAGACCCGGCTATTGTCGACGCATGCCTTGCTGGCACATTTGAACTCCGTGTCGCGACAATCACCGGCCACAGGTTCTGTTAAAAGAACAAACTGTAAGTTAAATTTGCGCGATCCCCCTGGCATGCTGGCAGTATTTATACAGTCAGTTAGCAAGCACACTTGTCAGTGTACCTAACCAAAATCAACAATGACCTCATTTGACCCCTAGATGACCTCTGACCTCAAATGTCGCAAGTCGTCTGAAGTCCCCCCCCCACCCAAAGATTATTGTCACCAAGTTTGGTTGAGATTGAAGTCTAACTTTCGGCCCATTCATATTACCGTAAAAGAAAGACGAACCAACTTTTAATAATGCTAACCCCAATTTCACGGCTCTGCTTTTACAGTCATGATAGTAAGCAAACAAAAATCCTCGCTTACTGTAACAGTACAATTTGTGCTTACAGTTAGCATACTTCACGGGTTAGTTAGGAATTTTGGCTTCATGTTCATGCGTACATCCTGTAACTCAGACTTCTCTGCTAACAGGGTTAGCACAGAATTTTTTCGCTAAAGCTGTTAGCGCAGGACGGTGATTCTAAGCGCAGAATTCTGTCCGTTAGCAGTGCCATGAAATGGAGTACCGAAGTGTGACGTCATTTAGAACCAGAAAGTGTAGTGCAAATGAATGGAGTACTTGTTGGTTCACGGGCTGAATCGCGCACTAATGTCTTTCACACACATTTTGTGCGCGTGACGTATTCACTTCGGTACGTACTCCATTGGTCTCGGTCCAGAGCCCAATTCAAATTAGCAACTGTTGGAAAGCTCCTGCGTGGTAAAATGAAAGAAAAGGCTTTAGAGACTTACGAGGAACTTGACAGCCGCTGAGGAGGATGTCGTCGATGGCGATGTCCCCTTCCGTATCGAAGCTCCGGTAGGCGTCAAAATCCACCTGAGAAGGCAGGTCGCATATACAGGGTAAGTAAAAAAAAAAGCGAAACCCAAACCCCAACAATTATATTTCATGTTTAAAAAACTATGTAGCACCAAAAATAATAATGACCGGAAAGCCAATTTCATAAGCTACTTTTAGATGAAAAAAATACTGAAATTGCTCAATCCGTTTAAAGAATATCACCATTAAAACACAGTGAACCTAAAACCACTTTCGTCCAAAAATCCGATTTCAAGAATCGTCGTCACAATTGTCTCCAAACATCACCAGCGATAAAACCTCAGTTTAAAAGTTGAAAGTATTCAACAAAGTCCTTTTGAAGGCCTGTTGTAAAAAAAAAAAAGGGATTGTATAAATCACATTGTTTGCCTAACCAGGGTTGTTAATAAAGATATTGTGTACTACAGTTGTTGACAGTTGTTGAAAGAAGTATTCTGTGTCGTTTTCCTTGTTGTTCCAAACAGTCAGAATACACAATAAATTGGGGTTTTTTTGGTTTTAGGGTCATTGCGTTTAAATCAGAGATGCCACAGGGTCTGCTTGAAAAAAACGGAACTAGGTCTGCTTGAAAAAAAAACGGAACTGGGTCTGCTTGAAAAAAAACGGAACTGGGTCTGCTTGAAAAAAAACGGAACTGGGTCTGCTTGAAAAAAAAACGGAACTGGGTCTGCTTGAAAAAAACCGAAACGGCTGCTTGAAAAAACAGAACTTTTTTGTGTGTGAAAAAGCCACTCCGTGTCCGCCACAAAGTCCCCGTTGTCATCTTTATCTTGTACTTTTTTTGTAGCCAAGCCAAGTTCTGTTTATTTTTTAATTTTGCTTCTTTGGCCTTTAAAGCTGTTGGTTTCTTTCAATCAATTTGACTTTTTCCATATTCCTAATATTTATTCTGCCTACCCGAATTTCCAACGTAATATTCGACACGAAACATACACGATTCCACAACACTGCTGTCGGTGAACATGATCCTTGCACTACGCACTACGCGTAGTACGCGATGCGCTCAACGAAAACATGGTTGGTACCCGCATTTTTTGTATTCACATATATCACTGCGATTGGAAACCACCGATAGCTGAAATGATAGACTTGATTTCCAGGCTGATTGCTATGTGTGTTTAGCACACAACACGCCCGCACGCGGTGAAGCACGCGCGAGGCGCCGTTGTATACTGCGTGCAAGTACGTCTGTGCGTTGGCTGCTTGTATCGCATGCAGGCTCAGCAACAACATACACAAAGACTGTTTTTAAGACTACTTCAACGAACAACGTTGTGCCATGCATGCGCCTAAATGTACTAAATCGAGGTAAAAATCAACGCATTTCCACAGTTTTTCTTCTCTTTTTCTGGTTAATTTGACGGCCGGAAAATTTTGTGAGATTTTTTTTAAAAACCGGAATTTCGGTTAAAACCGGAAAAGTGGCATCTCTGTTAAATGGTGATATTCTTTGGTTCCTGACATCAGCGGTCAGGTACCCGGTTCCTATGCACAACCCTAATAGCAATACGGCAGTCAATTAAGTTTTTTTTGAATGACTCCTACGTCAACTCACGTCAAAGGTACCAGGGATGCGGCCCAGCGGCGCGATGCCCTTCTTCCACTGGCCGCCCTGGTCGCCCTCGAGGCGTAGGATTTCCAGGCTGATGGTCTCCTCGTGAAGCAGCACCGACAGCTGCCCGATGCCCTCGCCCTGCATGTGGTACCAGAACTGCAGCTCGCAGCTGGCGGCCGCGTTGTGCTGCAGCGGGCTGTAGAACACGGCCCAGCCCGTTCCCGTGTTGGAGCTGGCCGCGCAGTACAAGTAGTAACCTGTGTTAGGAGGAATGACGGGGTACCAGTTAGACTGAAAATTTGGGACTCTCAATACTGTGTATGAGGATCCCAAAACTTAAGGTATTGAAAACATGCAAAACAAGAAAATAGACTGGCACCTAAAACAACCAGTCCAACACAGCTTCAGTACTGCATCAATCAACCACGGCAAAAGAATTTAAGAAACATGTGGTATGAAGTGGGAACTAGTCTAAATTTCACACATTTCACATAGTAATAAAGCCACCAGACTGTTAACACAGAATGAATAGGTCAGTCTTTCCAAATAGTTGGACCATGGTTGGACATGTACCAGTCTAGTCTTTAGCCCCATTTTGAATTCACTTGACCTCCCTCTCATGTGCAAAATATTACAGAAAAGTCTACTTTAAAAATTGAATTGAGTCTGCAAACTTGGTTGGTAAAATACTGAGGACATTTTCTTTGCCCCAGTGGAATTTTTGGAGAAATTTGCTGGCTAAAGTGTGAGTAAAGTGGGCCTGATTTAGTTTTGCACGTTTCAGAGCACTCCAGAGCCCTGTCTGCAGTTCGACTTTTCATTCACTGTTGTCATTCTTACTTTTAGTGGGGCAGATTGGGAAAATATCTGGGGGATTTTTCACTTTAATGACACAAGCATGGAATTTGGCACACAGAGTATGTCTTAAAGCTACAGTCCATCATTTGCAGCTATCCAAAAAGTAACTGACGTAATTATTGTTGAAACTTATACTTGGCTGAAAGATAGTAAGGGGACTAAACTCCCTGTGAAATTCTTTATGGCATGCTGTCATTTTGAAGAAATCAACGAAAGAAGGCCTTTCCAATGATGTGAAGCGCGCGCAAGCGTTGACACGACGCATACACGTGTGCGTTTGCTATAATTTGTCTGATCAGTGCGCGACATTGCATAGCTGCAAATGGCTCAGTGAGAACGTGTCTCGGATGCTGAATTCAGGCCCAATTCAAAAATACATGATTAAGTAACTTTCGATTTGATCCTAGAATGTTGTTTTTCTCGAAATGTACAGCTGAAGCTGAGCTGACACTTAAGTCCGGACACTTAAGTTATTATCTTTTTTTTACTCATCCCGTGGAGTTATAATCTGTTTAGGTCACAAACCTGACTCAGAGAGCGTGGTGTGGTCGTACGTCGGTCCCGTGTTATCGGCTGGAGACTTGCCACTGTGCCGTTTCCACGTGAACGCGGACGAGTTGTACTTGATCCAGTTGCATTCGTCATTTTCAAATGAGCATTGTGTCCCTGAACGCAGAAATAACGAAACAAAAAAAGAAATCAAGTTATCATTTCTTTAGATATTTCAGGGGAAATCATTTCAAGTGATTTTGATTTTATGATTTAGAATGAACCTATTGCAAAACCAAGTACCAATCAGTACAACTCACGGCACCTTTTATTGGTGTAACCCTACAATTTTTTTATACTGAGTGCTATCAGCGGGCTTTGAAGAAAGATAAATCATCGGTGGGACTCGAACCTACAAACTCCTGCTTGCTATTGAGTGTCATGGCCTAGCGTTAAGAGCACCGTACCGGACTCATGCTCTGGTGTTTCAGAGGCAGCAGAATGTGGGGTGGAGCCCGGGTCTGGACACTTTTACCCTTAAACAAGGCACTTAACCAATATTCCTGAAGTCGTCATTCGAATGGGACGTGAAGCCATAGGTCCTGTGTGTTGTGTAATGCGAGTTAAAAAACCCAGTAATCGTTATAGCTGAGAGAAGGGGTTTGCCCCGGTGTTTCTGGCCTTCTCTTAAAGGGAAAATACAACATTTGCAAACATAGAAAAAATAAAACGACCAAGTTTTTACGAAATACCTTACAGGATGTTGGTAAATGACAGTCTAAAGCATCCTGTAAAATTATGGCACCTGGTGTGAAGTCATTTTCAAGAAAATTCTATTTTTGTATACATTTCCAACGATGGTCGGCCGACCACCGTAGGAAAAACCTAATTATTTTTCACTACTGCTCCAAATTTACCATTTTTTTCAGTCCAAATTTTGTTTGCTATTGGTTTCATGTTCATGAAAGGGTGCAGGCCAGCTAGACTGGTTCCCTTACCGTGCAATTTTCCGGCATCCGTAAATTGATCCATTTCATATTCAGTGGAGTCAGGGAACCAGACTACTTGAACATTTTTGTTTTCTTGGTTTTTCCAGCATTTTCGAATACAAAACTTCAAACATGTCAGTGTAACAATAATTTGATCTATTATACTAACCCCTCAAATAGTTCATTTCTGAAAATTAAAGCAAAAGCCAATGATGTACATTCCCTTTAAAACTGTGGAGTACTTAAGAGAAGAACCAACCAAGTACTAGTGCAGACATCTGACCCAGCAAAGACCAAATCTGAATTTTTTTTTTGAATTCTGTTTTCGAAAATAATACTTACCGCAATTTTGTTCGTCGGTTCCGTCATTGCAGTAGTTGACGAAGTCGCACAGCTGATCTTTGGAGGCACACTTGCTGGAATCATCCTGGCAGACCTTGTAGCACGCGGGTATCACAGCTACAAAGACCAGAGACGGAGCAAGGCTAGTAAAGCTGGTCTCACAGCGCACACAATTCTATTCAACTTATTGCGAATAGGCCTTATGCACGAGTTGGCCATCCATTTTTGTCGAGTTCCCTGAATGTATTTCATAAATCGCTAACTGTTGAATGGGACGGCGCCAGACTATTAATGCAGCCTTATTTTACTGAATTATTTTTTTAAATCTGGCTTAAAACATCAGGGAATGTTTGTTTACAAATTTAAATTATTTGTTGAAGCAGACTTGAATTTAACTAGTAATTTGCTTGCTTTCATTTCTTTTCGCAAGTTCAAAAAATGAAGATTTTACCTCACTTTCAATTCAATATGGCCGACTCGTGCATAAGGCCCATGGGCTACTCTGCGAATTGACAGTAGAGGGCGCTTCGTGACAACTCAGGCCAAGCTCGGGCAAGGACCATTAGTCGACTAGTGGTTGATTTGTGACGTACCTTACGCCTGCGCACGTGGGAGCGTCTCTAGTCAAACGCTGGTCAAAATGTCATCGCAAAACCTCTGGATCCTGGCTCTCTGCTAGCGTTATGAATGCACGCGGCTATTGGTTACCAGCGATGCAACCAGCCCCAGTAGGCTGGTTCCAAATAGTCGACTAGCGTAGTCAGCCACCGCCGACTAGACAGAGTTCGAGCAAACGTTAGTCGAACTATGGTTAACCATTGGTCAACTATAGTCCTTGTGCGAACTTGGCATCAGTGAGCGAATATCATCCTCCACATGAGCACAAACTTGTAGCGTCTCTGTGCACGTGCAAAGACAACCTAAATCTTCACTCATATCTTCACTCAGAGAGTGAACACATTAAAAGTGTTGAATTCCTCCCCCCCCCCCCCCCACACCCCAAGACCCAACATGCCTACCTGGGCACTTGCCGTTGGTGATCACAATGTCGTCCACCGCCATGTCGCCAAGGTGCGACGTACCCACGATGCCTTGTATCACGAGCTCAAAGGCCTGCGGGTAGTCGGGCGAAAAGTCCTTCACGGCATGGCGCCAAAGGTCCTCCAAGTTGCCGGTGGCCGTGAAGATGTTCTGCGAGGGCCAGATGTTGATGTTCATGGTGCCCATGTCGTCCCCGTACATATGGTACCAGAAGTCGATGCAGTAGTCGGCGGGTTGGAAGAAGCCCGATAGAAGGTTGGCGGTGTCACCCTCTTGGCGGGGTAAGGAGGTCTCGATGTAGACGTAGGTGCCTGGAGGCAGACATTGCAATGATGTGAGATTCACAATTGGGGAGGGGTCAGGTTGTCGCAGTGGTGCTTCCCTCGCGTTCCACTCCTATGGGCCCGGGTTCGATTCCCACCCTGGTCCACACTTGGATTGCATTTTCAGTCCCTGCCGTAGGGCTATATTAAATTACTAGAGCGCTGACTCGATGTACAAAGTGATGCCTGCTGGGGGCATCCATGTTTGTGCAGCGCTGACTCGATGTACAAAGTGATGCCTGCTGGGGGCATCCATGTTTGTGCGCAAACCTACGCAAAGCTCAAAGTTTTGCACGGCTTTTGTACGGCTATTTGCATATCTGCTTTTGTATTCTATACAGGTGCGTTATCAGCGCCGATACGCTCAAATCTGAAATGAGCGTTTCATTTTGCTCTGCGCAAACAACACAAACGCGTGCGCGTATCTGCTACAGAGGATTTTTGCCGTAATGTTTTTTTAACCAGAAATGTCAAAACGCACTGAAGTTGTTTGCATATGTTATACCCGTACTTGTTCGTTGCATTTAGAGCACACTCTTAAAAAATTTCACTCCATCTCATTATGTTCTACAAACACGCAAAATGTCTGCGCGCAGGACAGCTTTCAAGTTTCTCCGCGCATATTAAAGAATGATTAGTTCGCACTCTAGTCATTGAGTATAGCTGTACGATCCCCGCTTGATTCTGTGGGTTTTCCCCAGAATGTTCTCCTAGGGTTTTTTCTCCCATCTTTAAAACCTGAACATTTCTTAATCTTTGCACAGCTTTTGGGAGCCCATTTGTGTCTAGTTTAGTCCGAGATGCGACTGAAAATGAATGATGTTGAGAACAGAATGCATATACGAGTTTTTAAGAAAGGAACTAGCTTCGCCTTTCAGACTCACCGTACGGACTTCCGAACGTGTGGTCAACAGACGGGCCCGTCTGCGAAGAAAGCGTGGCCCCCTTCTGTCGGACCCAATCGAAGCCGTCCTGGTTGAATTCGGCGTTCTTCCACGTGCACATGTCTCCCGACTCAAAGTTGCAGTTGCCGTACGGCTGGCAGGCGCCGTCGCGGATGCGGATGTCGTCCACGGCGATGTCGCCTTGCCAGCTCTGACCACGGATCGCCTCGAAGACAACCTGGAGCAGAGAAAGTAAAAGAAGGGATTAGGGTCGATGGACTCCGTGCGCCAACAAAAGAGGGCGCGCTTTTACCTCTTTTGAGATTCCAATGGACGGGACACACAGCGTGCACGTACTGTACTGTACTAGTTCGCACGCGAAGTACGCACAAATTCCTGAATGTGCAAAAGTTATAGCCACAGCGTCTTCGCGTGAGCGTCAGGTGTAGTCGAATTCAACTTGCGATGGTCTCGCAGACTAATCCCTGCCTCCAATAACTTTGGATACATTCCAAATACGCAGTGGATGGATCGGGAACCAGTCTAGGTCACCCCAAACTCTTCTTTTCTGGCCGTTGATGGGGTACTTGTGCACGGAGCCCATACAAGTATTGCTTTCAGGGCAGGTATAAAAAAAAAAAACTAAGCGTTCCTTTTTGAATACTCAGCGATTGGAGAGGGTTTGAAATGACAGAATGATCCTTTTTGAACTCTCTGATCTGGTGTGAGAAAATGGACATCTGGTCCATCAAACGCAGATGATTTGAAATCAAAATATCAATATTTCTTTGTGTCGATCCCTCACGCTTTTGTAGAATAGATGTCTTCCGCAACTTTTCAGTACGAGATACCAAAATTGGTTGAGTTTTTGTCATTGACAGCATATAAGACATTGCACCTACACACAGATGGACGTGATTATAATTCAAAAACTCTTCTTCTTTGATTAAACTGAAAGTTTGCATTTATTTAGCGAGCATAGCCCCTACATGTACATGTACTCATTGAAAATTGGTCTTTGTGATTTTGGTCTTCCGGGCCGTACGATGGACTCCCACAAAAATATCCAGGATCTCCTTTGAGCAGAGATGCCACCAATATATCAATAAAAAGCCTGAAACACTACTAAAAAACCTGAAACTACCCTTATACCCTTTCAAAACTGTTTTTTTTTTTAATGTTTCAGACCAAATCCTGCACTTTTAATTTGTCACTTTTTCGAAAAAAAACCCCCCTGAATTCAGGTTAAAACCTGAAAATTGGCATCTCTGTTTGACATTACTTGTAACATCGAGCATAGGTATATGTCGAGAACTCACCTGGAAACTGGAAATGGACACCAGCGTGATCTCGGCCACGTGCCACTCGGCCCAGTTGTCATAGTCCCGCGAGAAGATGTTCTCGTAGTTGCCGTAGGTCTTCTTGTAGACGTTCAGGGTGCCGATGTTGTTTCCGTAGTTGTAGTACCTGTCACGTCAAAAACAGCAATCACATCTTGAATTGGGCATTTAAAATGACGACGATGCAAAGTATCCTCTAAAGAACGCTTAGCAGTATTATTTTTTTTTTAGGGGGGGGGGGAAGGGAGGATGGAGGGGGGGGGGTTGTAGAAGGCGTGTTGAGGCTTAGGGGTCTTGCCAACGGACATATGGAAAGAGCAAAGTGGTTAGGGTCACGGCCATCGCTAGAAGGGGATGTGGGAGGGGGGGGGAAAGGTCACCCACCACATTAATCGTGTTACCACATTTTTTCGTCTGCAAATTTGTTATTGTGCCTGCAAATCCATCATCAAATGTGCTGCGTTAAAGAGCGCCACCTATTGTCCAAAAGTGTCCATGATAGTCCATTTTGAACAGCCCCCTTCCCCAATTTTTTATTATGAAGGGGGAGGGGGTTGTTATAAATAAAATTACCTTTTAACACAAATAGTCCATTGGCAAATTCATGCCCCCCCCCCCCAACCAACCTTTAAAGTGGTCTAGCGACGCTAGACCACTAGACAGCGACGCTGGGGTACGAGGTAAGTGGTAGGCGCTAATAATTCGAGCGATTCACAATGCAGTGCGCCACCAAGAGTTTGCCATGGAGAGTTAATTTTTCCCATTGCATTTTGAGAGATGGTCGACAAATTTGCAGCGCGGGACATTTGAAAATGTTACTTTTTCCGGTCAGTAGTTTCGTAAGCGTATGATTCGAGTATATGTTTGTCCTTTTCTATTCCTTTTATCAATATGGTGTTTTTTTGTGAGGCGGCAGAATGGTATGCCCCAATCTATAAAGAATTAGCTCAAGTTGTCTACTGACACTCATTCAAATGGGCCATGTTTTATCGACCGTAAACTAGAAAAATGGACTCTCCATGGCAAACTCTTGGTGGCACACTGCATTGTGAATCGCCCGAATTGTTATGATATTTGCACAGACACCTGCATGGTCTTCGTGCGAGTGCCAGGCTCACGGTCGCAATGCATGCGAGTCCCCCCGACTTTCTCTTTGTGACCAAGCGAGGGGGTGCTTCTGCACGGGGTCTATGCCATCATGAAGGTCCAACTTACCAGAACTGTAAGCACTGGCCGGGCGTCGAGGAATACTTGGGGCTGTCCATCCGTGCGATGTCCCCAACCTGCTGAGGGTTGGACATCTCGGCATACATGTAGTGCCCTGGAGGAAACAAACAAGCAAACAGGTATGTCACGTTTAAATATCGGGGCTTTCGGTGGGGGTATGGCCCCTTAACCAGTTTGTGTCAGAGGCTGTGTATAATACGCACTGGTTCTTTTCATACACAGGCACAGCTGACGGGTTAAAACGTCACGATTGCCTCGACTAGCCTCTGGGTGACGTCTAAACACGCTAATCCGTTGTGTCTTTTGTACATAAACATAAAGTCCAAGAAGTCTGTGGAGGCGGACCGCGTGTTGATCTTGAATTGGCCGTTGTGCACAGCCTATTGTTCTACAATTTACGTTCCGTTGCACACCCCGGAGTGTTGAAAAATATGAGGTTTCGGCAAGAAATATCGTACAAATACTGTTGAAATGACTCTTGCGAATCAGTATTTTGTGGCGTCTGGCTGTATAGCAGAAGTTGGCTGGAAAATGTTGCCTTTTAAAGGTTAAAGGTACTAAAAAACATTTGCAAACATCAAAATACAAAACTATTGTTATGCAATACCTTACTTGACTGTAAGTGAATAATAGTCTCAGCATCCTGTGAAATAATGGCACCTGGTGTGCTGTCATTTTCAAGAAAAAAGGGGATTTTTGCATCAATTTCCAATGATGGTACGTCGGCCAACCAACGTTGGGGAAAAAAGGGAATTTGTCCAAATACTGCCCCCAATTTACCAAATTTAGTTCACGTTTTGTTTTGCAATCGGTTACACGTCCATGAACTGGTGCAAGCCAGCTAGTCTGGTTCCCTGACCTGACAATTCCCTGACGTCTATGAACTCCTCCATTTTGTAACAAGTAGGGTCAGGGAACCAGACAGTACAAGAACAGCATTTTTTTCTTGGTTTTTCCAAAAACTGTAAACAGCTCAGTGTAACAATATTTGCCATAAAATACTAACCCCCAAATCCATCCATTTCTGACTATTACAGCAAAAGAAAAAAAGGTGTATTGCCTTTCAAGGGAATGTACAACATTTGTTTTTGCTGCAGTTTTGAGAAATAAATGGATTTGGAGGATTAGTATGTTAAAGCAAATATTGTTAAACTGACTTGTTTCATGTCCTGGGTTTGTAGATGCTGGAAAACCAAGAAAACCAATCATGTTCTTGTAGTCTGGTTCCCTGACCCCACTTAAGATGAAACAGAGCAATTTATAGACTTTGTGGAATAAGCCATTTGCGAGTTAAATTTGAATACAATCTGGAACGCTGACTTAATCCAATGCTTTGCACGTTTTAACTTTGCATTCTCCCGACCAAAGAGACTGTTACTATATCACGTGATTCGGGGCAAGCCTTATGCTAGCAACCACAAGCTCCAGCATTGTCTGGTGTCTTTGTGCCATTCTCACCCATTGTGAACAATGTATTGGTGCTGAGCGTCTCTTACGTAACTTTGTAAGAGCTTGCCCCGAATCATGTGATTAGCAACAGTGTCTTTGGTCTGGAGAATTCAAAGTTAAAATGTGCCAAGCATTCTGAGCAAGTCAGCGTACCAGATGTTTTTCAAATTTAAATCCCAAAGGGTATAGGTTACTCACAAATGGCTTATTGTAAGGTCAGATAATCAGTCTAGCAGGCTTCTAACCCTTCACAGGTGTGTAAATGTGAAATAACTAAATATGCAAAATTAGGAGCAGTTTTTGAAAAAAAAAAACAGTTTTCTCCAACGATGGTCGGCCGACCAGCGTTGGAAAAATACAATTTTTCTTGAAAATGTCAGCACACCAGGAGCCACAATTTCACAGGATGCTTTAGACTGTCAGTCCTTAACAGTTCATTAAGGTATTTCGTGATAATTTGATCATTTCGTTTTTCGATGTTTGCAAATGTTGTATCTTCTCTTTAAAGGGCAAAAAAAATAATAAGAAAACACAAATTTTGATGTCCTGAAACAATCAAGGAAGAAATCTGAATGTTCAGATATCTGACCTGTGAGTGTTCCATAGGTGTGGTCGCTGGACGGCCCGGTGCCAAAGCTGGGGGTGTGGCCCTGGTGCAGCGTCCAATCAAAATCGTCCGTCGAGTCCTGTTCGTAGCCGCAGAGGCCGTTTTCAAAGTCGCAGAGCTCTGGAAGCAAGACATGAAAAGGAAAACATGGTTATGATAAAAAACTGGGATTATAAGGTTTAGAAAAGGACTGGAGCGAGGTTTAAACCTGCGACCTCCATATTGCCGTTCTGGTGCTCAACTAACTGAGCTTTCTAGCCCTGTGTTGGTGGTTTCCCCATTTTGTCAACGTCATTGTTCAGAAGCCATAAACCCATATATGCCATGTAGGCAGGGATCACGCCCAAAGTCAGGAAGAGTTCATTTTTTCCCAGTGCATTGTGGGAGATGGTTGACAAATTCGCAGCGCGGGACATTTGAAGTTGTTCGTTTTCCCGGTCAGTAGTTTCGTAAGCATATGATTTGAGTATCTGTTTGCCCTTTTCTTTTCTTTTTATCAAAATGGTGTTTTTTTGTAAGGCGGCAGAACGCTATGCCCCAATCTATAACAATTAACTAAGTTGTCTACTGACTCTCATTCAAATGGGCCATGTTTTGTCGACCGTAAACTAGACAAATGGACTCTCCATGGCAAACTCTTGGTGGCGCACTGCATTGTGAATCACCCTATTTGAGTCAGTGAAGAGGTCAGTCAGTGTCATGTGGAGTGTCATGGCCTAGCGGTTAAGAGCACCGGACTCATGCTCTGGTGTTTCAGAGGCAACAGTGGCGTGGGTTCGAGCCCGCCGGGTGGACACTTGTGCCCTTAAGCAAGGCACCTAACCATTATTGCTTCGTCCTTCAGATGGGACGTAAAGCCGTAGGTCCCGTGTGCTGTGTAATCCAATGCACGTAAAAGAGCCCTGTGACACTTATCGCTAAGAGAAGGGGTCTGCCCCGGTGTTTCTGGTCTCCTGTTTAAACTCCCACGCGGAGTATTTAGGAGATGAGCCAACCAAGAACTAAGAGCCAAGGTACAAAGAGGGTCCGGCCAAAAAATACAACTGTTAAATATTTCTCGTACCTCCTGGCGGGCAGGCTCCTGCGTGGAACTTGAGATCATCCAGGGAGATGTCACCCTGGTAACTAGGACCGGCTGTGCCTTCCAGGATAACCTAAGGATAAGCAAAACAGAAAGAAGTCAACCTCCGATTATCATCTGAATCATATTTAATACTAGGTTTCGCCCTTCACCGACGTCATTAAGCGTGCTACAGGGTGAGTCAATAAGTCAACTCTTTTTTTTCTTCTTTTTTCTTTTTTCCACTATTAATGGTGATTTTTGTATGTTTTCCTTTGCAAGTTCTCATTTTATCCATGGAGGTTGAAAAATGTCCATGTTCCATTGTCCAGGGTGGATAAAAAAACCCCCAAAAACGAGATATTATTGCTAATTGGAACAGGAGTAGGGCACATGTGAATCAAAAGGAGATATCCTCTGTTAGGGTTGAATCTCCTCTTTAAAATGACACCTTGATCATGTCTTTACATTCACGGTTGACTGAGCAGTGACCGATTTTATGAAAGGGTCTATTTGGAGAATTGCGCCACTTTTCATGGTGAAATCTCTTTTTTCCCCCACCTGCCTTGATTGGCAATCATAGCCTTTCACTCTGTGACAAATGACACAACAAAAACCACGATTGAAAAGTGGCGCAATTCTCCAAATAGACCCTTTCATAAAATTGGTCACTGCTCAGTCAACCGTGAATGTAATGACATGATCAGGGTGTCATTTTAAAGAGGAGATTCAACCCTAACGGAGGATATCTCCCTTTGATTCACATGTGCCTGACTCCTGTTCCAATAATCAATAATATCTCGGTTTCGTTTTTTTTTATCCACCCTGTATTATGGGTATGCATCAGTTCGTAAAACGGCAAACGATCAGTGGTGGACAGCTGAATGACTGGTACCTTGTACTGTGTGGTCTCCAGGAAGTGGATCATGCCCTGGTTCCACTGGTTCCCGAAGGAGCCCATCTTCTGCCAGACGGCCGTCTCCTTGTTGTCCGGGTAGGTCTGGGTGTAGATGGTCAGCTGGTCCACGTGAGCGCCGTACATGTGATACCAGAACTCCATGCAGTGGGTGTTGTTGTTCGTCTCCTTGAAGTAGTTGGAGGCCAGCCGGGCCTTGTTGTCTTGGGTCTGCCCGCTGACCTCGATGTAGATGTAGTAGCCTGGGTGCAAGACCGAAGAAAAAGAAATATGGCTTCAGAGGTTGAAGGTCAAACCAGATGATAAACAGAGGGTTTTAAGGCTTTCAAGCAGACCCAGGTGAAGAGATATGATTTATAAAAAAAACAGGACAAAAGAAGGACTTTAGAAAAAAAAATCCGGATAAAAGTGGGACTTGTGATGAATGCCCACCCAAGGATCACTCAATCCAATTCTGAAGCATAGTTGAACAATGACCTCTAATGACCCCTACATGACCTTTGACCTCAGTAATCCTATGAAAAATTGGGCCTTCAACACACAAGGGTCACTGCATCCAAGTTTTATCAAAATCTGTGAAAGCATGTAGAAGTTACAAAAAATTTTCAAAACTGCAGCTCTAAGGTCATACGGACGTTCCAGCAGATGAGAGTTCCGAGGTAGGAGCATTGTTGTCCTTTTATCCCTATTTCTTAATATTTCATTTGTGGGGTGCCCTATTTTCTAAAGATTTCACTCGTGGGATAAATTTCCTATCTGGTGTGTACAGTCATACAGAATTTAGCACTGTCTCCAAAACTTTGTTTAGGGGACACAAAAATTCCTTGACTTTTCCTTTGACTTTTCCATGACCTTTTATCCCTATTTCTTAATATTTCACTTGTGGGGTGCCCTATTTTCTAAAGATTTCACTCGTGGGATAAATTTCCTATCTGGTGTGTACAGTCATACAGAATGTAGCACTGTCTCCAAAACTTCGTTTAGGCGACACAAACATTCCACGACTTTTCCATGACTTGCCATTATAGCTGTAAATTTTAGGATTTTTCCAGGATTTTTCCAAGACTGTGATGAGAACCCTGTCCAGTGGGGCTGCTCTGGTTAACCCTTTCATGCCCACATTGTTTATTGACTAAGCTCTCCCCAGGACCAAATTGTTTGCTCAGTCATGCGGAAATCACTAGAGCGTGAACAAAATGAGCACGAGTCAAAAACTAACTTTTTTCAACCCAGATTTTCATTGCCAAGGAGTGATTAAAATCATAAATGTTGTGTGTAAAGTTTGTTCCTTGAACCTTACTCTTGTATGTGATGTAAAAATGAAGTCCATATGTGCAAATACAAGAGAGTTATGCCTGTTTGTTCATCTGGTTTCATTCATCAAACTGCAAGCCATTTCACCACATGACCAAATGGCACTCCATACCTCGAATTGTGCGTGGATACTTCTGAAGCACTTTTCTCATTTTTTTGTACGGTAACACTACGAATAAACCACACCAATAGAAAGATCCGAAAACACTCTTTCAGCTGGTATATAGTTGATGTATGGGCGGCCAAACATATCAACATGCCGCCTTTATAAAAAGTAGTGAATATATCTGTGTTGAGGGTGTTCTGTGTGGTTTCCTGGTCGACTAAAGTCGCCCATGGGAACCAGCAGGGGTCTACTTCTTGTCGACAAAAGTCGCCCATGGTAAGGAAAGGGTTAAATACCTGAGGCATCTCCCAGTGTGTGGTCGGCGGTCGGTCCGGTCATCACACTGCCCGTGGTGCCGGTCTCGCGTCTCCAGTCAAACTCATCGTCAGGAGAGGACAGCTGGGTCCACGTGCACCATCCGTTCTCGAAGTCGCAGTCGTGGGAGTTGGGAGCTAAACAAAACCAAACAAAAAACCATACCAACATGCAGTTTCAGAGAAATGTAAAACCACTAACAAACAGTAACAAATAAACAAAATAGTTTCTTGATGATAAGGCAAAAAAAAATAGTCTCCAGTTTCTGGTATGGAGCTTGACCCCAAAAGTGGTGCGGCGACGCGGCTTTTTTTTTTTTTTAACCCTGTTTTTTCCCTCCAAATGTTGGCTGATGACTGCAAATGGTGCCCGACTAAATTTAGTGCAAATATATGGCAGTCCAGAGAGGCCACATAAAGCTTATACTTGATCGTAACCCCATCTAAAAACACGTTAAAATTGTGCAGCAGCAGGATTCCAGTCAAACCAGTGAGTTTGGCAGTTTTGAGACATCATCTTACATTGAAAATATTTTTTTTTTTATTTTGCCAGAGACTTTTTTTTTGGCCTAAGCAGAGCATACTGTCCAAAACGTTACATTTCATAAAAACAAAAATGAAAGACTGCATTTTAGTGAGACATGTATGCATTGATATTGCTTTTTAAATTTGACATAAAATGTATAAGTCAGGTTCCTTTTCCGGGGGTGGGTGTTGGGGGGGGGGGTTTAAAAACAGAAACAGACATCTCTCAATTAAAATGTCAAAAATGTTCAGTGATTGGACTAAATAATGGAAGAACCAGCGTCCAAAAAACTTACGATAGACTGGGGGAGGGGCCGGGGTGGTGGGAGGGGGCAAGGTTGCCGGGCAGGGTCCCATCGAGAGTTCGATGTCATCTATAGCGATGTCACCCGAATAGCTCTGGCCGACAACGCCTTCAAAAATGACCTGGCAAGAAAAAGAAACAAAAACAGCATAACTTCCGCTATCATCAGGAACAGAGTCAGACACCACTAATAGGACATAGTTATTGAGAAGCTAATGTAGCTGTAACAGACCTGTTACTCCCTGTACTGCCCTAAACCACCCTGCCTGTTCCCTGTACCGCCCCAAACCACCCTGCCTGTTACTCCCTGTACTGCCCTAAACCACCCTGCCTGTTCCCTGTACCGCCCCAAAACCACCCTGCCTGTAACTCTCTGTACTGCCCTAAACCACCCTGCCTGTTACTCCCTGTACTGTCCCAAACTGCCCTGCTTGTTACTCCCTGTACCGCCCCAAAACCACCCTGCCTGTTACTCCCTGTACTGCCCTAAACCACCCTGCCTGTTACTCCCTGTACTGCCCAAAACCACCCTGCCTTTTACTCCCTGTACTGTCCCAAACTGCCCTGCTTGTTACTCCCTGTACCGCCCCAAAACCACCCTGCCTGTTACTCCCTGTACCGCCCCAAAACCACCCTGCCTGTTACTCTCTGTACTGCTCCAAACCACACTGCCTGTTACTCCCTGTACTGTCCCAAACTGCCCTGCTTGTTACTCCCTGTACCGCCCCAAAACCACCCTACCTGTTACTCCCTGTACTGCCCCAAACCACCCTGCCTGTTACTCCCTGTACCACCCCAAACCGCCTGCCTGTTACTCGCTGTACTGTCCCAAACCATCCTGCCTGTTACTCCCTGTACTGCCCCAAACCACCCTGCCTGTTACTCCCTGTACTGCCCGAAACCGCCCTGTCTGTTACTCCCTGTACTGCCCCAAATCGCCCAGCCTGTTACTCTCTGTACTGCCACAAACCACCCTGCCTGTTACTCCCTGTACTGCCCTAAACCACCCTGCCTGTTACTCCCTGTACTGCCCCAAACCACCCTGCCTGTTACTCCCTGTACTGCCCCAAACCACCCTGCCTGTTACTCCCTGTACTGCCCGGAACCGCCCTGTCTGTTACTCCCTGTACTGCTCCAAACCACCCTGCCTGTTACTCCCTGTACCGCCCTAAACCACCCTGCCTGTTACTCCCTGTACCGCCCTAAACCACCCTGCCTGTTACTCCCTGTACTGCCCCAAACCACCCTGCCTGTTACTCCCTGTACTGTCCCAAACTGCCCTGCTTGTTACTCCCTGTATCGCCCCAAACCACCCTGCCTGTTACTCCCTGTACTGCCCCAAACCACCCTGTCCGTTATTCCTTGTACCACCCCAAACCACCCTGCCTGTTACTCCCTGTACTGCCACAAACCACCCTGCCTGTTACTCTCTGTACTGTCCCAAACCAACCTGCCTGTTACTCTCTGTACTGCCACAAACCACCCTGCCTGTTACTCCCTGTACTGCCCCAAACCATCCTCTTGTTATTCCTTGTACCACCCCAAACCACCCTGCCTGTTACTCTCTGTACTTGCTACAAACCCCCTTGCCTGTTCTTGCCCCTACTGCTCCAAACATCCCTGTCTGTTACTCCCTGTACCGCCCCAAATCACACTGTCTGCTACCATGGTTTATTCCTGGTACTGCCCTTAACGGCCCTGCCTTCCTCCCCCTACTGCCCCAAGCATCTTAAGCACTGTATGGGTTGTATGGATACATCGGTGATTAAATCCCATGTTATACAATGCAGTACAGGCTGTAATGGGTTCAAAATGTACCCAGAATTCATCAACGGAAAACAACGAGGCCTGTCCGTAGCGCCAGACGTTCCCCTGGTTCCCGTTCATGGTCCAGACTGACATGGGGCTGCCCGTGGCGTGGGAGGTCTGGCTGTACAGGTTCAGAGTGCTGACCGTCCCACCGTACATGTGGTAGTAGAAGGACAGGCAGCGGCCGGCCGTCGCGTCGATGTGCTCGCTGACCAGCCAGGCTTTGTCCCCGCTGACACGGGGTGAGGACGTCTCCAAATAGACGTAGAATCCTGGACACAGGTTCAAAAATACTGCCAGTAAAACTTGTGCGATCCCCCTGGCAAACTTTCTGTCCATGTTACGTACGTAGCACTCTGAGCATAAACATCTTGTCAGAATTGCCTGGAAAGTCTTTAAATTCTTGAAAAGCACAATCCTGAACAATGGGGTGGGAATGTACAAGTGGAAAATAGGACAAACAACTTGATATTATTATCCTGCTTCATTTCCCAATCCCATGTCACACTTTTGTACCCCTTTAGTGTGGAAAGGCCCACATGTTAGAGTCATAATTAACACTGAGCTGAGCTCTCCAGAGAACTCGTAAATATCCATATTGGAAAGGATGTTTTGGACGTCGGCAATTTCTACAAGTGACTACGCCTCCACAAGGTTATCACGAAATAGATATATGGATTTTACTCAAAAACTAGGAATTTCCAAGGTGTGTTGATCCATCGCAAATTAAGTATTTTATGTAAGGGATATTAAGTCTGAATTTCAGCCCAGGAAATTAATTTAAAATAGGAGCATTTTGAATGTACACTTTCAAACTCGAAAACTTTAGTACACGAGAACAAAAGAAATGACTCCACAATGATACAAATTCCAGTATAAATGTGTTTACACACTTGTGAGTTTATATATAAATGGCCTTATGGGGTATCAGGAACAAGGGCAGCAATAGGGACAATGGTACCCTACAAGTCGGTCTTTAGAAATCTCAGTACCCCATTTGTAAAACGCTATGGAGTTTGAGATTTCAATAGGAACAAAGGAGAATAAAAAAAGGGAAGTCAAGTGGACAATAGTGGTACCCCATAACTACCCAAAAACACGGTTTGATGTGTGGGTGTGGGGTGTGGGGGGGGGGAACTGATGAGGGTGGGGTTGGATTTGGAGGTAGGGTCAGCTACAGGTAGGGGAGGTAGAACTCTCACCTCTCCCGGTGCCCGTGGTGTGGTCAGTCGACGGTCCGGTCTGGTAGCTTGGTGTGCCCCCGGCGCTACGCAGCCAATCAAAATCATCCTCTGTGCCTCTGTAGTTTGTCCAGGTACAGTAGTCGATCTCAAAGTCGCAGAAGCCTTCCGGCTGGCACGCTCCGTCGACAACATCCACATCATCAAGGGCCATGAAACCGGACGTAGCTGAGGCCGAGGTGGCTTCAAAGACGACCTGAACGCAAAGTACAAACAAAGAAAAAGTTCATATAATAAGATGCTTCTTTTCTTCTATGGAGTGAAGTGCCGTGGCCTCGTGGTCTGGAGCACTGAATTCATGGTCTGCGGGTAATTCTGCAGGTTGTGGGTTCGAACCCAGCCTGGGGTTGTGGTGCGTGTGCCCTTGGGCAAGGCACTTTGTCGTCCATTGCTTCTCTCCACCCAGGAGTAAATGGGTACCTGTGAGGGCAGAGATGGTTATTGTGACTGATTTTAGCTGCTTTGCGCCGAAATGGCAGCATCGAGCTGTATACTCCCCAGGGAGCTGAGATGGTATTTGGAATGTTTCATTTGCCCAATGAGCAGGGTAATAATGCGTCGCACCTTGAGCACCAAATAATGGTGGATACATGCGCTTTATAAATGCCTATTATTATCATGTTGGTTTTTTCCTTAACCGATGTAATTTCAAATATCCTGGTGACCGAGAGCTTGCAAGAAACTTGGATGGGTGGGACTCGAACCCAAGACGAACCTGTTTACTAGTGAAGATGTCTTTAAAAACCACTCAACCACAAAGTTTGCTGGGATCTTGTGGCTGATTCGAGCGCTTCATTTCTCTTTGTTAGGCTCAAAAAGCTTTGGCTAATAGCAAAAGAAGGTTACCGGCCAAAATGCTGCACGATGTGAATTGCTTGCGACCAGTTCTCCTGCTGGATTTGCTTAGGGAACGTCTCAAAAGTCGGAATGTTCCCATTCCATATGGAGCATTCCTGTGTGTTCCCATCCAGAACGCACTGTGTTCCCAGCGTGTTCCCACATTTAGTTATGGCTTGCACGCGCATAGACCAATGTCCCAATGTGGGATCAGCTGGCGTCCCCGGGCTGTTCCAAGTGGAAAGAACGCAGGTTCCCAATTGGAACAGGTGATGTTTCCTGGTGGAACATTCCAAGCGTTCTCCGACTTTTGAGACATCTCTTAGCGGCACTTCAGCCATAGGAAAATGCGACAATCGACACATACCCTGAAATCTTTGGAGCCGACGGACGAAATGGTGGCTTTCTGGACCCTCCAGTGGTCGCCTTGGTCGCCGCTCTTGGTCCACAGCGTCTTGGCGTAGTTATCTTGCACCTCCTTCCGGTAGACGGTCATCGTACCGGCGTTGTCGCCGACCATCTGGTACCAGAAAATCAGGCAGCGGTCGCTGCCGGGCTGGTAGACGCCGCTGAGAAGGCGGGCCTTGGCGTTGGTTGGCACGGACGCCGGGACAAGGATGTTGGCGTACATGAAGTGACCTGAGAAAAGATATTCCAAAGCGGAAACAGTCATTTTTCAATGTTGTTCTGAGCTTTTGGAGAGGTTACTTATGTAACTAGCATATCCTGTCAGTGCAACAAGGTTGTAACTCCACTGTGCAACAAAGACGTATCTAGCGCGAATACGCTCCGTGCAACAGGGTCGTATCTCGACGTCCATTGACTTCGTGTGTACATCCCGGTTATTTTAAGGAGGTACGACCTTTTCACATTCTGAAACTCGTGTTTCCCATACAGCCCATTTTTGAAGATATGACCTTGTTGCACGGACACGATGACATTATGGGGCCATGCATAATTTTGCTTATAAAGGTGAATTTTTTTGATAATTTGTCAAGGTGTATCCAAATAAAAAAAAAAAATGCAGCGCCAAATAAGTTTATCAGGCCATTCTGTTTTCCTCCACTGATGCACAAACTTCATATGGGCATAGATTTGGCCATTATTAGTCTTTGCCCCGCCCCCAAGCGTCCTGCCTGTTACTCCTTATACCGCCCTAAACTGCCCCAGCACTGTTGTTTAATGAATTCGTCAGGGAGTATATACAGTGTAATTCAATGTAATACAAGTGCTACAAGATTAAGAAAAAAATAAACATTCGTTTTAAAGGGGGAGCTCAATATTTTAACATTTTTATAGAAAAATCACCTTTTTTTCGAGGAGCTGCCCAGAAATGTCTGTTATTGACAGAATATGGTACGTTAACAGGGGTCCCAACACTTTACGAAAATGAAATTCCATGAGTTTCCCTGACATTTTTCCAAGAAATTTCCTAACTTCCGTGAGAAATATCTTCACTTAAATAAGAGGTTGATGGGAAGTCAAGAGGTGGTTGCAGCAAAGCAACTAAGATGCGGATAACACGCAAGCAACTTTGTTGACAAGCGATGGCCTCCCTTCTCCCCTTATGGGCTCCGTGCACCAGTACCCCATCAACGGCCAGCAAAGGAGAGTTGGGGGAGACCTAGACTGGTTCCCGATCCATCCACTGCGTAATTCGAATGATCCAAAGTTATCGAGGGCTGGGATTAGTCTGGGAGACCATCGCAAGTTATTTCGAACGTATTAGCGCACCAACGACGCCCGACGCTCAAGGGTAAAGATGCTATGGCTTAGCTTTGTGCACATTTAGGATAAATCAGTCGCGCGCACTTCACACGCGAACCATTATAGTAAGCACACGCAGTACGTGTCCCATCCAAGGGGCTCTCAATAGTGGTAAAAACGCGCCCTCTTTTGTTGGCGCACGGAGCCCAATATAGCCATCCTTTTCCTCACTATATGCAACAGAGACACACATACATGTACACCAAACTTGCGAAAACCTTTCCCTCTGGGTCACTGTCAAATTCTTCAAATTTCTTCAAGTTTTGCATGACTCGAAAATTTTCAAGGTTTTTCCTGATTTTCACTCACCCAAAATTGATCCCAAGGTGTGATCGGTCTGGGGGCCGGTTCCCGAGTTCTCGTCGCCGTAAACGCCTCTCTGCCAGTCAAAATTGTCCGTCTGATCATTGGTCCAGGAGCACATGTCCTGCTCAAACTCGCACTCATCTGCCAAGAAAAACCACGAGAATAAAAAAAACCCAAGACTTTCAACAACTTTATTTTAAGAATTTCTGATTATTTTTGATTTTTTTTCACAATACCTGACAACAAAAATCAGCTTTTTTTGGTGTTATGTGCGCGAAAGCAACCCACAACAATAGGGCATTTTCACAGGGTCAAAAACTTTCCAACAAAAAACAACAAACGTTTTCTCGGAATCAAAATGGTTGGCAAAAAAATGAATAACAATAATAATAATACAAAAAATATTTCACTTTGGAAATAGCCTTCATGTACCACAAACACTGTAAAACAATGATACCGAAATTTATGACAGATAAAAAAGTCTAATTTATAGACTACCGAAGTGTGACATCATTTTGAACCGGGAAGTGTAGTGCAAACGAATGGAGTACGCCCGCGTGTTGGTTCACGGGCTGAATCACGCGCTTAGGTCTTTTACACACACATTGTGCGCGTGATGTATTCACTTCGGTACTCTAAAAACTATACTCATTAGGCTGGAACACACAATCTCACAAAAGCGTTGTGGAAAAAAAAACGAGGTAAAATGGGATAATCTTACGAGACGCAGGACACTGGCCGGGTCTTAGCTTGATGTCATCCAAGGAGATGTCACCGCCCCAGGACTTGCCCACAATAGCCTCAAAGATGATTTCGTACGTCTGGCTGCTTGTCACATAGTCACGGGCGAGATGCCAGACATTGGACTGAGTGCCAGACTTCCGGTACACCTGTAGCAATGACAGTTAAGGACAGTTGTGACACTTGTGACAATGACAGACAGGACGTTTATGACACCTGTTGGTATGTTGTCAGTTGACAGTTTAAGGACAGTTGTGACGCATGTGTCAATGACAGACAGGACGTTTATGACACCTGTTGGTATGTTGTCAGTTGACAGTTTAAGGACAGTTGTGACGCATGTGACAATGACAGGCAGGACATTCATGACATCTGTTGGTATGTTGTCAGTCGACAGTTTAAGGACAGTTGTGACGCATGTGACAATGACAGGCAGGACATTCATGACATCTGTTGGTATGTTGTCAGTTGACAGTTTAAGGACAGTTGTGACGCATGTGACAATGACAGGCAGGACATTCATGACATCTGTTTGTATGTTGTCAGTTGACAGTTTTACGTTGTGACGCATGTAACAATGACAGACAGGACATTCATGACATCTGTTGGTATGTTGTCAGTTGACAGTTTAAGGACAGTTGTGACGCATGTGACAATGACAGGCAGGACATTCATGACATCTGTTTGTATGTTGTCAGTTGACAGTTTTACGTTGTGACGCATGTGACAATGACAGACAGGACGTTTGTGAGACCTGTCACCAACACATTTACCTTTGGCATGTTATGCTATTTATAGCGATGTCACATACTGGACTGGGTCCCATAATTAAAGTGCAGCTGCACTGCCACATTGACTGTGACAATGACAGTCATTGTCACAGTCAATTCAGGGCTCGCAAAATCGGCTATCCGACGTCCCTGAACAACCAAAATATCTTGTCAGACAACCAAAAATTGCCAGGTTGCCAGCCCAATGGGCAACCACTTTTTCCCATGGCGGTGTTTCACACTGCTGTGTGGGCGAGTTTGTTTCTGCATTCAATAGGGGACGTTGAACATTAGAGGACAAGAGGGTCCCCAATTTCCTGAAGGTCCCCAATTTACAATCGTGTACAAAACATACGGGAGGTCTTCCTAAAAAGTCAGAGTACAGACAAAAGAGGGACAATAGGGGGTCCCCGATTGCAGGCAAATACACACTTGTGTACGTGTACAACCACTGCCTTGTGGGGTACTGGAACAATGGGAGGTACCCCACAAAGAATGCCCACCGACTTGCGGGGTACCGTTTTGGTACCCCACAAGTTTTTCACGAAAAAGATATATGTATTTTTACTCAAAATCTAGGAATTTCCAAGGTGGGTTGATCTGTCGCAAATGGAAGAGTTTTAGAAAAAAGGATATTAAGACCGAATTTCAGCCCAGGAAATTAACTATGGTTCAAATAAGAGCATTTTGACATAAGTGTGCGACGTTGCAAAATTTTAGTACACGAGAACAAAGGAAGTACCACACTTCTATGCCTATGTAAGCGTGTGTGTTCCTGCATGGCATTACGCCTGAGGACAGACAACAAAAGGAGCACAAAGGGGCCATTGATCCTCGAAGGAAGGTGCCTATTGTCCTTGAACGCAGGTTTGTGTGCTTAGTCTATGGGAGAGTGTTATATTACAGGGACAAAGGAAAACACAAAGCCAATCCTCGGAAGCATAGCAAAAAACGACTGCGTGTGTGTGTGTTCCTGCATGGCATTACGCCTGAGGACAGACAACAAAAGGAGCACAAAGGGGCCATTGATCCTCGAAGGAAGGTGCCTATTGTCCTTGAACGCAGGTTTGTGTGCTTAGTCTATGGGAGAGTGTTATATTACAGGGACAAAGGAAAACACAAAGCCAATCCTCGGAAGCATAGCAAAAAACGACTGTGTGTGTGAACGTGTGTTTCCCATAATATTATGACTGGACCACTGTAAACCATGTACCAGCACGGTGCAGAGCGCGGGTACCGTACACACGCACACAGCCACGGTCGGCCACGGCCGGCCACGTACCCTTGCAAAATGGCAAGATGTTTTGGTTGTCCCGGGGCGTCGGACAGCCGATTTTGCGATTCCTGAGTCACTTCAGGTAAGCAGCCATGTATTTTATTAGGATTTGGCCTTCAGATTTTGGCAATATTTAAAAAAAAAAAGTCTTTATTGGGCAACCGCAAATGAAATTTAAGCAACCAGTTTTCAAGCAGCCCTGCCCGAAAGGAACCAAAATGTTGAACAGTTTTGGATCCCTTCGGTTCCGACGGATGAACTTACGTTCGTCTCCAACCCAGTGTCAGTCTTGAGCCAGATGTTCAGGGTGTCGATGTCGGGGCCGAACATGTGGTACCAGAACTCCAGGCAGTACTCGGTGCTGGGGGCCATGCTGCCCGAGGTCAGACGGGCCTTGTCACCCTGTTGCCTCGGAGAAGACGCTTCAATGTAGACATAACTGCCTTGGACTACAGGTAAAATAAGCACAATCCGACGAAAATTGTTGAACACAGAAATTGACTGGAGTTTGGCTTTGAGCCTGCGACATCTGGATTGCTGTTCCAGTGCTCTACCAACTGAGCTATCCAGCCCTATGTTGGCGGTTCCCCATTTTGTCAATGTCTTTGTTCAAAGGGTGTCAGTCAGAAGCCATTAACCCGTATATGCCATGTAGCCAGGGATCACGCCCAAAGTCACGATGCTAGCAACATTAGCAATGCTGCAAACCTGGGAAATAGCAAACGGGGATCACTCAGAGAGGATGCGTCTTTAGTGGTTTATTTGACAGAACAAAAAAATTGACATTGTCTAGAAGGTGAGATGTTATTTCAGGTAAAAAGCAAAAGTGTATACACGTATTCACATACATTATACAACGTTACTTAATTCCAGCGTTACTTAATGTCCTGTGACAGAGCTTTTAAGAGCTCAGTGAATAAACCTGAATATGTATATTTCAAATCTTTTACATCCATCATCTGGTAATGGTCAAGGAGATTACATGCTATTTGTTTTGAATCATTTTTCTGAATCATTAATTAGAAATCATTGTTCATTAGCTCTGTCACAGACATTAAACTTCCTTTCAAAATTCTGGAACTACTCACATGATGTGGGCCATAAATTAAACAACATTATGCATCCAAACATATCCACATATGAACCCTTTAATTTAATATTTATTAGAAAAAAAAATCATTTTTTCCAAAGACTAGACTGGCGACTGTCGCAATCTTTCCACGGTCACCGTTTAGTTCAAGACGTCGCGACCTTTGAACTTACCGGTGCCCAGCGTGTGGTCAAACTGCGGGCCGGTGTTGGTGGAACCGGTGTTGCCGGACTTCACCGTCCAATCGAAGTCGTCCGTCGCGACCTGCCCCCAGCCACAGACTGTGCCGGATTCAAAGTCGCAATTCAAATCTGGACGTCCAAGAAAGAGGGAAAAAAGGTGTTTAAAGGCACATAGGATCATTTTAGTTCGTCCCAAAAGTAATCTACCAAATTATTACAACAAGCCCAATGGGAAATTTCTCGGACGCTGCGGGCCAACGAATTCGTGTTCACGCATGAGTCACGTCATTGCGCCATGTAATTTTTGGAAGGAGTAGTAGTCTGAGTAAAAAAAAATTCAGGTTTTTGACCCCAGTGACCCCACGATGACCTTTGACCCCAGTTTGGTCATGTGACATGTTGGGGCTGGGTTACTGATCTTTTGACAACGTTGGGTTGAAATCGGTCAAAATATGTAGGAGCAATAGACAATGTCAACGTTTGTTACTAACTAACTAACTAACGGACTAACGGAGAGACATGATGATTTGTTGAGCTGCCATCACAGAGCTAAAAACACTTCAATGCTCGGATTAAAGATCATACTGGTACTAAACACCCTGTGAAATTATTCCGTCTGGCTTGCTGTCATTTCAAAGAAATCCACAAATGTACACGATTCCCAACGATCGGCCCACTGACTGATTTTTTAAAACAAAGAGTGCCGTTGATGAAATCGTATTTCGTGATCAAAAGGCTGTTTTCACTGTTTTCTCGAAAAGTGTAATATCCACTGAGCTGAAACTTCAACAGGTTAGGTTTTGAATATTCCTCTCTGGATTTCACAGTTATTATTGGAAAAGAGCAAAACACATAAAGAGCAAATGATCCGATACGCCTTTTGGAAGAAGTGTCATCTTGTCTTGTCTTGCTTTACCCGAGTCAGTGCCACACAGGTCAAACGTGATGTCGTCGATGGCAATGTTGGTGAGCTGAGAAGGATCCAGGAAACTGGAACCTGGCGAGGCCTCAAATCGAATCTGGAAAAAAAAAATCACAGAAATTGTGAAGGGCTGACTTGACAAACTTGCTTAACATAAATTGTGGCTTAGCATACAAACTATTTGCTATTAACGGCACATAGGAACATTGGTAAGGCCAAAAAAAAAAGTCTCCGGTTTCTGGTATGCGCGCGCGTCGCCGTAGCCATGCGCGTCGGCAAAATGAAAAAGTTTTTTTTTCAATACAAGATGATGTCTCAAAACCGCCAAACTCACTGGTTCGACTGGAATTCTGCTGCTGCACAATTTTAACGTGTTTTTTAGATGGGGTTATGATCGAGAATAAGCTTTATGTGGCCTCTTTGGACTCCCATATATTTGCACTAAGTTTAGTCGGGCACCATTTGCAGTCATCAGCCGACATTTGAAGCCAAAAAAAAAAAAAAAAACAGGTAAAAAAAAAAAAAAAGCCGCGTCGCCGCACCACTTTTGGGGCAAGCTCCATACCAGAAACCGGAGACTTTTTTTTTTTGGCCTAATGTAGATCATTGGAGTAGATCATTTGCAGCTATCCACGAAGTGACTGACCAATTATTGTTGAAAAGCTTTAAGATAGCATTACTATCTTAAATAATGAACATAATGAACTCCCTGTGACTTTAGTCCTTCTGGCATGCTGGCATTTTGAAGAAAACAATAAAAGAAGGCAATTTCTAAAGATGCGTCAGATGATGCATTTTTGGAAATTTCTGTTAGTAGTTGGTTTGTCATTCGGCTAGAAAAGGTGAGCGCAAGTGTTGACATGACGGACGCACAGAAATTCATTTTTTTCCGAAGTGGGAAGGCATTTTTACGCCTTTTTCACACAAATGGGAAAACATTTTCCCGAAACGTGAAATGCGAACTCAAATTCTTTTCACAAAATTTGCCATTCCCGTTCACAGTGTACTGTAAAGACTGATTGCAACAACCTACAATAGCTACACTACATGTATAGAGTACCGAAGTGTGACGTCATTTAGAACCAGAAAGTGTAGTGCAAACGAATGGAGTACGCGCGCGTGTTAGTTCACGGACTGAATCAAGCGCTAATGTGTTTTACACACACATTGTGTGCCTGATGTATTCACTTCGGTACTCTACAAACTCATGACAATTCCTATATGAAATGAGCTGCAATATTTGATAGCACATCTAGAAGCTAGGCGCCCTCCATTTTGCTAAGCGAAAGCAGGTTTGCGGCTTAGCCACCTGTGGCTGCTCCCCTGGCTGTAAATCAGTAAATTAACTGCTTAAATGCTAAGCAATTATCACCCGAGAACCGGTCCCAGGCCAATGGCATTGCACGACATTTTAGCTGGTAACCCATCCTTGCTAAGCCGATATATTCGGTGCTTAGCGAGACCAACTCACCGTGTAGGAGTTGGCGGCCCGTGGGCCGACCTTGAGCTTGCCGGCCTTCCACTGGTCGGCCGAGACCGATTTGACGACCGTCGTCGAGTCCGGAAGATTGTTTTGGTAAACGGAGACGACCAGGGCACCCGGGTCGGTCCCGCCTTGGAAGTGGTACCAGAAGTTCATTTCACATCTGGACGAGAAAGAACATGTTAAAACAGGTGAATTGGATAGTTTTAAATGCCATAAAGTTCTTCGACAAAACCAATTGCAGAGTTTTTAGATCATTCACTTACATGTACTTCAAGTAGAGAGCATCTGAGTAACTCGAAAACTATTTGTCATTTGCGCTGGGGAGTGTGTCATGTGTGAAATCAAATACAAAATTGTCCAGATTCAGCTGATCATATGTTGTGTCCTTGGGCAAGCCACTTTACCCCTATTTGCCTCTCTCCATCCAGGAGTATAACTGGGTACCGGCATTAGCTGGGGAGTAACCTGGGATGGACTAGCATCCCATCCAGGGGGAGTAGAAATATTCTCAGTTGTGTAATGCCAAAAACAAGGAGATTAACAACGGCATGATAAGCCACATTGGATTGAACTACACTTGATTTTACTGTGCATTTAGTTTACCATTTACAGTCTATCGAACGAAGCTTGTTCACAACCTTGTAATCAATTCTGGTTGCACGAGCAATAAGCCAGTTTGTATTTCAATGACACGAGGTCATTCGGGATAACATCGCTGACGTGATGCTACACAATGTTATGCAAGCGTCGTGCTCCCATGTTCATGCACCTTCAAAACGTTCGATTATCCCAAATCACCCATATCACTGTGCACATGCGAAATTGAAATACCGAACAGGCTTATTGAAATCATAATTCCTTTTTTTGACTTTCACCATGACTGATCATTGTTTTTTCCACATGAAATTAGAAGAAACTTTACCGTGAACTGTCTTTTGTTTGGTCTTTTTACTTACTTTGAGCCACGACTTCCAAGCATGGGACTCTGCAAGATGGCGGTCGTCAGAAACGTCCCGGTCGTGCTGTCGACGAACATGTACCACCCAGTTCCACCATGGTCGGTGCTGGGCGCGTGAGGTTTGGATGTATCTGTGGCCTGTCTGCGCTCCCATTGGTACAGGCCTGACGTGATCCCGGCCCAACCGCACTGATCCGTCTCAAAATCACAGTTGCCTGGAGGAAAATTTGTAAGAAAAAGTTAAGGTTCGGGGTTCGAATCCAGCCAAGAGGTAAAGAGAAATCCCTGGATTGTCTGTGCTCCAATTGGTACAGGCCTGACTGTCTCAAAATCACAATTGCCTCGAGAAAAATTTGTAGAAAAATTAGGTTCAAGGTTCGAATCCAGTCAGGAGGAAGATCCGTGGATTGTCTGCAATTGTACTGGTACTGGCCAGACATTGTTTCGACCCAACTGCACTGATCCGTCTCAAAATCCCAGTTGCCTAGAAGAAAATTTATAAGAAAAAGTTAGGTTCCAGATTCGAATCCAGCCATGAGGCTAAGAAACTCTGCAGATTGTATGGACTCCCACTGGTACAGGCCCCACGTGATTCCAGCCCAACCGCACTGATCCGTCTCAAAATCACAGTTGCCTGGAGGAAAATTTGTAAGAAAAAGTTAGGTTCATGGTTCGAATCCAGCAATGAGGCTAAAAAAACCCTGCAGATTGCATGGGCTCCCACTGGTACAGGCCTGACGTGATCCCCACCCAACCGCACTGATCCGTCTCAAAATCACAGTTGCCTGGAGGAACATTTATAAGAAAAAGTTAAGGTTCGGGGTTCGAATCCAGCCAAGAGGTAAAGAGAAATCCCTGGATTTTCTGTGCTCCAATTGGTACAGGCCTGACTGTCTCAAAATCACAATTGCCTCGAGAAAAATTTGTAGAAAAATTAGGTTCAAGGTTCGAATCCAGTCAGGAGGAAGATCCGTGGATTGTCTGCAATTGTACTGGTACTGGCCAGACATTGTTTCAACCCAACCGCACTGATCCGTCTCAAAATCACAGTGGCCTAGAGGAAAATTTATAAGAACAAGTTAGGTTTGAGGTTCGAGGTTCGAATCCCGCCACGAGGTTAAAAAACCCTGCAGATTGTATGGGTTCTCACTGGTACGGGCCTGACATGATCCCGACCCAACCGCACTGATCCGTCTCAAAATCACAGTTGCCTGGAGGAAAATTTTTAAGAAAAAAGTTAGGTTCGAGGTTCGAATCCCGCCACAAGGCTAAGAAACTCTGCAGATTGTATGGACTCCCACTGGTACGGGCCCGACGTGATTCCGGCCCAACCGCACTGATCCGTCTCAAAATCACAGTTGCCTGGAGGAAAATTTATGAAAAAAATTTAGGTTCGGGGTTCGAATCCCGCCACGAGGTTAAAAAACCCTGCAGATTGTATGGGTTCCCACTGGTACGGGCCCGACGTGATCCCGACCCAACTGCACCGATCCGTCTCAAAATCACAGTTGCCTGGAGGAAAATGTATAAGAAAAAGTTAGGTTCGGGGTTCGAGTCCAGCCACGAGGTTAAGGTTATCCAGCACAGAGTCCCGAGCATTGGCAAAACTCACCGCAGTTGGCCTCGTCCGATTTGTCACTGCAGTCGTCGTTTCCGTCGCAGACCAGCAGCGCGTCGATGCAGGTGGAGTCGGCGCAGGCAAACTGGGACGGCTGGCAAGGGTTGACCGTGGGCTGGACGGGGATCTTGGTGGGCGGCGGGACGGACGGGAAGTTGCCCGTGAACTGCTTGCAGGCCGTGGTGAAGGAGATGTCGTCGATGGCGATGTCGCCGTACATGCCGCCCACGGTGGCTTCAATCAGCACCTGAACAGAAGAAAGGAAACTGTTTAACGTGGTAGAACTTGTAACATACATTGTATGCATTCCTTAACGGAAACATATTGCTGGGGCAGATTGGGGCGGTTTAGACCTTTATCATGCTGCCACCATTTCAGTCATGTTCCCTGTATCCAATAACAGTACTGAATGATAATGTTGTCTGTGCGAAAAGGAACCAGACTATTTTTCCTTCCAGCCTCGCTTTGGTTACGTTGATTTAAATGGGAAAAAAAATCAACATGGCCGCAAAATGATAATGGTCTATAAGGAGTAGGGTGGTTTGGTACGGAACAGGGATTGAACGGATCAGGCCAATTTTGAAGAAAAAAACGACAAGTGCACAATGCACACATCTGTGGCCGTCATTTCTCAAAAAGGCCATACATGGAGCTTCTACGTCAGAAATCTGCTGAGCGCACGGAAATATATGCTTAGCAAAAATAAGACCCTGCCCTAAGCTCCTGACCTGGAAATTCGTATTGTGGCCCAAGATGATCTCGGCCCGCTCGTAGAAGTCGCCTTGCTCCCCCGACACGCCCCAGATGTACGTGAGAGGGCCGTTGGTCTGGTCCCAGAAGTAGACGCTCAGCGAGCCCGTGTCGATGCCGTACATGTGGTAGTAGAACCTGATCTTGCAGTCGGTGGTGGTGACGGATTGGATGTAGTAGCTGGCCAGGAAGGCACGGTCGCCCTTGGAAGCGCCGGTGGTCTCCAGGTAGAGGTAGGTACCTGCGGGAAAACGAGAAAGGACAAGGTTTGCCAAGAGAGGAAAAGCTATCATGGAAGTGATTTATGGAAGTCAGGGAGAAGGTCGGAAGAACTGGAAGTCTGTGATAAAGTCTGGAAATAGATTCAATGAAACCAAAATTAGAAGCCAGGCAGATAAAATAATGGAAGTTTTGATTGAAGTGCTGGAAGTTATGATGGAGTGATGAAGGAAGTCATGGGAGTCAAGAAGGAAGTCACTGAAATCAAGAAGAGGAACGTGGACGTCGTGAAGGAAGTCATGGAAGAATGCTATGGAAGTCATGAAAGGAAGTTATGGAAGTCAAGAAGACATAGAAGTTAAGAAAAAAGTCATGAAAGGAAGTTATGGAAGTCAGAACGGAAGTTATGGAAGTGAAGAAGAAGTTAGGAAGTTAGGATAGAAGTAATGGAAGTCAAGACAGAAGTTATGGAAGTCATGATGGAAGTCAGGAAAGAGGTTATGGAAGTCAGAAAGGAATTAATGGAAGGCATGAGAGAAGTCATGCTGGAGTTCAAAAAGGAAATTTATGGAAGTCATCCAGAAAGTCACAGAAGTCAAGATGGAAGTTGTGGAAGTCAAGATGGAAGTTATGAAGTCAAGACGGAAGTTATGGAGTCAAGACAGAAGTTATGGAGTCAAGACGGAAGTTATGAAGTCAAGACGGAAGTTATGGAGTCAAGACGGAAGTTATGGAGTCAAGACGGAAGTTATGGAGTCAAGACGGAAGTTATGGAGTCAAGACGGAAGTTATGGAGTCAAGACGGAAGTTATGGAGTCAAGACGGAAGTTATGGAGTCAAGACGGAAGTTATGAAGTCAAGACGGAAGTTATGAAGTCCAAACGGAAGTTATGAAGTCAAGACAGAAGTTATGATAGTCATGAAGACATTCACGACGGAAGTCATGATGGAAGTCAATGAAGTTATTGAAGTCAGGAAGAAGTCAAAAAGGAAGTCTTGAAGGCATTTGGGAAGAGGCCAGGGAAGGACATAAGGAAGGAAAGGCAGATGGACGGAAGTGACCGACTCACCCGTGGAGAGTCCAGTGGTGTGATCTCTACTCGGTCCAGTCCAGGGTGTCCGGGTCAGTCCCTGCTGGGCTTGCCAGTCCAACTCGTCGTTCACCAGCTGCGTCCAGTCGCAGATGGTGCCCTCAAAGTCGCAGGTGTGGTAGGCACCTTGAGGTGAATTGATAAAAAAGCCAGGTGAAACCAAAACAATGGTCCCTCCACAACTGTCAATCAAACAATGCACATTTTATCAAGTAGATCACCACTATCAGTCAGGTGACTACAATAGCTCGGTCAAACTCAGTCACAAGCACTGTGAGAAATACGCACAAACCAAAGGTGGGCATAGTAATTTCGGCGCATGAACAGGATTTTAAACAAGAAAAGATGGCATACTTGCTTGTTCTATGCAAATGTTTGCTACGCGTGAATTTTTAACTGCCTTCAGGGACATTATGCAATACTTTGATGCCCAATTAAAGCCTTTTACTTTATTTTCTTCCAAGCAAAATTTGAATATCTGCTACACTGACTTGTTCAAATGTTTGGCAAGTCTTGAACTTGGAATTTGCCAGACTGAAGGCACCATCGCCATTTCACAAGATGTGCACAGCACGTAATGTCTGCTTTAAAAAAGCAGGATCCTGGCCAAAATCCATATTTTATAACGTTGCTGGATACTGGTTTTCAACTAATTTTTGCGCAACGTGAATTTTGCTATAACATTTTTCAGTTAATCAGCTGAATAAGCTTGGTTAGAAAAATAAACTGTGGCCTGATCAGCACAGTTCAATTCCTTGGGGCTACTGTTAAAAGTGGAGAAACTTGCTAACCTCTGAAAATATCTGCTTGATCTACTACAACCCTTGTGCTAGTTTGGGGCTTTTTTCTTTTCCAGCTTGATACGTAAATCTGTTTAGCGCTTTTGTTCGGCTTATAGCAGCTTTGCGTTTTTTAAAAAATTTTACTCACTGCACGTCGTGACATCCTCGTCTGTCAGATCCCCGCAGTCGTCTGTCAAGTCGCAGACGCGATTCTGATCCACGCAGTTCAGGCGGCCGCACTGCATCTGATCCGAGCCACAGCTACCCGAGATTGGAGCTGGTTGAAAAAGGTTCAAAGGTTATTATTAAGTAAGTCCTCAATGGTTTGCATCTCCGTTCAAATTTACACTTGGATGGAGATATTTAATGATATATTCTTTGTATATTACCCGGGAAACCGCAACCGATGAAGGCGATGTCGTCAAAAGCGATATCTCCAAGGACAGTGAAAGATCTGGTGGCCTCAAAGACGATCTGAAATGGGAACGGAACTGGATCAGACCGGTGCAATCCATGTCAAGACATGTACAACACACCTAAATAGCTAAACCAGATCTAGCCAGTTCATACTAGATGGAATTGGATGTCAACATTACGTAAATCTCCCATTTGAGCTAGACCCGAGTTTGCCTATGACAAACTCAGGTCGTACCTACCGATTTCAGATTAAGCAGCTTTCAACGCGATCTCTCTTATCTGATCAAGAGTTAACGAGCCGTGAACAGGTGGTGTATGGTGCCTCTGCCTGTGAGCTTACTGACAAAAAATATCTACCAAAGTCTACTAGGTTCTTGTTTATAATGTAAAGTATTTGGAAAAGTGTCAAAAGTTATTATGTGAGCAACTTTGAATCATAAAAATCGATCAAATATATCTCGAGATATCAAATAAGAAACAGTCCGACTTCAGCCATGCTCTTCAAGGCACACACACTGCAAGTAGTCCCGGCTACCAGATGTGCATGCCATAATTGATAGGCCAATTACCTCAGCTCATGGTCACTGGCCCTGGGGAAGTGGGTGCCAGGGTAAGTGTTTATCTTATAATTACTTTACTGATAACAGCTGATAAGAGTCACAGTGAAATCGGTAGGTACAGTTCAGGGGTTTTGGCAAATGGGAGTTTCACGTAATGAGGTAACTTATCTAACCAGTGAAACCAGATCAAACCACTACATGCCAGATGGAACTACCGTAGAAGTCAAGGCAATAAACAAGCTGAAACCAGATCTATAACCAGTTCAAACCAGATCAAACTGGTGGTATCCAACCACAATCCAGCCAAACTTACTGTGAAGGGGTTGAAGACTCGACCGATGCCGTACTGCATGAGGTTCCACTGGTCCCCTTGGTCTTGGTCCAAGTACACCAGCATGGTCCGCGTAACACCAGTGATGAGATCAACCTGAAGTGAGCCCATGTCTGCCAAAAACAAAACAAAAAAGGGCAACTGACTTGGTGTATTATAATCAATTTAACAGTTAAAAAAAGAAATTGACTGCCTGGGGTTTGAACCTGTGACCTTCCGATTACTGGTCCAATGCTGTACCAACTGAGCTATCCAGCCCTATGTTGGCAGTTCCCCATCATGTCAATGTCTTTGCTAGAAGGGCGCTAGTCAGAAGCCATATACCCGTATATGCCACGCAGCTAGGGATCACGCCCAAAGTCATGATGCTGGCAGCATTAACAATGCTGAAAATCTAGGAAATAGTCAATTTCTTGGTACAAATGTTAACATTACTTGGAAAAAGTGTTAATCCTTTTTCTTTGTACCGCCCGAAAGCGCCCTGTAGCACCCAAAACTGCTCGAGCACTCTATGGGCCAAAAAACAAAACAAAAAGTAAAGAAGACGAACCTGTGTTCACAGGAAAGGAGTGCCCATCTCTTTTTTTTTGCGATGGGGCCAGATTCATATGCTGCTGTGGGGGGATCGCCACACCTCCTCCACAACGAGTCCTTTACCTTCCCAGCATTGAATAATGCCGGTACCCATTTAACACCTGGGTTGAGTGGAGTAATTGAGGTAAAGCGCCCTACTCAAGGGCACAACACACATAGCCATGGCGGGGCTCCAACCCACAACCTCACGATCATTAATCCTGTGCTCCACTGTAAGACCACAGGTGCCCATGGTGGCAAAATTCATCACTGTCAAAAAGCTAGTGGGGGCGGGCAGGGTATATACACCCCTAGCTTGGCCCATCTATGTCCAACATCTACTCCAGGACGTACCTTGGCCGTACATGTGATACCAGAACCTCATCAGACAGGTGGAGGAAGCGTCGTACATCATCGGCGACTCCAGATTGGCCTGGCTGAAGCTGGACCCGGAGTTGGCGTTCACAAACATGTAGTGACCTGGATCGGAGAAACAAACAAAGAAACACATAAATGGAAGACAATCAATAGAATCATGTTAATATCAAACGCAAGACACAGCATCTGCCAACTCTTGGCACAAACAAAACAACGTCTGTCACCGTGCCCGACGCAAGTGCAGCTGATGATTTCAAAGAACGGCTGTCTTCAAGTGGAATATTGTGGTTCAGTGTGGCTCTGGAAGGGCGGCCTGAAACGGTTGCGCTTTTGAAGACAAAATCCAAAGATCGTTTAAAACTCAAAATCCAAAGATCGTTTAAAACCCAGCCTGTTGAAGTTTCAGCTCAGTGGATATTACACTTTTCCAGCAAACAGTAAAAACCACGCACAACCTTTTGATCCAGAACACCATTTCATCGATAACACTCTTTTACAGACAAAATCCAAAGATCGCTTAAAACTCAAAATCCAAAGATCGTTTAAATCCCAGCCTGTTGAAGTTTCAGCTCAGTGGATATTAAACTTTTCCAGCAAACAGTAAAAACCATGCACAACCTTTTGATCCAGAACACAATTTCATCGATAACACTCTATTACAGACAAAATCCAAAGATCGCTTAAAATTCAAAATCCAAAGATCGTTTAAAACCCAACCTGTTGAAGGATTAAGCTCAGTGGATATTACACTTTTCCAGCAAACAGTGAAAAACCATGCACAACCTTTTAGATCCAGAACACGATCTCATCGATAACACTCTGAATTTCCCAACATTTGTCAATTGACTGATGATTGAAAATCACCTACATTTCTTGACTTCTTCTGAGTGACAGCAAGCCAGACAGAATCATTTCACGGGTTACTTAGTACCAGTAAAATATTAATTCATGTAAGCCTTTTGATGGTAATTTGGTAGGTTACTTTTGGGATGAATGTAAATGATGCTACAATGCCTTTAACCCCTTAAGGACGGGGTGTAATGGGGACATTCCTCCACACATAGAGCAAGTGGCCCGCATGACTGCACAGCCTTTGTGTGGTAGCAGGACTGCACAAAAGCAGCAGCTGTGGAACTACCCACTAGCCGTGTGCCACGGCATACCACAGCTGGCAACTGCATTCCAATGAGGATTAGCGGCCGCGGCCATGACCGCTTCCCGTACGCTTGGGGTTAAGCAATTGTTTGTTTGTTTTTTTTACCTGCGGCAGTGTTAAAGGTGTGGTCCGTGGAGGGGCCGGTGTTGGCGGAGGGTGTGGCCCCGGTGCCGATCTCCCACTTGTAGGATCCAATACTGGTGTCGGACCAGCCACAGGCCCCGCTCTCAAACTGGCAAGTTCCTAAAAAAAAAATAGGGAGAAAAAAACTCGCTATGCTTTCTCATCGCACCACATTGTAATTTAGATTTTTGCCCCGGCACATTGATTATTTCTGTCCCTTTTTTAATTTGTTTTTTTATTTTTTGTCCTTTTTTCTCATAATTTTATTCTATTTGCTTAAATTAGACATGAATTTGTGTTGTGTTTACACATACCACATGCATTTCACAAACATCTGCAGACAAGAACAAATGCTATCATACAGCGATTTTTTGGGGGTTCATTTTAACCCCAAATCATGCTTGGTTTTCACCTAAACTGCTCAAGTAATTGCACAGATTTTCTTTTTTCTTTTTTTTCCTTCTTTTTCTCTCTGTTTTACTTTATTGCTTATTATTTGTCCATCCCAGCTCAAATGGCGCTGACATCTAAAAACAGAATAAAAAACCCGCTTTATAGGCTGCAGCTCTGCAAGACGCAGTGACGGCATGATGACGTCATGATGACATCATCAGGTGTATGCAAACAAGCAGAATACATTGCAACTTCTAAGTACGCATTTTTGAAACCGAATATCGTGTCTAATTTCTTTACACTGACTTATACTCACCAACACATACTCCCGTTTCGAGGACTTGTTTCAAAAGAAAATTGCATGCTTTGTATTTTTTTAAATAAAAGGGTAAAAAAAAGAGGAAGGAATGTCGACACCAACCACAATTAGCCTCCTCTGAGTTATCCCCGCAATCGTCGACAAAGTTGCAAATCTGCTTCTTGTCCGTCAGGCACTTGCCGTTGGCGCACGTGAACTGGCAGGGCGGGGCCTGCGTGGGGGGCGTGCACAGCCCCTTGTACATCTGGACGTCGTCGATGGCGATGTCGCCTTGGTAACTGGAGCCCTTGATGGCTTGGAAGACAATCTGCAGGCGGAATTTGATTGGACACGAGCACAAACTCATGAATATTCAAATGATGCAAATATAATGTGATCAGTCAGCCATTCAGGCACAAATACCAACTCTCATGACGGAAGTCTATAGAGAACGTAAAATCAGGGGCTAATTTCATGGCGCTGCTAAGCACAAAAGTTTGCTAAGCGCAAAAAAGTCTGGCTTAATAAAGCAGGTTACTAGCCAAAACTCCACGTGATGTATATTGATTAGTATTCAGCTGTTGTTTGCTTAGCATGAAATCACATGGGATTTTGGTTGATAACCTGCTTTTATAAGCCAGACTTTTTTGTGCTAAGCAAATTTTTGTGCTTAGCAGCGCCGTGAAATTGGGCCCTGGTAACACGTATTATTAAACCAAATTTCTTGATTGCTCATGAGCACCTATCAAACAACTCGGAACAAAATGTTCCTTTGGCGAACGACAACATGTAGCCATGTTAAAAATGAAAAAAAAATGGTGGAAAGCCAGCCGAGTAATCGCAAAAAGTGAGCAACTCGGATTGGTCTATCATTGGAAAATTGGCATTCCTGACTGACCTCGTAGACGGTGGATGGTTGGGGCGCGTCCACCAAAGTATGCAGCCAGCTCGATCCCTGTTCGTTGGTCTCGCTCCATAGCTTTGTCCAGTAGTCTGGATGCAGGATGTTGGTCTGTTGCCAGACATTCAGTGTGCCTGGATGATGAAAAAAGAAAGAAAAACAATACCATAAGAAATAAACTTTCAAAGGCATGAGACAAATCAACTAAGACGGTACCGACTATACCAAATATTTGATCATTAATGTATACCATTTGAATATTTGAATATGCGACCGGCTCAGCTCGGGGAAATGGAATGCTCCACTAATCAGCTTGGGAGGCTAGTTTTACTATACCACTCCAGGCAGTCCATAGTTGCACACTATCTCCACCCAACTATATAATTTCCCTTCATGTGGTACCAGAAGCTTAGACATATCCTCCCACTTCATGGATAACCACGGGAGTCCCCGTGAGTCTAGTTTTACTATACCCTGCCAAGCAGTCAATAGTTGAATACTGTCTGTCTCTACCTATAGACACAAATCCTCCTGCACAAAGAATCACCTCGGGAGGCTAGTTTCACTATACCACTCCAAGCAGTCAATAGTTGAATGCTATCTCCACCTACCTATATGATCTCCCTTCATGTGGTACCAGAAGCTGAGACACATATCCTCTCCATGCACGGATCACTTTGTGAGACTAGTTTTGCTATACCACGCCAAGCAGTCAATAGTCGAATACTATCTCCACCTACCTATATGATTTCCCTTCATATGATACCAGAAGCTTAGACACATGTCCTCCCGCTTTGTATATCACATTGTGAGACTAATTTAAATACACCACTGCAAGCAGTCAATAGTTAAATACTATCTCCACCTACCTATATGATTTCCCTTCATGTGGTACCAGAAGCTGAGACACATGTCCTCACGCGGCAACGTCTCCGATTGCAGATAGGCAAAATCATCCTTTATGGAGGGACTAGAGGTCTCGATGTACATGTAGTACCCGTACTGGGTGCCGAGGGTGTGGTCGACGTCGGGGCCCGTGTTGAAGCTGGCCGTGTCGCCCTTGTTGCGAATCCAGTCCATGTCGTCGATGTCCAGGTTGGTGTACAGGCAGTAGTCGTCCTCGAAGTCGCAGCTGCCGGGCCGGTTGCACTGGGTTCCCGTCATGTCAATGTCGTCGATGGCGATGTCGCCTTGGGGACCGGAACCGGCGAGGCCTTCGTAGATGATCTAGACAAGGGAGGGAATTGGAAGATAAATTTTGTTTTTCTCTCGCCGAATGTTTTAAATCACAATCAACCATCAATGGTCTTAAGTGCATTTTTTCCCTGCTCTCATTAATAACCTTAATCCTAACCTTCCCAAATCCTCCCAAATCCTCTCTGCAAAATGGAGGGTTTTGCAGAATTGAGGCTATATGGCAAAAATGTGTGGCTGATTTTGGAGGAAGCACTGTGTCAAGGTCTTGAGCCGGACCGTGTGCTGTTTATGCTCAGCTGTGCATACATTTAGACCTAGATTATACTTGAAATCCTCCGCACTGCTCCAGGATGTCACTGGCTCTGCCTCAACATACTGACAGTGATTGCTGGTGGATTTTGCAGGATTGAGGCAGTGGTCACCCCTACACGGACCACTTTCAAGAAATAACGGAAGATTTGCACATTGGTCAAAATCTAGAGGTCAATATGCGGTTGTCTTGCATGATTAATGAGCAGATCGGCTAAAAAAAGCAACCTTATTTCCAGAGTGGCTGGGAATCCTGATAACAGTCTTACCCGGTAGGGATAGGCCGACTGGACAGATACTTCGCCGACCATCCAGTAGGCGAAGGCGTTGGAGTAACGGCCCCAGACCACGTTGCCCTTGTTCCCCTGGACCTCCACGTAGATTTTCAGCGCGTTGACGTTCACGCCGACCATGTAGTACCAGAACTTCATGCACGTGCCGAAGGTGGCCGGGTACTCCGGGGAGCGGATGCGCGCTACATCGCCGTACTGCTTGCCGGTCACGTCGATGAACATGTAGTGGCCTTTGAAATTTCAAACAACAAACAAAATTTATGTAGGACTCACTCCACTTAAACCAGATGTTTCTAGGCAGGGCCAGTAGGTTAACTGGTGCAATTTAACAAGGTAATTTTACCCGTAGAGGCTATTGTTTAACAGATTTTGAATTGTTTAACTGATTTAGAAATGTGTTTCAGTTTAAGAAATGCGCAACCAACAACTTTGGCAAGCAATTTCGGTTTTCACTTTTGTGACATCATGAACTTCAAATGGGCTCAATTTTGCCAGGGAAAGTCCGTTTTCAAAAGTTCAACCATCACTGTTTTCAAAAACCCACTTTCGGCTAGATGCCTAAAAGCCTTTCTCTTTACAAAACACACAATGATGCTTTCACTTTTCACATACAAATCACTTGGGTTGGTTCAACTTTTTAAGAAGGATTTAAAATTGTCAAAAAATTGGGGCAAGGGATCAGGTCTTTCCCGTCAGGGCCTGTCTCAATTCATATCCTGGACGAGCTATGGACAAGTTGCGGACACTGTATCGGGTATAAGCTGCAGGATTCTGAACAACTTCCCCGCAATCTTCCCGCAATGAAGTTATCAGTATTGGTGAGTCAAGCAGTTGCTAATGAAAATTTCCCCGGAACATGTCCGGGACAAATGCAGAGCTTCTTCCGGACAAAGTGAATGATTCTACCCGCAACTTGTCTGGAACTCGTCCCAGATATAAATTGAGGCGTGCCCTAAATAAAAAATACCCAACATTTTTGCGACAATGAATGCTATTCACTATATCCCTCCACCCAGAAACGACAATGTAAATATTGGACTTTTTGGCGGTAAAAATTGAAATAATTGAGCAAAAAATAAAAGGTCACAAAAATGGGATCAACTCCAACACTACTTTTAGCAGCTTAAAAAAAATCAAATTAACCCTGGGGTTGGCATCAGGCCTACCTTGGGCGCTCTGGTAGGTGTGGTCATTCGGCGGTCCCGTACCCGGTGTCGCCGTGGCGCCGGTTCCCATCGTCCAATCAAAGTCGTCCGTTTTGTCCTGGGCGAAGCCGCAATCGCCGTGCTCAAAATCACAAGTCACTGTTGGCGAAGGGAAAAACGTTGCGCACTTGAGGTTTGAAATTTGCCATTCGGCAAAGAGTTTGTAGTTATTTTACGTGACAATGAGCCCAACTGTCTAGTTTTAATACAAACCATGTGCGGGAGCTTGACACCATCGCAGTAAAAGCTTCTAATTCTGGTGGCCGTATTCCACTATAACTTAGAATGAACAATCGTCAGGCAACTTGCAAAAGGGGGGTTGGAGCTATTAACTAGGATTCCTAAAAATCCGAGGATTTCTTGCTAAACTGGCAAATGACATTTTGCAGTGGTGTACGTGTTCTACATAACCACTGAGGACCGACACACAATGGGAGAACAACAGATCCTTTCAGTCCTCGGGAGTTGGGTCTTTTGTTTGGTCCTCTGTAGTAAGTTTGTGTGCTTAGTCTATGGGAGAGTGTTATATTACAGGGACAAAGGGAAACACAAAGCATTGTCCTCGAGAGTATAGTAAAACAAGAGTGTGTGCTCACTGCTTGGTATGAATCATATTTTGATGGCTGTGGCTTATGGCCATGGCAAATGATGTATTATGGTTAATAGTCGTAGCCGCAGGAAATATTTTGACTTACTCATGACAGGGCAGGCGCCATTGTAGACCTCGAGGTCGTCCAGAGCAATGTCGCCCCTGTAGGAGTTGCCACGCACACCTTCAAATATGACCTAAAAACAAGAATAACAGGAATAAACATGTCTGGCACCCAATGTCAGACCACGGACGGATACTAATGCTAAAGGTACCTGACTAGGAAAAAAAAAATCCACACACAAAGCTGTAGACCTCAGAATGTTGGCACGCATGGTGTCCAAGTCTGGTACCCAATATCAGAACATGGGACACATGCTTATAGCAAAGCTACCCGACTATGCAAATAACCCACAAGGAAACCTTCAGTACCAAGTTTCAAGATGGCGTCCGAGTCTAGTATCCAATCTCATTCAATGGAAATTTAGGCCATGTCCAAATCGGAACATCTACTGACAGCGCAAGACAGTAGCTCTCGGCAGTAGCTTCGTATATAGCCGTAGCTTTAGCTGACTAGAAAAATGGTTGGCTAACTAGGAAAATGTAACCAATGACACACTACCGCAGACTTCATTAATTCTGATGAGGTGCCAAAGTCTGGCACCCAATCTCACACCCATGGGGAATATACTCACGGCGAAGTTTCCGCTGATGAAGACCTGACCCTGCTTCCACTCCGGCCCCTGGTCGCCCTTGCGCGTCCACTCCACTGTGTCCACTTTGTTCTCGCGCCGCAGCACGTTCAGCGAGTCGATGTTGGGGCCGAACATGTGGTGCCAGAAGCGCACGCACTTGCCCAGATTCGCCGAGACCATGTCCGGGGACATCATGTGGGCCTTGGCGCCGGTGGTCTGGCCCGTGGCTTCGATGTAGACGTAGTAGCCTGCGCGGTGGGGACAATTCGTGTTCACAGATTTGAATAAAGTACAGGGTGAGTAAAACAAAAGGAAACCCAAATGTCGGGACTATTGTTTTAGTGAAGTTCTGCATGTAGCACTTTCAAAATCTAGGATATGAAAGCCCATTTCATAAGCTTTTGTTTAGTACAAGAATCATTCAAATGACTCATGTACTTTTCAAGTTACGGAGTTTTAAACACAGCCGCCGTTTTGAGGTTCTGTCCACGGATCACAAAAAAGTTCAGTGTTCTCTCAGCAACACAAATAAAATCACATAATAGTTTTTGTTTTACTGAAAGAACACACACCATTTGTGCGCCCAGTTGTTGTATTACAAAACACTGAATTTGACCAATTAAACCATAAGTCCTGATTTGGGAATGAAATGAAGTCACGATTGTAGTAAAGTCGACTCTGATTGGCTGGTGCGCGGCTTGCATAAATCTGCATGTTTAGACATCAGACGTTATACAGGAGATTGACTCCCTGGATAACGGGCGATACTCAGACTTGTTCAAGCCCTGCTATTAAGTAAATTCCTTTGTTCAAGTTTAAAGCATTTTTTTTTTCTCTCCATCAGATCTTGTGATTATTTCAGAATACAGAGGCTGGTTTCGTACCGCTCGCTGTGCTGGTGGTGTGGTCAAACTCTGGCCCGGTTCCCTGTGACGACGTTGATCCTTGTCTCCGCGTCCACCTGAAATCTCCTGTGGTGGCGTGCTGCCACGTGCACCAGTCGTTCTCAAAGTTGCAATCGTACTGGCTGGGTGCTGGGGGAGGGGAGGGGGGGGGGGGGAAGTGGGAGGGTTAGAAAGTGCAAATGAGGAACTCGGAGTCAACAGCAAAAGACAAATCTGCTCTTTGTTTTTGTAATTCATTTTTTTTTCTTGCAAAATAATAATCACTGGTTCCTTTATTTCACCACTGATGAAATCTCATAACTGACTTGTAACTTGGACTCAGACTCGGACTCAACATTCGTGACTCATGTCTCGGACTCGAACATGACATTTGTGACTCGTGACTCGTGCCTTTTTCTGAATTTTATTAAGTGACTCATAACTGACTCGTACTCGATTCAGACTCAGACTCAACATTTGTGACTCATCATGTCTCGGACTCTGACATGACATTTGTGATTTGTGGCTCGTGCTCTTTTCTTGTATTTTATTAAGTGAGTCATAACTGACTCGTAACTCAGACTTTGACTCAACATTCGTGACTCATGTCTTGGACTCGAACATGACATTTCTGACTTGTGACTTGTGCTTTTTTTATCTCGTACTTTATTAAGTGACTCATAACTGACTCGTAACTCAGACTCTGACTCTGACTCAACATTCGTGACTCAGTCATGTCTGGGACTCGAACATATCATTTGTGACTCATGACTCGCACTTGTTTCTTCAATTTTAAAAAGTGATTCCTAAATGAATTGCAACTCAGACTCAGACTCAAATTCAACATTCGTGACTCATGTCTAAAATGACATTTGTGACTCATGACTCGTGTTTTACTTGAATTTTTTAAGTGACTCATAACTCGGACTAAGACTTAGACTCGGACTCGACGATGGGGGTTCATGACTAGAACTCGAACAAGTGACTCGTGACTCACACTCAGACTCACGACAAGGGACTCAAGGTTTTGGGACTCGACCACAAGTCTTGGTGCAAAGTTACCGTGAGTGGGTGGTCCGGGCGTAGTGGGCGGCAGTGTCGGGGCAAAGATGCACGGCGTCGATTCGATATCAATGTCGTCAAGAGCTATGTCCCCTTGCCAGCTGTTTTTGTATGTGGCTTCCAATAACACCTGCAGAAAATTAGCCGGTGACATATAGTTCAAATTTCTGCATCTGGGACTAGCTTACAGATGAGTCTCGTTATTAAAGGGAATATACATCATTTGCTTTTGCTGTAATTTTCAGAAATGGATGGAATTGGGGGGTTGGAAATATATAGCAAATATAGTTACACTGACTTTTTTTAGGTTTTGGGTTCGAAAATGCTATAAAAACCAAGAAAAATGATCATTTTCCTGTAGTCTGGTTCCCTGACTCCATTTAAGAAGAAACGGAGCAGTTTACATACATTGGGGAATTGTAAGGTCAGGGAACCAGTCTAGCTGGCTCGTACCCGTTCATAGGTTTGTAATCGATTGCAAACAAGTGCGATGGTCAATTGGGGCCAGTATTTGAAAAAAAGCCAGTTTTTTCCAACGCTGATCGGCCGATCAGCATTGGAAATTGATACAATAATACCACTTTTCTTGAAAATGACAGTATACCAGGTGCCATGATTTTACAGGATGCTTTACACTGTCATTCACTAACAGTCCAGCAAGGTATTTCAAAATGATTTGGTAGTTTTATTTTTGATGTTTGCAAATGTTGCATTTTCCCTTTAACAAACAACATTTGCAAAACACCGAGAAACAGAACTACCAAATTATTATGAAATACCTTACAGGACTGTACGTGAATAACTGTCTCAAGCATCCTGTGAAATCATGGCACCTGGTGTGCTGTCATTTTCAAGAAAAGTGGAATTTTTGTATCAATTTCCAACGACGGTCGGCTGAATGCAAATAAATCTGCAGCCTCTTCGTGTGAGCTTAAGGCATACGGTGGCGGTGCGTCACAGTGGCGGTCTCCTCTAGCTCTCTCTTTAATTGTTACCGTTGCAGGAGGGGGGGGGGGGGGGGTCTTGTGCACGGAGGCCCTAGTTCCCTGGTACCCACATACCTGGTACTCCACATCGGCAGGCAGCTGGATTTGCTTGAACTGCCAGACGTTGCCCTGGTTGCCGCTCAGCGACCACACGGATTGCTGGGAATTCTTGTTGTCGTCGGTGTAAACCGTCAAGGTGCCGATACCTATTAAACCAATCAAAAAATGGAAGCATTAGAGATCGATGCAATAGGTCTTATTCCTGAGTATAGAGGGCACTGTCACGACAAAGTAATGGGGGTATATACAGACATATTCAAAGGGTAGTTAACGTTAACTTACAGTTCAAAGGGTATATTTTTACCATCTTTTATTAAGGTAAGAAAATGTGTGCTTGGCTGGTTTTAAACACTATGTTTAAGACCGGTTTGGAGTCTAAATGCTCATAATGACCTGAGCCTGAGAAAATGGCCTTTAAAGTTTCAAGTTTTGCATTTCTGAATATGGGTATGCAAATCATTTTTTTCTTAAAATAACCCCTTTATTTAATTTTTTTTTTATACTTTCCTTTAACACACGTGTGTACACAAATCAAATATTACAAATATCAATAAATCGGAAAATCGGGGTTTTGGTTTTTATACATTTTTCTCTACCACGGCCTATGCATTTCGGAAGACACTCTTCAACCTTTTGTATTAATAACCCTGCAATTGATTTTAAAAATGGTTTATGGATTTAGTCTGTCACCGTACCGTTGCCATACATGTGATACCACAGTGAGAAGCAGGAACCCGTCGAGACGATCGGCATGTGCTGACTCTTCAGGACGGCCTTGTCGTTGTTCTTCATCCCGGAGAAGGACGTCTCAAAGTAAATGTAGAAGCCTGGGCAAAAAGAACGAACCACATTTACATAAAAATAACAAGACAGCAAAATTACATGAAGCAATTATAAAAACTGTAGGATTGATAACAGCTTTGGATGTTGGAAAGATGATAACAAAAGTCAGAAGATATACAGTGAAAATTATGATTGTCAATTACAATTCAATTAATAGTAAATCAGCAGTCAATCAGCAGTCAATCCACACTTAATCACCAGTCAATCAGCAGTCAATTACCAGTCAATCTTCAGTCAATTACTAGTCAATCTGCAGTCAATCTGCAGTCAATTACTAGTCAATCTGCAGTCAATCACCAGTCAATCTGCAGTCAATTACTAGTCAATCAGCAGTCAATCTGCAGTCAATCACTAGTCAATCACTAGTCAATCAGTAGTAAATCACAAGTCAATCAAAATTCAATCAGTAGTCAATCGCAAGTCAATCACAAATCAATAACAAGTCAATCACAAGTCAATCACCAGTCAATCACAAGTCAATCACCAGTCAATCACAAGTCAATCACAAGTCAATCACATGCCAATAACAAGTCAATCACAAGTCAATAACAAGTCAATCACCAGTCAATCGTCAATCACTAGTCAATCACAAGACAATCAGTAGTAAATCACAAGTCAATCAAAATTCAATCAGTAGTCAATCGCAAGTCAATCACAAATCAATCACAAGTCAATCACAAGTCAGTCACAAGTCAGTCACAAGTCAATCACAAGTCAATCACAAGTCAATCACGAGTCCATCACAAGTCAATCACAAGTCAATCACAAATCAACCACAAGTCAATCAGTAGTCAATCACAAATCAATCACAAGTCAATCACAAGTCAATCACAAGTCAATCACAAGTCAATCACAAGTCAATCACAAGTCAATCACCAGTCAATCACAAGTCTATCACAAGTCAATCACAAGTCAATCACAAGTCAATCACAAGTCAATCACCAGTCCATCACAAGTCAATCACAAATCAGACACTATAGTCGATATCCCTCACAGAAACTCACCGCTGTCAGAGTTGGTGGTGTGGTCTGTGGTCGGACCCGTGTACAGGCTCAGTGTTGCTCCTTTGGTCCGGAGCCAGTCCCACTGGTCGCCCGAGTCGGCGTTGGTCCATCCGCACAAATCGCGCTCAAAGTCACAGAATCCTGAAAAGGTGAAAAGTTGGAAGGGATACCGGAAATGAAACGAGATTTTCCACTCCTTTCTGACAAAAAGTACAGTTGTTGTAAATATTGAGTTCGATGGTTAGCAGAACAAGAAAATATTGTTGAACAAAATATTCTGTATTGTCCTTGTACCTGTTTTCGAGGCATCAAGTTTTTGAGGTTTGTCCTACACAACCAGTTGATTTGTTGTGTGTGCGGTACGTGATCCACCGCCAGCCCCAAAATTTGGAAATCAAAGGCTATGTCGGTGTTTTTCTCTCTCTTTAAAGAAATCCTTACACCCTGGAAAACCGGTACATCGAGGATACTAAGAGACTAGTGGAGAACCAGTCACAGGCAATAAACCTTGCATAACATTTTGGCTGGTAACCCAATTTGCTATAAAGCAAATACTCTCTTTTGCTTAGCAGACTTCTATTCTAAGCAAGATTACTCACCGGCGCGAGGACAGGCTCCCGTGGTCAGCAGGATGTCGTCGATGGCGATGTCGCCCTGCCAGTTCTTGCCCCGGACCCCTTCCACGATGATCCGATAGTCGTGGGAAGCACTGAAAGTGAGTTGGGTGAAACGCCACTCGTCGCCTTGGTTGCCTGCAATAGAATACAAATACAGCATGGTTTGAGGGGAAGTAGTGGGAATGACTGGTCCTGAGGTGCAGGGGAGGGAGGTAGTCAAGCTGACCTACACCGAGGGACCAGTAAATCCAACTATTTTCCAGAAATAAACCATGAGGTACTTGTTTTACTACACCTCATAAATATTTAGTAGCCTCACTGTCTTTTTAGTAGCCTCACTGCCTTGTCGATAACGGCCTTTGTAGATTTTGCAGCTTTATTCAGCACGATTCAAGTTCTTCGTCACAGTACATGAAATAGTCTGGTGCCAACACTCTAAGGCGAGGTGTCATAAATAAATTAACCGTTCGAACGTGTGCGCACGCTAGGAACGGGGCCTTTTGTTACATCTACCTCCCGTTCGCACGCGTGCTCACGGCATCCCGTTCCGAACGCGTTCTTATACAACAAAAGGCCAGTCGCGGTCTGTGCACACACGAAGAGCTCATCGGCACTAAAAGTATCCGACAAACTTTCTCGTCGCTACAGGCTAGCCCGTACAGTACAGGGGGGACGTATAAAAATACGGGCACCTTGAACGGGGAAAGCAGTCCTTTGCAAACTTTACTATCAGTATGTAAAAACCTTGAATATTCGATTTATAATTCGCTGATCGTGTGTACAAGGCCAGTTTATAACATCAGTCAGCAAACTTCTTACAATGTTTAATAATATAACCTAGACCATACATATTTTTTCGCCCCGCCCAGCGGCAGACAACGATATTTAAGGATAAAAAGGTATAAATCTTATCAAACTCCTCATACCTGCTCGTGCTGTCTAAACTCTGAAATGTTTTTTTTATTTAATGCTTGCTCCGATATCGGGTTTTCAAACTCCAAATCTGATTTAAATTCCAAACCAAAACAGATTTTTTTTTCTGTTCAAGTATATACACATAGTTGTTCTTCGCATCTTTGTTGTGCTGCTCCCGTTCTCGCACGCAAAGGAACGGTTGATTAACATAACAATACCCCCTCAGTGAAGCTTGCCCAAGCACGATCTACGGAACGCGTTCTAAAAGCCGTTCGGCACGGGAAGGAACGGATGCCATTCAGAACGGGAAGGAACGCGTGCGCACGCGTGCGAACGGTTAATTTATTTATGACGCCTCGCCTAATGTGACGTGAAAAGTATGTCCTGTCCATTGGGCTCTCAACATTAGACAAAACAGCGCCCTCTCTTGTTTGTGCACAGAGCCCATAGGGGTGCAGGCCAGTAAATCAGTCCGAAATTGCCTACGCCGGCCAAATCGCAATTTGCATGTCCTCACAATCTTCAGTATTTGAGCATACTGTGGGCCATGAACTTGAGGGTTTGTAAAAAATATGGGTGGAAGCCGTGCACAGGACTGTGAGCTTGTAGTTCCGTTCAATTTGGATGAAATTGGGGCCCTAAAAGTGCTCTATTTTGCAATGGAGTGTAGGCATCGTTTTTTAAAATGGCGATGCGCTTCAGGACTTTTTTAAGGGTGATCATCTTCGGATGGAAATTTCTCATAAAAGTCATCAGTTGACCCCCCGAAAATTGGAAAGAAAATGAAAGATGATGAAATAAGCTTTAATTTGATGTGGGTCTCGAACACCTTGGAGTGTTGTAAGTATTTTTCCTGAATATCTGAAGCGGGAGCATTTATCATTGGGGTCTATGGACATTTTTTTTACCGTTCTGCAACCATAGGTTAATAATATACACCTGTAGTATTACCTCCCTTTTGTTGCAAAAGTTTCAAGACCTAAATCTAAAAGTTTCAACATCTAAATGTCTCTTTACCGGAGAGAGACATCACGCTCGTCTTGACGTTGGTGACGGTGTCCAAGCCGTAGACGTTAAACTGGCCGATGTCGCTGCCGTACATGTGGTACCACATGTGAAGACACTCGCCATACGTGTCGTCAAAGACCGGGCTGAGGAGGCGGGCCGTATCGCCTGGCTGCTTGGGGAGGGACGTCTCCAGGTAGACGTAGTAACCTGAAAGGGGAGATAGGAAGAGAGGAAAAAACTTGACTAGAGTTGAAACTGAACCCGGAACCACCAGACTACTGCACCGGTGTTCTACTAACTTGAGTACACTGATGGAGCGTCATGGCCTAGCAATTAAGAGCACCGAGCCGGACTCGTGCTCTGGTGTTTCAGAGGCAGCAGAATGTGGGTTGGAGCCCGGGTCTGGACACTTGTGCCCTTAAGCAAGGCACTTAACCATTATTGCTTCGTCCTTCGGATAGGGCGAAAAGCCGTAGGTTCCGTGTGTTTTGTAATGCAATGCACGTAAAACTACCCAGTACCACTTATCGCTGAGAGAAGGGGTTTGCCCCGGTGTTTCTGGCCTCCCGTTTAACTCCCCTGCGGAGTATTTAGGAGAAGAACCAACCAAGTACCAAGCCCTGTATCAGAGCGTTAAAATGATGATGACTTTTTGAGGAAATTATGATAATTCCTCTTTTCTCGAAAATGACAGCGTACCAGATGCAAAGATTTTACAAGGATGCATGATCCTATTATTTACTAACAACCTAGTAGGATATTTCATAATATTCTGGCAGTTTCATTTTTGAATGTTTGCAAATGGCGTCTATTACCAGAAGGGGATTGGAACCTGCAACCTTTACAACACTTTACTGGTGCTCTACCATCGGAGTCCCGGACAGTTAGGCTTCATATTGGTTGTCGACTTCGATAGGGGAACAGTGAACAGGCACTAAGGCCACCGGTCTCAATATCTGTGGTACTCAAGTTGATTACAGGGTGCTTGTGTCCCTGGGCCAGACACCTTACCGCAACCGCTTCAACTCTCCATCCAGGAGTAACACGGTACCAGTGAGAGCATTGATAGGACTTGGCAGTAAGAATATTGCAACCTGACGCCACTTTTTTCTTTGTATGTCATCTCAATAGAGATCCATCATTGCAAAAATTTTGAAAAAGACGTGAATTTGGGACTGGGAAACATTTCTAATTTTGTTAGGAAATATTTAGAAATTTTTTTTGACTCTCCGTAGACTTTGTACACAACTGCTGAAGTGGCGTCAGGATACTACATTCTTTCCGGTTTGGCTTTGAGTGGCCCCATGTCGTCAGTGCTGTAAAGTCTTCAAGAAATCTGTTGCTGATAATTTATAAGCCTGCCGATCAGGGGTAATCAAAGCAGCGCTTTCATTTGGAGCATCACTCACCAGTGCTGGTTCCCGTGGAGTGATCGCGCGTCGGACCGGTGCCTGACGAGGGCGTGCCACCAAAGTCGCGCTGCCACTCGTAGTCGGCCGTGGAGTCGTGGGCCCAGCCGCAGAGATCAATCTCAAAATCGCAGACACCTAAATTAAAAGCAAAAAAGAAAATTACCAATTAAATTTTATCACCTTATATCTGATTCATAAATATCTGAGACAGCTTACCCATTCCGATTGGTCGAGAGCTCTGCGCAGTGTGCAATATTTTACTGGCTGTTTAAAACCCCTATATCACATGGGGGTTTTAAACAGCCAGTAAAATATTGCACACTGCGCAGAGTGCTCCAGTTTCTATAAGGAAATAGTTAGCACTACGTGCCAAGGTACATACCATAGAGCATTCCATTCCACTCAGCTACGCGGACTACTCCTACTCAAAGCAGTCAATATTTGTATAATATAAAATAACATGAAAGAGATAGCTCCAGCCAAGGACGGATCGGGGGGGGGGGGGGGGAGTGTTTTTTTACAGGGGGCCATGCCCCCCCCCCCCAAAAAAAAAACCAAACACAATATTTTTTGAGTGACGTCGCAATAAAGGCAGGCACTGCGTACACCACCATCTTTTTCTCAAAACCAATTTGCTTAAAGTGGTCAGAAATTGCCTCAGATCGCACCACGGAGCATCTAGAATCAAAACAATTTTCAGGGCCCTTGAGCGGGCGCCCAACCCCACGCTCCAATTTTTTGGACCCACTTTTTAGGGGACAACAATTTTTGTTGGCCCCCCCCCCCCCACAAGAAATTGTGTACTGGATCCGCCCTTGGCTCCAGCACTTATTTACTCCAACAATAACGCTAGCTTACTCGAGTCCACGCAGGGTTTCGTGTCCAGAGAGACGTCGTCAATAGCTATGTCCCCCCAATAAGACGATCCCACTACTGCCTCAAACACCACCTAGTAAAATAAAAAACAAAGAAAGAAATACGTTTAAAATATGTTCAGGCAGATATGGAAGGATGTATGATACAAGGAAGAGATTATAAACCTTTGCGGCTTACCGACCACAGCGTGTCCGCCTTGATCTCCTTCTGTCCCCGGAGCCACTGGTTCCCTTGCGTGCCGTACTTGGTGAACATCAGCTGGTCCTTCTGCTGGTCGTCGCGCAGGTAGACGTTCAGCCGGTCCACGTGGGGGCCGTACATGTGGTACCAGAACTGCAGGCAGCGTCCCGTGGTCGGGTTCTGGCCCGGGGTGTTGATGCGGGCTTTGTCGCCTTGGGTCTGCGGGAAGGACGCCTCCAGGTAGATGTAGTATCCTTTGGAGAGAGCGGAGAACGGAACTCTAAACTTACAAAACCCTAATCACCTGATAGTGCTTGTGTTCTTGGGCAAGACACTTTACTACAATTGCCCCTCAACACTCAGGAGTATAAGTGGGATGGCTCCAAATAGATGTACCATCCTTTGGAGAGTGCGGCGAATAGAACTCTAACTTACAAAACCCTAATTGCCTGATTGTTCTTGTGTTCATGGGCAAGACACTTTACTACAATTGACCCTCAACACTCAGGAGTATAAGTGGGATGCCTCCGAATAGATGTACCATCCTTTGGAGAGTGCGGCGAAAAGAACTCTTACTCACAAAACCCTAATTACCTGATTGTTCTTGTGTTCATGGGCAAGACACTTTACTACACTTGCCTCTCTCCACCCAGGAGTATAAATGGGACGCCTACAGGTAGATATACCATCCTTTGCAGAGAGTGGAGAACAGAAGTCTAACTAGAACCCAGATAACCTGATGGTGCCTGTGTTCTTGGGCAAGACACTTTACTACAATTACCTCTCTCCGCCCAGGAGTATAAATTGGATGCCTACAGGTAGATATACCATCCTTTGCAGAGAGTGGAGAACAGGAATCTAACTAAAACCCAGATAACCTGATGGTGCTTGTGTTCTTGGGCAAGACACTTTACTACAATTGCCTCTCTCCACCCAGGTGTATAAGTGGGACGCCTTCGATAGATATACCATCCTTTGGAGAGAGCGGCGAATAGAACTCTAATTTTCAAAACCCTAATCACCTGATAGTGCTTGTGTTCTTGAGCAAGACACTTGACTACAATTGCCTCTCTCCACCCAGGAATATAAATGGGTACCTGTGAAGGTTGAGACCAGATTGTGCAGATCTCAAGCTGCTGCAGCATAAAATATTTTCATGGCCTGATGAACAGGGGTAATAATTGTTAAGCACTCTAAGACCTCTGGCATAAAACAGCTGGATTCGAACCCCTGACCCATTGATCATGAGTCTCAGACTCTAACCACTGGGCCACACTTCACATCTTGCACAGCATAGCAGTATTAAACCAAATGTAATACCATCACAATTTGACCCCTGAAATATGAGAATAAATTATTTAAAACTACCTGTGCCCGTGGTGTGGTCGTGGGACGGTCCCGTGTACGTACTACCGGTGGAACCAATATGCCTCGTCCAATCCAAGTTGTCGTCCTTCATCTGAACATAGCCGCAGATATCGGTCTCAAAGGTGCAATCCATCACTTAAAAGAAAAACAAAATATTGAAGTGCATTTTTGGGGTAATACGTGGACGCCTTCGCTGCTGGCCTGAACGTGAGCTGTTTTGTTTAGAATCCATTTTCCATTGCCAAGAACAGAAATTGGTTAACTGCGGAAAATAACACAGACCTTACATCTTAAGGGTTTGTTGGTTTGTTTACAATCTACATCTTTAAGGGTCTGTTTGTTTGTCATCTAAATCTTTATGGGTCTGTTTGTCATTAATATCTTCACTGGTCTATTTGCTTGTTGTCTAAACCTATTGAGGGTCTGTTTGTCATCTACATCTTTACAGGTCTGTTTGTTTGTCAACTACATCTTTAAGGGTCTGTTTGTTTGTCATCTATGTACATCTTCAAAGGTCTTTTTTTTTCTACATCTTCGGATGTGTCTGTTTGTCATCTACATCTTTACTGGTCTGTTTGTTTGTCATCTGCATCTTTACTGACCTGTTTGTTTGTCATCTGCATCTCAACGAGTCTGTTTGTTTGTTGCCTACTTTTTAAGGGTTTGTTTGTTTTGTTTGTTTTCTACATTTTTAAGGGTTTGATTGATTGTCGTCCGGAGACCACGGTGGGGCTTACATGGTGCTGGGGTGGAAGGTGACGGTAGACCGGCAAAGCAGGAAACTGGTTCTATGTCCACGTCGTCCAGGGCAATGTCACCCTGCCAGCCGTTGCACACTGCCTCAAAGACAACCTGTATTAAAAAAAATGGCAAAATCGAGTTTTCATCCTGTAGATTACGGTCATCAAAACCGAACAAAAAAATATGAGGGCAATTTGTGGAGTGTCATGGCCTAGCAGTTGAGAACACCGGACTCATGCTCTGGTGTTTCAGAGGCAACAGTGGCAGGGGTTCGAGCCCGCCGGGTGGACACTTGTGCCCTTGAGCAAGGCACCTAACCATTATCGCTTCGTCCTTCGGATGGGACGAAAAGCCGTAGGTCCCGTGAGTTGTGTAATCCAATGCATGTAAAAGAACCTTATCGCTAAGAGAAGGGGTTTGCCCCGGTGTTTCTGGTCTCCTGTATAAACTCCCACGCGGAGTATTTAGGAGATGAACCAACCAAGAACAACCAAGAACCACTGATTGTATTTATGCACACAACGAACCCAAGCACATTAAGAGATGCTTCAGGAAAAGTTTATGATCAACCACAGTGATGTAATTTGCCATTGAATGAAATTTTCTACATTTTCTGTTTTTTTTCCTTCAAATTTTCAAAGTAGTATTTCTAGGGACATACTTCATGGAACTGAGCACATGACTTTTGGTTTGAAACAGATTTGGGAGGGGGATAGGGGTTTGGTTTAAAGGAATGTTCAAAGTAAAATGGTTAGCTTAAAGATTTTTCTTGCCGATCATGCCATGCTGTCCCTAAACTAGGTTATGGTTAGAGTTGGGGTTAGGGTTGGGTTTTAGGGTTATATTAAAATAAACCTTACTCTAAAGTCATTGTTATTTTTTCTTCAAATAAACCACACAGGGAAACAAACTATGTGAATTATAACAATTGAAAAGTTGAACAAAGAAATTGACGGGAGCGGGGCTTGAACCTGTGACCTTCAGATTACCGTTCCGGTGCTCTAACCAACTCAGCCATTCAGCCCTACGTTGGCGGTTACCCGATTAGACAATGTCTTTGTTCAGAGCACCGGAACGGTAATCCGGAGGTCGCAGGTTCAAGCCCCGCTCCAGTCAATTTCTTTGTCCAACTTTTCTAAAGTCGTTGTTGTTAGCGTGATGTGTGTCTCTTCAGCCACTGGTTGTTTTGGCTGGGTAAGGGTTCTGATTGGGGTTGGGGTAGGGGTTGGGACTGGGTTGGGGTTAGGAATCAGGATAATCTTGGAGTTTTGGTAGGGGCTGGGTGGAATTTTGAAGCACATCTTACCCTGAAGTCGTTGTCGCTGGACATATCATGCTGTCCCTGCAGCCACTGGTCACCCTGGTCACCGGTGATGGTCATCTGCTGGGTAGTGAAGCCGGCATCGTCCAGATAATGCACATTCAATTCACCAGAGTCTACGTGATCAAATCAATTAAAATCAATCAAACCAATCAAACCAATCAAATCAGCAATATCAGCCAAATGCGCCAATCCAAATCCAAATCCAAATTCAAACAAAATCAATCAAACCAATCAAACCAATCAAATCAGCAATATCAGCCAAATGCACAAACCCCAACCCCAAACCCAAACCCCAAACCCAAACCCAAATCCAAATCCAAACCCAAATCCAAACCCAAACCCATACAATCCAAACCCAAACCCCAAACCCAAACCCCAAACCCAAACCCAAATCCAAACCCAAACCCAAACTCCAAACCCAAACTCCAAACCCAAACCCCAACCCAAACCCAAATCCAAATCCAAATCCAAATCCAAACCCAAACCCAAACCCAAACTCCAAACCCAAACTCCAAACCCAAAC